AACAAGCCAGAAAGAAAAAGAAAAATACCAGATGGTCTCACTCATAGCAGGAATCTAGAAAACTTAAATAAGGGACCAGGAAAATGAATAACTATAAGAAAGTGAAAATCAAAATCAACAAAAAACTATGAACCAGAGACACTTTTTGGGGGGTGGGGGGCGGGAGGGGAGGGATTGGGGTCAGAATGGGGGGGTTGCAATTGTATGGGGGAATATAAAAATAAAATTTATTATTTAAAAAAAAAAAAAGAGCTGTGAGGAGTTTCATGCCCGTTGGCCCCTGTGTCCATTCAGTCTGAAGCATTTCCTGAGTACCTACTGTGCGCTTAACACTGTCAGGTGTCAGGATGTAGAGAGAGGGCATTTTTTCTTCACTGGCAACATTTCTCCCATCCCCATAAATCATTCAAGTCCTTTCCTAGCCCTGAATTCCCACCCCCTCATACCCTCCGCTGAAGTCCTCCCAGCAGCTGACCTTGCTCCACTCCACTTTGTCACCAGAGGGAGCTGTTCCAACCTGCCCCCACACAAACGCCTTCTGTGGCTCCCCAGTGCCCTGCAGTACAGCGCCAGGTCTAGCTAAGCCCAAGCAAGCCCCATGTCACCCCCAGTGTGGATTGTCCAGACACCCTGCTTTTGCGCCTGCTGTGCTCTCCTCCAGAAACACCTTCCCACTTCCTCGTTGTTATCAGGGCTTCTTGCCCCAGTTAAAAATCCTGCCCCCTTACCTATCCTTGCAACTCAGTCACTCTTTCTCCATTTAATCCTTCTGGTAGTATCACCTGCTTGGTGTGTTGCTTCCGGCCCTCCTCTCCACCAGGGCGCTGACTGGTCTTCCCCAAGGCTGCGCCCCAGCACCCAGGACAGGGCCAGCACACAGCAGGAGCTCTGTAAATGCTCCTGGGACGTGGTTTCCATATTTACCACTGTCTTGTTTTCCTTTCCCTTGAGTCCAGTTTACAGATGAGCAGAGGCTCTTGCTGAATTCTTTTTTTTAAGGATTTATTTTTATTTATGCATACAAGAACTGGGGCGCAGGCCAGTGGTGCGGGGTGGTGGTGAAAGGTTCACCAGAGACAGAGTGGGGAACAGAACAGGCAGACTGACTGAAATCCACTGCTGAGGGGAGCAGCGGGGAGACAGGAGAGGTCTGCTGCACCATGTGGGTAGCTCCCTGGCCTGGGATTGAATTCAGGCCGATTGAACTCAGGCCAATAGAACTTGGGTGGCAGGAGCTGGTGATAGCTTGATAGCACTGAGACTTAACCCCTTGTGCCACCAGGGAGGCCCCTCTTGCTGAATTCTCTTTTTAAAGATTTTTTTTTTAATTTATGCATACCAGAGCCAGGGTACAGGCCAGCGGTGCGGGGGGTGAGAGGACTCACCAGAGACAGAGCGGGGAACAGAACAGGCAGACTGACTGAAATACACTGCTGAGGGGAGCAGCGGGCGAGTCAGGAGAGGTCTGCTGCACCATGTGGGTTGCTCCCTGGCCGGCCGGGGATCGAACTTGTGCTGCAGAGGCTGCAAATTGCTTCATAGGTTGTGTCTTAACCCCTTGCGCCACCAGGGAGGCCCTCTTGCTGAATTCTTGCTGGGGCCCTCAAGGTGCCCAGGGTTACCCGTTACCTAGAGGGGGAAACTGAGGTTCAGAGAGCATGAGGGGAAGCTCTGGGGGTCCCCACAGTGACCAAACTGCTTCTTCCTTCCACCCTCCCTCGATGGGAATCTTGGAGGCACGAGGGCAGGAGAGATGGGCAGAGGCTCCGGCCACCAGCTTGGGCTTCCCCACGGCGGGCTCGGGCTTGTTCTGCGTCCCACGTGTGAGGTGCTCACTGCCATACGTCCGGCTCCTGGTTCTCGGCCAGGCCTCTGGGTACAGGTCCAGGAGGAAGTCTTGGCCCCACCCTGGCCGGGAGCCAGCACCAGATTGGGCTGTTTACTCTAAGGCTGCTGTTGTCCGTTTCAGGAAACAAGAAGCAAGTCCTTGGAGTGTGATCAGAGTGAGGGATGGGAGGAAAGGGCGCCTGCTGGGGCGGTGCCCCTCTAAGCACTTTCGCTGTCTTGGTTCCTGGTGTTGACCAGGTAACAGATGAGGGAAATGCGGGAGAGAGGGGCTAAGGGGGTGGGCTTTAGTGCACTAAAGGGGGCAAAGCACCCCCTTTAGTGACTCGACACTGGGCATGGGGGGGTGTTTATGAGACTTTGAGCTTTTCTCAGATTCTCAGGGGCTCCCGACCCTCCCTCCAGCTCCCCTTGCTGCTTGAACCTCTGCTGCTGCTCAGGGCTGTGCACTTACTGAGCACTGGCTGCATGCCCCACCACAGGCTGGGTGATGAGCGCCGGCTGCATGCCCCACTTGGTTGGATTCAAACAGACCTCAATAGACACCCTGCCTGGAGGTGCAGCTTCTGCAGCAACTGCTTATTTCGCAGGCTTAACGCAGCACGTTCACTGGGCAAGCACCTGTTAAAGGAGCAAGCAAGGTGCTGAGTGGCTCTCTTGGGGTGTGTCACCCCAGGAAGGGCACTGGGGCTCTGTGCCTCAGTACCATCACCTGTCAGGCAGGGGTGGCAATAGCCTTGGAGGGGAGCAGACGGCACGTGTACAAGGGCCAGTCCCCTGAGGGACTGAGATGGGCTGGGAGCCGGGTCCACCCCCTTCCCGACACCCGTCGGGTCCCCTGCTCTCCCGCAAGAGCAATCCTTCAAGAACTCGGTGCCATAACTTCCCATTTCACTAGCTCCCAAAGGGGCATGGAAGGGGGAAGCTGAGTGCAAGAGGGAGTGTGTTCGGAGGGAAGGGGCTCCAGGGCACCCCTCCCCTGGCTTCATAACCCTGACGCCCGGCCCAGGCTAGGTCCGGCGGCGTGGAACAGTGCACCAGGAGTCAGACTCACTCTGTCCCTGTGGCCCTAGCCCAGGGAGCCAGGCCTCTGCAGGTAAGCGAACAGGTGTCTGATGAGGGGGCCGTCTCATGCCATTTCAGCACGGATTCTACCGCGCGTCCTCAGAGTCCAGCCCAGCTGAGAGTTGCCCAGGAAAAGAAATTACATGACCCTAAGTTTTATCTCAAAAAATAAAGCGCTCCAACAAATCAACAACGCGTCCAGTGAAGGGAGCCAGATCCTGATCTCACCATCACCATTTTTACTGTTGATCTGCTCTGACAGGGCGAGCCCACCCCCACCCCCCGCATCCCCCCTGGAAAGAACCAGTCTGGGGTGCGGGTGCAAGGGCCTCTGCTGTGCAGCCCCAGGCAAGCTCCCCTCTCCGGGACTCAATTTGAGAAATGGAAACACAGACTCCCCCGCCCCCAGCCCGGCTGCTCCTCAGGGCTTTGGGCGGCTTGGCTGTTTGGGAAGGACGGTTTATTTATTTCACAACTGCCCACCCGGCAGGAAGAAGATGGGACCAGGCCTGGGTCAAGCAGCCCCACAGAGGTAACGGGCTGCAATCCCGAAACCATCGTCCCCTCCATGCAACCCTGGCCTCTGGGCTTCCGTTCCCAGTCAGCCGTGACACCGACACCCTCAGTTGCCCTGAGGCCAAAATGAGGCACCTGCGGCCTCTGGTAATTTCATACCAAAGCCAGGGACCTGTGGCTAGAGGGTGGGCCGAGGCCCGGGGACACAGTGTGGCAGGGCAGCCCCCATGATCTGAGGCAGATGGGAGCCGCCGCATGGTCTCCCAGGAGATGACGTCCCCTGCAGCTCGATGGGCCCAGAGATGCCCCACACTGGGCCTGCGACTGGGGACGTGGCTCTGCCCATGGCAAAGGACTCTGCAGAGGACTCAGTTGCGGCCTCTGAGATGGGAGGAGCCTGGATTCCCAGGCCAGTGTCCTCACGAGGGTCCTCACAGAGGGAGGAGGAGGGTCGAGGCAGAGGGCAGGGAAGAGGCCGCTCCGCTGTCTGTGAGGACAGAGAAAGGGCCTGAGCCGCGGTGCGGTGCCTGTAGAGGTTGGGACAGGCGGGAGACAGGCCCTGGAGCCTCGGAGGTGCAAGGGTTTCGCCCCCACGGGGTTTAGCCCCCTGAGACCTGTCAGGCCCCTGACCTCCAGGACTAAGTAAACCTGTGTTGCTTCAGCCCTCAGTTGGTGATTCGTTCCAGCAGCTGCAGGAGTCACTTGGAAATGCCCGCCTGGCGGCAGTATTTGAGGTAGAACTGCAGGCCCCTCACTCAGCTGACTGCCCCCGGGCCCTGGGAGGCAGGTGGAGGGGTTGCCCTGCAGCTGGGCAAGGAGTGCCCAGCAGGGCTGCACTGAGCACTGCAGGGGGCCTGGGGGAGCTGCTAGGGCCGCCGTGGGATGGGCAGCAGGACTTGGGCGCTGCGGCCTCAGTGCCCTGTGCCACACTCCCCGAGGCAGGGACTGCAGGGTCTGCCCGTGGCCCAGAGCTGCCACCTGCACACCTGGAGCCACCAGCATGTCCTCAACATCACACAGCTGTGCCCCGCGCCACCCGCACCCCGGCTTCCTAGTGGCTGCCAGCGGGGAGAGGCCTGGGAGGAAAGGGAGGTGGAAGGAGCTCAACTCTGTGGAGGGGATTATGGCAACGTTTAGAGAACTGGGGCGGGGGCTGTTAGGGGTTGTTACTGTTGTCACTCTCGCCGCCCTTCTGCTCTGTCCCTGTCCCTCTCTCCGGCTCTGTCTCCCTGGGTCTCTGTCTCCTTCGACCTCCCCATCTCTGCGCCTGCCTGTCCCCGTTTCTCTGCCCTCCTTCAGCTCCCCATCTTGCCCTCCTCCCCCTCCCCGTCTGCCCTGGGGGCTGGGCAGGTGCCTCCCAGAACCCCATGCAGTTGTGATTGTCAACAAGCTCCCCAAGGCAGTTGGAATGCCAGGTTCCCCAGAAACACCTGCTCGGAACTAGGCATCACTGGTGGCCGGGGTGGGGGGGGCCTCCAACCACAGGCCACAGCCGGTTCCCCCTTCCCAGCTGTTGGCCAAGTATGGGGCCACAACCCACAGAACCTTGAGAGAGACACCAGCCTCCAACAGCCATGGCACCCGGGGCTGGGTGCTGCGCCCACCTGCTGAGGACTGTGGTCTCTGCCCTGATGCTGCTCATGAGGCCCCCAGGTGAGGACCCCTAGGGACCCCTGCCTGCTACCCCCACCCAGAAGCCACACACGGGTAAACACCCGGGTATCGCTTCCCAGTACCCCTACTCAGGTACACCCCATCTGATACCCTGCCTGGTACCGCCATGTGGGTATCCCCACTCAGTACACCTCACCCAGTACCTCTGCATGGTATCCCCACCCAGTAGCAGCTTTTGGGCACCCCCATACCCAGTCAGACAGCCATAACAAGACATCACTCAGGATCTCCCCAGGTGCCCCAAGAGCCACACCCAGAAACCCCACCCTGACCCTCACCTAGTACGGGGCAATAGCCCTCGATGGCCATCCCCAGGGGATTCCAGCGGGGAAGGGGGCGGAGGCCTGGGGGACTTGGCCAGGCCAACCCAGGTTCTCTGGAACTGGAGACCCAGCACCTGTGAGGTCCTCCCCAGGGCGCTTCGCTCTGAGTCTCTCCTCACTCCGTCTCCCCCATCTCTGCTCCTCTCCCCCCCAGTCCAACAGACCCGCCCACCCCATCTGACCACCCTCGCCTTTCTTCCTGTCCCACCCATGACCGGGTCCCCCTGCCCTGCTTGCAGGCTGCTGGGGGACCCGGATCATTGGGGGCCTCGAGGTGACCCCTCACTCCCGGCCCTACATGGCATCCCTGAGGTTCGAGGGCCAGCACCACTGCGGGGGCTTTCTACTCCAAGCCCGCTGGGTGGTCTCCGCTGCCCACTGCTTCTACAACAGGTGAGTCTCGCCTGGAGGCCACCTCTGCCTGTTGCCCCTGCCCTGCCCCCAGGACACAGCAGCTAGGGTGTGGCGGGGGGGACCCCTGTGGGCAGGGAGGGATCCCAGGCTGGGGCCTGGGCAGGAAGGGACAGGCACGACCCCTCACTGGGGACGGGGAGACACAGCTGGGGCTGGATTTACTGGACAGCAGGAAAATGGGGTCGGGGGGCAAGAGAAACAAGGACGGAGCAGGTGCCATGACAATTAGAGGATCCGCTCATCGTATTCATTGTATTGTTATAACAATTATTAGCATTGATATCAACTTGATTGGAAGAGGAACTTATAATAAATATGAGTTATATTTGCCCTAAGTATATTTTTATACTTATTAAAGTTCATGTTGCAATATCAGAGTTAAAAGTTATTGGGAATAGGACCTCCCTGGTGGCGCAAGGGGTTAAGCACTGCACTATGAAGCTGGCCACAGCCTCTGCAGCACGAATTTGATCCCCGGCCAGCCAGGGAGCAACCCACATGGCGAGTCAGACCTCTCCTGTCTCGCCCGCTGCTCCCCTCAGCAGTGTATTTCAGTCAGTCTGCCTGTTCTGCTCCCCACTCTGTCTCGGGTGAATCCTCTCACCCTCCCGCACCTCTGGCCTGTACCCCAGCTCTTGTATGCATAAATAAATAAATCTTTTTTAAAAAAAAAGTTGGCACAAGGGGTTAGTCTCAGCACTATGAAGCTGCCCACAGCCACTGCAGCATGAGTTCCATCCCGGCCAGGGAGCTACCCACAGGGCACAGCAGACCTCTCCTGTCTCCCCGCTGCTCCCCTCAGCAGTGGATTTCAGTAGATCTGCCTGTTCTGCTCCCCACTCTGGTGAATTGCCTCACCCCTGGCCTGTACCCCAGTTCTTGTATGCATAAATAAATAAATCTTTTTTTTTTTATAGAGGCATGCTTTATTTATTTGTTTGCTGGTTTGTTTGTTTGTTTTGTTTATACATGCACTGGGTATAGTCAGAAGCGCGGGAGGGTGAGAGAATTCACCAGAGCCAGAGCGGGGAGCAGAGCAGGCAGAAGGACCGAAGCACACTGCTGAGGGGAGCAGCGGGCGGCAGGAGAGGTCTGCGCGCCATGTGGGACCCTCCTCCGGTGGCCGGGGAGCAGCCGGGGATCGAACCGGCGCCGCAGAGGCCGCGGGCAGCTTCGCAACCCAGCGCTCAACCGCTGCGCCACCAGGGAGGCCCTAAATAAATAAATCTTAAGTAAATAAAATGTTACTGGGAATAACAACAAACAATTATTGCCACTGGGCTTGCTGAGGATAACTGGGTGCTGGACCTGTTTCTCAGATGGGAGATGAAGCCCAGGGCAGGCAGCCCTCACCCCTGTCTTGCCACGTTACTCCCAACCCCACAGAGACCCCCAAACAGGCTTAGTGGTGCTGGGAGCCCACACCCTGCACGCTGGGGAGCCCACACAGCAGGTGTTCGGCATCGCAGCTGTCATCATGCACCCCGACTACCAGCCCATCACGCACACCAATGACATCTGTCTGCTAAAGGTGAGCTTCTGGGGGGCACTGGAAGGAGGTCTGGCAGCCCCCACATGACCTGCCATATTTAGAAAGAGCTGGAAGGATCCTGTGAGCACCAGAGGCAGGGCACAGCCTTCTCTGCCCAGTATCCTCTTGTTCCTTCAGGACCAAACCAAAGTGCTCCTGGTACCCACAGGCCCTGCCCCATCATCCTCACCGCCTCCCGCTGAAGGTGGCCCTCCTGCTCTCACCTCTCGCCTGGGCGCTGGCTGTGCGCTGCCCGGTGGGCCTCGCCCACAGGTACCATGAGGCTTTCTCCCTTGCCTCTTTCAGCTTCACCTTCTCCAGAGAGTTCCCTTGGCAACCCCCAGCCCTGTCCCCCCACCTTTCACCTGTCCCGCCTTGCTTTTGTCCAGCAAGCTGTCCCCTGCCAGCAGCCCCTGCCCTCATCCCTTCGGCGTCTTCACCTTGGCCATTGCTCAGTCTCCTCCAGCTGTCGGGGGAACATCTATCTTGCTCATGGCTGTTTATGGCACACAGCAGGTGCTCAACATTCGTGCTGAAAGGGGGAATATGATTCTAGGGTAATTTAGCCCCTAATCCTAGCGAAGGTTGGAGGCGGAATCCTGGAATCTCTGAGGGGGAGCAGCTCCTCCCAGGTGAGGGTTCGTGCAGGGTGCATCCATTTGGACCTGCACAGCCCCTCCTGCTTGGGGGACCACCTCCCCTGCACCACCAGAGTACCCCAAATTCAATTCAGGCACCACCAGGGCCTCCATTTCAAAGGAAGAACTGCCCCCCAAATGTGGGAAAAAATCAAAAGGAGAGAGATTCAGCATGACAGAAATAGGTCTCTGTATGGTTCCCAGTATGACAGGAACGGGCGGCCCTGGCGTGGTTCTATGGCAGGATAAGAAGGGGGTAGCAGGTGTCAGCAGCCAAAGCTCGTGAATTCTGCTCATCTATGAAACCCCAGAGCCTGGAACCCACTGCTCCAGTTCACCCCACCCACTCTACAGTCAGGGAAACTGAGGCTTGAGGTGGCCCGGGAGGAGCCCAAGATTACAGCATCAAAACCAGTTAGCCATCCCATGAGCATTTATTGAGCACTGACTGTATGTCACCGGCACTGGGGACACAGCCATGGACGGCCCCAGGGCTGGCCCTCACAGAGCTCTAGGTTAACAGGTGGCAGCTGCATAAACTGAACTTGGCAGGAGCATGTGGGTCTCGAGGAGAGTACTCGCCTGGCCTGGGAGTCCAGGAAGGCTTCCTAGAGGAGGTGAGGCACATAAACCGAGGCCTGAAGCTTTAGGTGGCAGTGACAGTACAATGTGGGCCGAGGAAGTGTGGAGGTGGGCCCAGAAGTGGCAATTTGTTTTGGTTGGAAGGGAGGGCTGAGTCATGGGCCAACAGATCCTATCCAAGGGCACTAGGGAGCCATGGAGATTTAGAGCAGAGTAGGAGATGGGGTTTGAAGGGTCTCTGGGGAGCTGAGGTGAGACTGGAAGCTGTGGGAGGTCAGAGCCCTGGTCTGACGGGGTTGAGGCCTGATGGCTTGGCCTGGAAAAGGGGTGGCACATTCTGATGATGGTGGCTACCGTTGATTTTTCTCCACTAGGCGAGAACAGACCAGGGGTCATAGGTAAACTGAGGAGGAACAGCCGTGGGTGACTGAGGATGGTCCTAAATGCAGGCTCTCCCTGCAGCTCAATGGTTCTGCCATCCTGGGTCCCGCGGTGGGGCTGCTGAGGCTGCCACGGAAGGGCGCCAGGCCACCCAAGGTTGGGACACGCTGCCGGGTGGCTGGCTGGGGCGCCGTGTCCGACTTCGAGGAGCCACCGCCTGGGCTGATGGAAGCCAAGGTCCAAGTGCTGGGCCTGGACGTCTGCAACAGCTCCTGGAGGGGCCAGCTGAGCCGCGCCATGCTCTGCACCCGCAGCGGGGACCGCCGGCGACGCGGCTTCTGCTCAGTAAGACATTCGCTCTCCTGCCTGCTGCGGAGGGACCCGAGGGCAGAGGGGCAGAGCCTGGCAGGCTTGGCGAAGTAGGTCATGGCTCACCTTCGGCCACTAACAGCGCCTGTCCATAGGGTCAGAGCTGATTCCAGATGAGTCCACGCGGCAGGACTGGGGCGGGAGAGGGGTGAAGGGAAAGCAGGGATTTTAGGACGAGTATTCAAGGAGGCCTCTGAGCACCTCAGACTGAGACCTGAAGGAACCCCCGAAAACTGAGGGAACCCCCGAAAACTGAGGGAAGGCGTGCAAGGCAGAGATGGGGCGCGGGGCTGCAGCATACAGCTGTGCACAGCTATGCAGGTTGTGCACTGCGCAAAGTGCCCGTCTTGGACACTTACACAAGCAGTACCCAGGAGAGGGCAGGGATGAAGACCAAGGCTGGCCCCAGCTCTTGCTTCGGAATGGTGAACAGGCTGGTCTGGCCAGAACTGAGGAGGGCTGGTGGCACCCAAAAGGATAGTCCCGAAGACAGAGAGGAGGAGTTTAGCCTTTGAGAGCAGGAGCACAAGGAGTCAGGCTTTCAAGGCAGGGAGCACTGAGGTCAAATTTACAATAGAGGCTCCTCCTGGAGGCCCAGAGAGAGACCAGGATCTGACTGCCCCTTCACCCTCAGGCAGACTCCGGGGGACCACTGGTGTGCAGGAACCAGGCCCACGGCCTCGTCTCCTTCTCAGGCCTCTGGTGCGGCGACCCCAAGACCCCCGACGTGTACACACAGGTGTCAGCCTTCGTGGCCTGGATATGGGACGTAGTCCGATGAGGCATTCATGGCCACCACCCACCCTCTCGCCCCGGCCCACCAGGGTCCCTGCAGGAGTGCCCTGACCCACAGTCTCATTGGGTACACAGATGACATGGCAAATAGTTCCAGCCCAGAAAATTTTATGGCTGGGGCAGGGGTCTACAAACCCCCAAATCCTGGGAAGCCTGGTGTGTGGGATGTGGGTGTCTGTTCTAAACAAAAATTACCAAAAGAGCTGAATAAAATGTAACTGACCAAACACTATGGTTCACCTCGAGTCGACCCACATTCCTTGGGGAGTCATAGGGCCTTGGTGTGGTTAGGGTCCTGCTCTGCCACCCCTCCCACATGCCCTTGGGACCTGTGGCCCCTCTCCACCCTCCCATTCACCACCAAGACTTACCTACCCCCACCTGACACCCCACATCCAGCACAGCCTCCCAGCTGTTGCACCTGCAGTGCTGTTCCTCACCTACCCGCTAACCACATTCAAGTGTAGTTGGGGAAACTGAGGCCAGGAGAGGGTAGGGTCTCCATCACCAGTATGGAATCTCACACTGGCCTGGATCCCCATGAAGCCTAGCCTTATCCTCTGAAAAGTGCAGAGGACAAACGCGGCCGGCGCATACAAAGGGATGGTGTGCTTGCTGTTGCCCGGCTATTATTGGCCGTATTACCACCATTGCACCCTAAACCCTTCCACACCAGGCCCTTGTTTCTGGACCCTAAGCCAAGGGCCTCCTGGAGCTGCCCTAAGTCATTGTGATCCCATAAAGGTATTTTCCCAGCTGCCCCAGCCCTCTCCTTGGCTGCTGCCCCCTGCCCAGAAATGGACACGGAGGCACAGTGAGTGGTTGCCCTGAGGACATATACCTTGGGTCTAACCTGGGTGCTTCCAGAGTGTCCCCCCTTCACCTCCCTAACAGCACCCCAGGACCCAGGCTAATGACCCCCTACCAAAGGGCCCAGATACAGGCCAGATGACCCTGCCCCTCCCCTTGAGCTCACAGAAAGGGGGAAACGGGCCTGGATACCACACAGTGGCATTTACAGTCTTTATTTCTTTGGTGAGGCAGGACCCCAGGGTAGGGGAGGTTGACCTGTTGGGAGGTTTGAGAGAACCCACCTACTCAAGGGCACTTTTCAGAGCATCACGGTAAGGCACTTTCTGGAGCTGGGGGAGGATGAGCGTAATTGTACCCCTGAACCCCTCACCCCAAACTCAGGGAGCTTGGTTCCTTCCCCATGAGGCCACCCAAATTTGGTCTCAGTCCCTGGCCTACATGGAGGCAAGGTTAGGTGACAATCTAACCAGTGGAGGGACCCCAGCCAAGGCCAACATGGCTGATGTGGAGGCCCCCTGAGCCTGGCTGGTGGGAGAGGAGGGTCCAGCTGAAAGCGGGGTGCAGGACAAGCTTCACGGGACCTAGGGGTCCTGTGTCTGGAACTCACCTATGGACAGAGCAGCAGGCATTTGCAGTGCCACTCATACACGCGGCTCCCTAATGCCTGGTATGCAGTGGGCCTTGGCATCAACACTCCATCCCAGGCCACTGGGTGAGCTGGGGCTGATGGGTCCCACATGGTCCCACCCGAAGTGGACTTGTCATGGGATAAAGGGGCCCAGTGTCCTCGAGTCCTGTCTTTGAATCAGGGCTGTTCCTGTCCCAGACAGGGCACCCCTGGACATAGTGCTTATTCTGGGCAGATACTGGCACCGCACTTCTGAGTCCTGTATTAGAAGGTACAGATAGCAACTCCCTCATTGGAGGGACAAGTTGGTTCTCAGGGGCCAGTTCTTATCAGAGAAAGAGGAACAGAAAACCCCCAGAGTTCCTGGGCTGGTAGGGGGAAGTGGTTGCTTCCTTGGGGTCTTGGTTATGTTCCGAGGCTCATCTAGATACACCCTGACCCAAGGTTCCTGCTCCAGATGACCTCTTCATCACTTGCTGGGAGGGAACCCCAGCCCTCTGGCTGACAGGACAAGTAAGAGTTATCCCTGAGGGAGCAGAAGCCCGGGTCCTCCTGGGATAGTAGGGTGTCTGGGGGTCCCTCCCACCAGCTCTGCTCTCAGGCCTCCTTCTCCCCCTCTAATAGATCTCCACGAGGCACTAGAGGGGCCAAGCTCTGAGGAGTGTCTGTGGGACATAAATTAGGCTCTGCTGAGGCAATAAATAAAACGGGGAGGCCTGGAACGCCAGGTCCAGGCCGGCCACGCCAGATCACACGAAGTTCTCCTCCTCCTCCTCCGACTCTGGCACTAACGGTTCCGGGGTGCCTGCGGGAGTGGGGGGGACCGTAAGAGAAACGGCCAAGGGGACTGGGGGCTGCGCTGCCGCTGCTCTCTGCCCCCCAGGAGGCTTGCGACGCCCCCGAGCCCCACCTGCGCAGCTGCCTGGGTGGCGCACGCCGATGGACCGGCCCAGGAAGCAGGTGGCCTGGCGCAGGTGGCACGAGGACGCGTAGGTGACGTTGTTGTTGCCGCAGAGCTCCTGGCCGGGGCTGGAGGGCACGGGGCAGGGCGCCGCGCGACACACCACGCAGTGCGCGCTGCCGGTCTGGTCCACCACGCACGACTGCGGCCGCAGGCACACCACGTGCGCGCACGACTCTGCGGGGGGCGCGAGGGCGGGTCAGACGCGCCTCCCCGCCCCCGCGGAGCCCCGCCCCCGCAGCTCCAGCCCCGCCCCATAGAGCTGCGCCCAGACCGCCCACCCCCTCCTCAAGCCCCGCCCCTCTGGCGGTGCTCAGAAGCCACGCCCCTCCGCGAGCCCCACCCACCACCTTGTTCCGCCTCGAGTCCCGCCCCCTCTACGCCCACAGCTCCTGTCACGTACCCGTCTCTCTCACCCCACGTGAGCCCCAGAACCCCTCCCTTTCCAAACGTCCACCCTACTCTTCCTCAACCCAACGCCACGAAAGACCCAATCAATCTACCCCACTTACCATTAAGCCCCGCCCCAAACGGCGAGACTTACCGTGGGCACGCTAGGCTGGAGCTCCGCCCCCACGTACTGCGACTGCGCACCGGTCCGCGGGGGGGGGCCCGGGGACTCCGCCCCCCGCCGCTGGCCCCGCCCCCCGCCCCGGCACGCCCTGCGGTGGCCGCCCCGTCCTCCGGCACGGACGCGGCGGCCTCGCCCCGCCCCCGGCCCCGCCCCCGGCCCCGCCCCGACGTACTGCGGCAGCGGCCCCGGTACATGACGCGCAGGTCCGGGTGTCCGCGGCAGCGCGCCGCGCGCAGCTCGCACTCGTCCCGGTAGGTGGCGCCGTCGGAGCCGCAGACCTGCAGGCTCGCCGGGAGCCCCGAGCAGTCGGGCGCGCACTCGCAGCGGGGGCGGCCCCCCACCATGCGGCACGCCTTGCCGGGGCCGCACTTCACGCCGTCGCACGAATCTGCGGACACAGGACACGCGCGTGGGCGAGGCCGGGGTCCTCGAGTCCCTCGGCGCCCGCGCTCGTGCTGAGGGGGCCGGGGCTGGAGGGGGCCGCTCAAGACCGAGGGCCGGGGCGCCTGGGCTGGGGGTTCGGAGCTGGGTGCGAGGTCCGTTAGGGCAAGAATCAGGTAAGGCCCGGGTGAACCGTGAGTCGGGGCTGCGACTCTGGAGAACTGGGGTCTCCACCCGGCATCGGGGGCTCAGGGACAGGCCGCCAGCCCCTAGCCCTGCCCTCTCGCCGAAGCCCGGCTTCCAGCTCGGGGCTGACATCTGTTCCTTGATTTACGCGCGATTCCGGGAAGGCTGCGGGAGGCCGGGCTGCAGCGAGCGGAGGTGGAAGTGGGAACCCCACCCGGTCCAGGCTCCAGGTTTGCGCCCTGTGGCTGCCAGGACCTCCCTGGAGCGGGCGACGCCGAGGGCGGGGCCTCGCCCGAGCTTCCTTTCCTGGGGCGGGGGCCTCCCATACCAAGCCCTGTGAGTCAGTCGGGGTTTTCTGTCCTCATCCCCCCATTTTCAGGTGAGGATACAGGTCTGGCCAGGGGCAGTCTCTAAGGGGTCCAGGTCCCAGTCAGGCCCCCAACTTCAAAATGTAAATCAGATTTCACTAATGAGCCACTCATCACCCCTCAGGCTAGTGGGTCTCAGCGCATCCGCATCCGCTGAGCCACCCCAACTAAGTACTATTGCATTTTATTGCCATTTAACAAGAGGGGAAAACAGGCTCCGTCATCAACACCAGTGGAGGAGAGCAGGGGCACGCACCAGACCCCAAGGAGACCCCGCTTTCGTTGCGTGTGTTTGGGGGACTGATTCTGAGCTCTTGAATTCGCCCTCCAGCCTCAGTTTCCTGGGCATACAGTTGAGCTGATGGGGGAAGGGGACGTTACAGGGACCGCCCTAAGACGTTGCTCCTAAGAGAAGGCCTGGTGGGCCTGCGGGTCCCCCCTTCCCCCTGCCAGGGCATGTGGGTTGCACCTGGGCACGCTGAGCAGAGGGCGCCTCCCACGCTGCCCGCCCACACTCACATCTGGAAACACTCCACCCGGTGGCTTCACACAAGCAGAACGGAAGTGGGGGGGTGCTGAGTCGCCATCCCCAAGGCCAGATGAGGTGTGTTGGGGGGGCTGGGGGTGGAGTCCTGGACCATTTCATGCCCAAGCCAGGAACTTTTGGGAGTCTGTCCTCCCAAAAGCCAGAGGAGGTTCTGGAGGGAGCTGGGGCACATGGCAGTGAGTTCAGGACCACCCAGCTGGGCTGATCTGGGATTAATCACATCCCAGTGGCCAGCCAGGCTACTCAGCTTGGCCTTGGGTTTGCAGCTCTAGCCCTTTCCCTGATCTCCTTCCCTGACCCCACCCACCAGAGCCTTATCTCACGGTGGTCTTATGCTCACGCCACCCCCACCCCTTCTCCAGCCGGTAAACACCTAACCATACCCCAACACCCTGACTCCAGTGCCTGTCTCCTTCAAGTCATGCTCCTATGTCCACTCTGGGCCCTCGCAGCTTCTGCCTTGACCACAGGGAGCTGGGGGAGTCCCCAGTCCTTACTCCAGAGCAGAAAATATTTCTTGACACATTCATTCAGCCTTCAAAGAGCTCCTAGTATGATGGCGCCCTGGCATTTCTCAGAACATGGTCCAGAAAGCACATGATTGTTAAACCTGCAGCTGTGGCCCCAGCACAGAGTCTATGGGGCTAAGGGCAGATAAGGACATCTGGGAACACCAAGTGGCGTCACAAAGTAGAACGGCCAGTGGGGAAGGTCTGCCTTCCTAGGGGTTAGGTGTGAGCGAGAGTCCTTCCACCAGGTTCAGCGCAGGGAGCACCGGCCAGCCAGGCAGAGGGCTCAACAAGAGCCACGGCCCAGGGATGGAAGCCAAGCTGGGGAATCCCTGGGCTTCTTCCTGGTCCTCAGTTGAGGACAGCTGAGGCCTGGAACCTGAAAGGCCCCCAACCCCTCTCTGACACGGGGTTCCCCGGCAGCTGCCTTCCAGGCAGCCTCGGCTGCTCCTGCGTATCCCGAGAACAGGAGCTCACGTCCAGCTATCCCACCTCACCACTGTCACCACGATGACCCTGACCTATGGCCACTGCCCCCAGGGTCTCACCTTTGCAGGGGAGGCAGTGGACGAGGCCCAAGAAGCCCAGGAGGCTAATCTTGTTCCCCGGGTGGGTGAAGTTGGACCACGCGGTATCGATGTTGCCGGAGGCACAACACTCGGCCTGGCTCACTTCGGTCTTCAGCACCAGGCTGCAGGTGGCCTCGCGCCCCTGCTGGAGCCAACAAACACCACCTGTGGACAAGGTGGGCAGCTCCTATAGGGCCCACATGTGCCACTCCTGACACTTAGCCCTTGACCTTCCACCTAGCTCCCAGCCCGCAGGAATGCATACAGTTGGTGCTCAATAAAGATGGAGGCCGGGACGATCCCTTCTCGGGCTCCAATTTGGGGAGGAGGGGCAGAGCCCTGCACAGGTGTCTCCACCCTGGCTCTGGATCCATTGGGCTCCCGCCTCCTCTCTGACTTCTGCCCCACATACATAGCCCCCCTGCCAGCCCCTGGCCATCTGGGAAATGCTCCCCTTTGCTCGAGGCCCCCAGGCTCAGGTCTGGCATCCTGCCCAACAAGTCAAGCAGCCCGTGGCAGGACAGTACTGGTGTGTCAGGGTCTGTGGCCCCAGGACACCTCTCCCACCTCTGCCCTCTGTTCAGACAGCACCCGAGGGCATGCAGAGCCCCCCTCCCCTGGCAGGCCCCCCTTCCCCTGGCGGCCTCTTACTCACTCCAACTTGGGAACATTCCCCTTGCATGAGCTCACCATCTCCCCGGGGACGCGGGCCTTCGGGGAGGGGGCTCAGCTCTCCCCTTGGTATGGGGCTGGAATGGGGCTGTGGGGTGCAGTGGGGGGTAGGTGGCCCTGTTTCTTCACCCTTCAGTGGGGGCAGGCATGGCCACAGCCCCCATCCCGGAGAATTCACTGGTTTCCTGGCACTGTGTTGAGTGCCTTCTGTGGCCCAGGTCTCGGGACCCAGCGCCTTGGCACCCACCTTCTAAAAGGGGAAACCAGGGCCAACAGTGGGATGCTACTTGCCTGGCATCTCCACCAAGTGGCAGGTAGGAGATTCCAATGACCCATCTGCCTATGCCAGACCTCGGAGGATCGGAGACCCCAGCTGGAGGTCCTGGGTTCAGCCACCCAGGCTGAACCTGCCTCTGGGGCATCAGGACCTGGAGGGTCCAGACTGAAATCCTGGTTGTGCTACTTAGAGGCCCTGTGGCCCTGTGACTCGGTTTCCCTGTCTGGAAGTGGGCATGCTGAGAGTACCATGCTATCGGGCTGTCGCATGAACTCAAGTAGGGGAAAGGTAGACACTAAGCGCTCAATAAATGTCAGCAATCATTATGACTACTATTCTTGACAATAATTTTAAGTTACATCTGCTCCTTTGACCTCCTGGTGTCCCTTTCTCCGGCCCCTTGGGCCTGGGTTAGGGGAGCCCCAAGTCCTCCTGAATTCAACCTGCAGCGGGCTAGTCCCCACCCTCCGACCCCCAGTTGCCGCTGCCGGGCCCCCCAACATCACCCCCTGGCCTGCATTCCTGGCAGGCCCACGTGGGTGGCCCACCCTGCCCTCCCCTTCCGACTGCCCCACTCACCGGGCGCGGGTTCCCCCGAGCCCATGGAGCCCACGAAGCCCAGGGCCCAAGCCAGGGCCCCCCAGGGCAGTGGCCACAGCGGCCCTGGCGCCCTGGGACTCATGGTGAACGCAGAGATGGCGGTAGCCCTGCTTTGGACCGCGGGTGGACGGCAGGGCTGGAGGCGGCACTGACTTCCCAGTGCTGCGGCTGGGCCCTCCCTATAAAGGTCCCGCTGGCTGCGGGTGGGGCGGGGCCGGCTGGGCTGGGGCGGGGCTCGAAGCAGTGTCGTGCAAGATGTGTGCACGGGCTGGGCCTGGCCACCCGGGGTAGCCGCTGAGTAGCAGCCGGTGGGAGTGCAGGACCTGACCCGGGGAGCGAGACTGTATCTGAGGAGGTGTGGCTGTCGCTGGGCAGGGGTCAGAGTTATTGTGGGATTGACTTCAAGGTGTCACCCGGGTTGAGGATCTTAAGCTGTAGGGCTGTGGCTGAGCCAGCCGGTGACCCCTGGGGATCGTGTGGGCAGGTCCACGTTCTGCCTTCTCGTAGTTTACAGGTGTCCTCCACGTGGCCTGAACCTCCGGGCCACCTGACTTGGCCCTGCACATTTGGGGGCCCCAGATTCTGCACGTTCCCTGCTCATACCCCCAGGCTACCCACCAGCCAGCTGGCTGCTAGGCAGTGGGCCCGCCCAGCTGGATGTGAGGAAGTTGCAGTGGCTGGGGTGCAGCAAGGAGAGCTGGGGTGCGGCGAGGAGAGACCCAGAGACACACACGACCCTAACCTAACAACGTGGCCACAGAAGTAACCATGCCACGGCACTTGCAAAGTCTCTGTGCTGGCCTCGACCCCCACACCTGGGAGGCTGAACCAAACCTGCCCCAGATCTTTGCAAAGGGTGCCCCAGGCCGCATCAGTAACAAGAAGTTACTGATGTCAAAGGATTGTTCTCTCTGCTCGGTGCTCTCTCCCTGCAGCGGGCAGTCACTCTGGAATCTGCTTTCCCACAACGGATGACAGTGACATCAGCGTGGGCCTGGGAAACCTGAGTCCACTGGGGCCTCGCTGCAGTCAGCATTCTTCCTGTTCTGGAGCCCAAATTTTCAGGGCACCCTCAAGGGCTCTGGGCAGTCCCTCTGTGTTTGTGCTAAAAAATAATCAGTGACCGTCTCCTGCGCAGGGCTGCCTTGGCAACCAAGCCAGACCTAGCCCCTTCCTCTCCAAGGTCATGCTTTGCCGGGGCCATAAGCCACAGGTTAATACACAGACAAAGGAATTAATATATAACTGCAAAGAGGGAGAAATGCTTTCAGGAAAATGAAAAAGGTGAGGTGATGGAGAGCAACTGGGTATTTCCAGGGGTGCCCGTGCCTCACCACCCATTCCTGCACCTGCCCTCTCCTCAGGTGGGGACACTGAGCACCCCGCAGCCACGGCATAGCCCTCTGCATGCATGAGATCAGCCACCACAGTGCCACGCCCAGCCCCTTCCTCGGCCTTAGCACTCGCCCTGACTGTATCCCCTGGGGGGGGGCCAAGGGCCACATACTGTCGCCCCAGCTGGCTCCACCTGACCTTGGCCTCTGACAGTTCCAGGAGATTCTCCCCTGGCTGGGGCGTGGGCCAGAGATGGGACCTTGTGTTCTCAGCAAGGGTGTGTGGGCCGGTCAGTGTGGCCTTGGCCAAGATTTGACCCCATGGTGGCTCAGGCGCCCTGTCCAGGGCTGTGCAAATCAAAGGGTCATTGATGGCCCGGCACGGGCTCAAAACTGAGGCCAGCTGCCAGCGGCCTCCTGCCCCAGCCTGGAGCTTCTGCCCAGCAAGGGCTGCACACTAGGCAGCCTCAAGCAAGACTGACCTCGGGGCCGCCTTCCACCCCTTTTCTCTCATTCATGTCCTCCCCTCCACCCTGACCGCCCAGCCTAGCCTCACCCCTGCAGCCCACTTCCTACCCCAGCTGCCTGCCAGGGGCTCCTGCCCAGTTCTCTGTGCCCCAGACCCTGAGAGGTGAGCAGAAGTGTCAAGCCAGGGTGTCCAGAGCTGTGACCGAGGGGCGACCCAGGTGCAGGAAATCAAGACCAACTTCTCAGAGGCCGGGGACATTTAAACTGGGACTGGGGGTTGGACTGAGTGGCGAGGGGGACGAGGGTGGGAACAGAGTGCTGGGATGTTTATGCTTCAAGTAACAGGAAGCCCAATTCAAAGGTGTTGCCCGAACAAGCACACACAGCCCCCCCCCCCCCAACCCTGGACTGAAACGTTGGGTCATGTCACCTCTCCTAGCAAAGGGGATTTTGCAGGTTGGATTACGTTAAGGACCCGTGGGTGGGGAGATGGTCTGGGTTATCCAGATGGGCCCAGTGGCATCACAGGATCCTTCAAAGCTGAGACCCTTTCCCTCTGTGGCCCGAGAGAGGCACCGCGAGGACCTGGCGTCGCTGGCCTTGAAGACAGGAAGGGGCTTGTAGCCAGGGACTGTGGGCAGCCTCTGGAAGCTGGAAGACCCTCTCCCTCCCCCCCCATGGGGGCCTCCAGAAAGGAAAGCAGCTCTGCCAATACCTTGATTTTAACTCAGCAGGATCAGTGTGGATTTCTCACTTCCTTAGTTGTCAGAGAAAAAATTGTTGACTGAAGCCTCCAAATCTGTGGGAATTTGCTGCGGCAGCAACAGGCAGCGACGTACACGCAGACACGGCAAGTCTGGTTCCACGGGAGCACGGTCCCCGCCTGCTGGGAGACAGACAAGGCTCTGAGCACAGTGTGGAGGCAGGCAGCCATGCGGAGATCCTCGGGCAAGGGGCCATGGGGCTCCTGGGGAGGCGACTTAGAGGTCCGGAGGGAGAAGGGAGCACCCGGGGCAGCCCAGTCTGGGCTGTGCCTCCCTGTCAGGTCACGTTTGATCTGTCTCTGTTTTCTCATCTGTAAAATGGGCACAGACCTCAGTACACTGCACATTCCAGCCAGGATGCCAGGGCAGTGTGTCCCGCACAGAGAAGGGGTGTGAGATGCATGGCGGATTCTGTGATTAACAGGGTGCATGCAGGGCGGGGATGTATTGTCTTTCAAAACCAGGATGCTGTGAGGCAGGCACCTATTTTACAGAGGGGTCAACTGAGCCTAGAGGATAAAAACTGATTTTCTCATATCACAAAGCCCTCTGGGTTAAGATTGAACTCAGAACAGGTAAGCAGGCTTCCAGGGCCTGTGTGCTGAGCTGTGGGACTGGGCCTTCCCTTGTGTGGACTGGACAATGAAGGTCGGTCCCCAGGTGGTGACTGACACCTCCTTTCTCCAGCACTAGATTTTCCTCTGCACTCCCAGCCCAAATGACCCCAGGAGTGAGTGGTGACACAGGTCCAACCAATTAAGCTGTGCCACCCTGTGTCACATTTCATCTGACTCTGTTTTCAGCAAATCAGTAGTCAGTGACCCTAAGTATTCCCACCCCATTCCCTTCCCTACAAATGGGCCACATTTTTATTTTTTAAAAAGATTTATTTATGCATACCAGAACTAGGGTACGGACCAGAGATGTGTGTGGGAGGTGAGAGGATTCACCAGAGACAGAGTGGGGAACAGAACAGGCAGACTGACTGATATCCGCTGCTGAGGGGAGCAGCGGGGAGACAGAGAGGTCTGCTGAGCCATGTGGTTCAGCTCCCTGGCCAGCCAGGGATCAAACTTGTGCTGCAGAGGCTGCAGATAGCTTCATAGTGCTGCGTCCTAACCCCTTGCGCCACCAGGGAGGCCCACATTTTGATTTTGTTCAGGCATAAGTGACCACCTGTGTAACAGAAGGCATGTTTCCACCACCCTCCTTGTCCCAGGGGAAAATCCTTATTGTTTGAAGAGGGTGGAATTTATGTTAGTCATTCCTTTCACTAGGCATTGGTCAGCACACAACCGCAGTGTCCTGGCTGGGTCAATAGTAGAACATGGAGGAAATCCAGACACCCAGGCTGGCTGCAGCTGGAAGTGACTCTATAGCCTGATGCACGGCTCTCCTATTTGCTGCTCTAACAAATTGCCGGTACTTGCCTGCCAGGACCCTTCCTCTTGTCCCAGGAGGCAGGCTTGCTCAAGCCCTGAAGCACCCATCTTGGGAAAATTACTCCTCCCTGCTCTGTTTCCCCATTTCTGAATAACCATTCTGAACAGTCACTTCTGCCAGAGGCGGCCAAGGAGAGTGAATGTGTGTGGGGAAGCACGTGTCCACGGCAGCCCCAGGTTACGTGCATTATCAGCCAAGGGCACATGGGGTTGGCTTTCCTGGGGTGGCATTCCCTCTGGGGCATAGCCCCCCCTTAGCGCTTCTCTGGCTGTCCCTATGTCCCATAGGGACATAGGGAGGGTTCTGCAGTGGGTGAGCTGGGCTTGTTTCATTCTTTCATGCGAGCCTCTTCAGACCAGCGCGTGTTTGCTTGGGTCCTGAGTGTTCTTCTTGGGGACAGAATTGTGAATGGGAGGAAAAGGCACGAGAATTGCATGGGCCTAAGCCAAACCTGTGCCCTGTGTCAAGGTTAAGGTCAAGGTCAAGGAATGTCCCCAGTGAAAAGGCTTAATGAGACAACAGGATGTGGAACCAGGATGGCACCACGGAGAAGAGTTACCCTATGGGGACAGGCTGCATGGGTGTGTCAGCGGGTGCTAATTACCCAGTTCGGTAAATGTGCTGCTGCACTCAGGCAAGAAGGCAGCCAGTTTGTTGGAAATACATCAAAGCATGTTGGGGATAAAAGGACATGGGCGCAGCAACTTTGTCCCCAAATTCCACACAGATACATAGAGAACAAAAGTGGCAGAATTTTAACAGCTTTGGGTACTTTGGGTCTAGGACACACAGGGCACTTTGTACATATTCGTGAAACTTCACAGGTTAGAAATTGATCAAGTCGGCAGCACTGGGAAGGCATTGATCAGGAGAGAGTGGAAGTGTCCCTTTCCCTCACTAGCCTCCTGGGTCCTGGTCCCACCACCTGATTTTTGAGGGATTCTCAAGCCAGGCGAAGACTGGAAATTCCCTTTATCCTCAAATTTGATGCAACAGGATAGGGACTGCCTCTGGCAGGTGGCTTGGGGCTTGATGGAGATTCTGCGGCAGCAGTGCATCGAGTGTTGGTCTGGGCGTGGATGGTTCAAGAGCCACATGCTAATGAAAGGTCATTTGAACACAACTCAGGATCAAACCCCTCTTGGTAGGTGCTTACGCCACTAAACAGACGGCCACAATAAGTAAAAAAAAGCAGAGCTACCCCACAAACCAAAAAGTACGAATTGACAGTGAAAACTACACGAAAACTCAGCTCAAAACAACAAAATCAAAAACAAAAACGCAAACAAAAAGAAACAAAAACACAAACCAATAAAGACCTAAGTGGCCACTGGGTTCCCAGCGGCGGGGCTGGCGCGCCCTCTGGTGGCAGGAATGGTTCAGGCTCGTCCCTGAACCTCGAGGGGGACAAGATGGTGGTTGGCGGGCAAATCCCATCCCTGGACCCCTGGCCTCCAAGGCCGTTCGTACACAGCATCCAAATGTTCATTTCCCGGCGCCCTGGCCTCAGTTCCCCTTTCTGCAGGAAGCCCGACTCCAATCAACTCCTATTCATTCCTCAAAGCCCGGCCTCCGATGCCCTCTCCCCGAGGAAGCCCGTCTGTCTCCCAGCCGGAGCCAGGCCAGCCCAGGGCGCCATCGGCTCCGGCTCAGCCTCCCGGGGCCGGCGGCGCTCGGCGCCAGCTCGGTTGCTAGGGAGACCCGGCCCCTCCCGTGCGGGCCCCGCCCCGCAGCTTCCCCCGCCCCTCGCCCCGCGCCCGTCTTTGTTTGACCCTCAGCGGCCACCGTCGCCCGGCCGCGCTCCCGCGTGCCCCGCCCACGCCGTGCGTGCCCTGCGTGGCGTGCGCGGGTACGTCGCCCGCGAGGGAGCAGCAAACGGCCGGCGGCGGGCGCCGCGCGGGGGGCGGCGGCGCGGAGCAGGCGGCGGCGGCGGCCATGGCCGAGGCGTCGCCGCAGCCCGGACGCTACTTCTGCCACTGCTGCTCCGTCGAGATCGTGCCGCGCCTGCCGGTGAGGCCCGGGCGGCGGCGGCGGGCGGCTCTTCCCGGGCCGGGCGGGCCGCGCGAGCCGGCGGCGGGGCAACCGAGGCCGGCGCGACCCCCGACGCCCGCGGCGCCCGGCGGCGGGTCTGGCTGCGGCCGCGCGGCGCCCGGCGGGGAAACTGACCCGCGGCCGCGTCCGGGCGGGGCCCGCGCTCCGCGCCGCGGGGGCCGGGCGGGCCGGGCTGTGCGGCCTCGCGGCCCGTGGCCCCCGGCCTGACGGCGCCGCGCGGGGCGAGGAGGGAGCGGGCGGCCGGGGGGTGTCGGGCCCGCACCCCGCGATCGCCCGCCGGTGCCCGGCCCGCGCCGCCCGGCTGGGGTGCCGGAGCCGCGCCGGTGCCCGAGGCAGCCTCCCGCAGCGGGCCCCGGCGGGGCGAGGAGGGCCCTGGGCTTCACCCCGGAAGGAAAGGCCGGGGTGCAGGCCTGGAAGGGGAGGGGGGCAGGGACCTCCCGCCCCGCGGAAGGGAAGGCAGACCCCCCCCCGCCCGGCGCGCAGTCCTCCGGGAGCCGGGCACCCCTCGGCCCCCAGAGCCCCCCCGGACTCCCCGGCTCGCGGCGGCCGGAAGGACGGGGCTCCTGCGGGCGCGATGGCCCGCGTGCAGCCCGCGAGGCTGGCCGTAAGCCCGGGACAGGCCTGGGGTCTCGGGCTCACCCCTGCTGCCGGCCTGTCTAGAGCCTTAGGGATCCCAGCGCCCCGTGGTGGCGGGCAGTGAGGACCCCCACGGGGGACCCCCCACCGGTGTTCCTTGGCCATTTCCTGGCCTCGTAACCTTGGGCCAGGACAGTCCTGATGTCTAGGACTGTCCCTGGGCTGGCGAGGCCCCCCCAGTCAGAATCCCGTGGTGGCAGGGCAGCCATGACTTTTGCCCTCAGAGTTTAGAGGCTGGTCAGGGCATTAACCACAGACAAGCTGCTGGCAAATGGTTCGTCAGGAATGTTGGTAAATTCCGTGAGAGCAAACCGGGTGCCAGGGCCTGCCTGTGGGTTTGCAGCAGGATTCAGCCAGGCCCCGTGGATAGGGTTACTGGAAGTAAGGGGCACACCTGGTGCCGGGGTGTGTGTGTGAGAGAAACTGAGACTGAGACTCTTGAGAAAGTCTCGCTACTCCCCACCCCTGAAATGAGACTTGTGCTCAGGCCCCTGTAAGACGGGCTCTGCCAGTTCCCTGGTGTGTGTCCCAGATCCTTTCTCTTCCTGTCAAGTGGGTTTGAAGAGAGGGGCTCTCCTGGGGGTATGTCTCCCAGGATTCGTGCTTCTCTCTGTGGGAGGGTCCTGGCAGGAAGCTGTGCGCTGTCGGGCCTTGACCACCATTCGGGCTTGAAGGTGAGGAGCATCCACGTGTGCCGGGGGCGGGCGCCCTCCTGGGCAGGCACGTGGCAGCAGGAACCTGACAGGCCTGCTGGCCGGGAGGCTGGTGCACAGGCCCAGACTTGATTCTCCTCCGTGTTGGTGCCCTGGGAATGTGGTGGACGTGATGGCTTAAGTGGCATGGCTGCAGGCCTGTGCGCGTGGTGTCTGCCCAGGTGCTGAGATGAGCTGTGCTGGCCGAGGACGGCACCTGGGTGGCTTTCCCTGGTAGAGGCATCCCTGAGTGCATGGTCAAAGGGGGGCGATTTCCTGCCTCTGAGCACTGTTGGGCAGAGGAAGTCTTGCAGTGGGCCTCTTTTTGCCCTTCTCCCCCGCACCTCATTCACCCTGTCCTCTGTCCTCACCCCTAGAGGACCCTTGAAGAGCCCTGGCTCCCGCTTTTTACCAGAGTGGCGTCCAGCGTCCTGCAGCGTCCCTGGACTCCGGCATCTCCCTTGCTGGATGTTGCATGCGGCCGTGAGACCCTGCCCCTTTCTCAGGCTGGGCCTCAGAAGCTGGGGCCCTCGGAGCTTGTGCGTGGACTGTCTCCTGGAGCTGAGATCAGCCTGGAGTTGTCTAGGGCGCTCGGAGGTGTGGCCTGCCCCTCTATGATCTTCCTGCTGGTGCTCTTGGGGCTGAAGCAAGGTGTTGCCCCTGCACGATGGGCCCACGAGTGGTGTCAGTGCGTCCTGGTCTCTAGTGATGGTGTAGAACAGCCTGGGAAGATGGAGGAAGGTCGGGGTTCGCTGCCTGCGTTGAAACCGTGTGTGTGCGCGCGCGCGCATCCATCCGTCCGTCCTCTTCTGTCGTGGGCAGGCAAAGGCCTCAAGCAGTGCCAGGTCTGGCACGGCCTGCGCCCAGCTTCTGGCAGTGTGTTCAGGACCCTTGGGCAGTTGGAGGGATGGGCAGGGAGTGAAGGTGGAGGGGGCTGGTTGTCCCTGAAGGTCTGGGCAGGTCTCCGTCCTGTGACATCTGAGGAGGACTCTGAGGGGTAGAGGCAGCAGTGAGCTGGCAGGGTGTGGGCGGGAGTGCGGGGGCCTAGGTTTTCACTGGTCTGTGTTGGGGCCTGAGCTTACTTGTGCCTGGCGCAGATCTGCCTGGGGTCTGTCCGGAGCTCTGCCTCTCCCGGGGGAGCCTGTCTCTCGTCACCTCTCGCTGCTGCGCACGCGCCTGGCAGGCCTCTGCGTGTGTGACGGAGTGTATAAATGAAGAATGGTGGCATCCCAAGGGCTGTCCCAGCTGGCACATCACTCCTGTCAGAACCCCCACGTCTCTGACACAGAGTGGGTCCCCAACTTTGGTGTTCTAGCTGCTGCTGTTGCCATAGTGACGATGCTGGTGTAGTGTTCTCCCCCATCCCTCCTTCAAGGGGAGAAGTAGCTAATTCACAGGGAGCTGCCTTTGGGTAGGGCTTGGTGCCAACAAGTCACTAGGGCCCCCCCACCACTGTGGCAGAAGAGGCAGTGAGGGTGGGTTCTTGTGGTGCCAGATGTCAGAGCCCTGGGTGTTGAGGCCATCCTCCGTTTACAGGTGGGGAGACCGAGGCTTGCAGCCTGGAGGTGACGTTTGAGCAGAGACCTGACTTCTGCGAGGGGCGAGCCAGGTAGATATCTGGGGGAGAAGACTGTGTTGGCAGAGGGGATGGCATGCAGGCCCTGAAATGGGTGGGCCCCGCGCGAGGCCGCAGGTGGCCTGGACAGGGCGGGGATCATGCCCTGTGTGACACGGGCTCCAGCTGGTGTTCAGGGAGGTGGGCTGTGATAGAGTGCCCCGACCGAGATCAGGGAGTGCCTAGGTGTGGCAGCAAACCTTAGCTTAGGGGGAGAAGACGCTGCCCACTTTCCAGAAGGGCAATCTGAGGCTCAGGCGGAGGCCGGGTCCCATGCCGGCTGTTCTTTCTCTCCCGTGCTGTGCAGGGGCTGGTGGAGGCCTGCTGGGTGCTGCGAGGAGAGCAGGGCCTTGTGTTGGACCCCGTCAGAGGGACCAGCCTGGCTGGAGAGGGTGGGCATGTACCTGACCCTTCTGTGGGTGGGGGACAGGGCAGCTGGCATTGGGGCTTCACCAGGATTTGGGGAGAAACTGGACCTTCCTGTGACGCTGTGCCGAAGGCAGCCTGGGCAGAGCTGTGCCGCACACCCAGAGATGAGGCTTGTCTGTGGTCTCACTGTTGGAGGGTGTGTCCCGATTGCAGCCACGCACACCCGCCTGCAACCCATTTATCGTGGCTGCTGCCCTCCCCGGGCTCCGGGAGACCCCCTTCCCCAGCCTCATGTCACCCCCTTCACATGGGGACAGATGACAGAACTGCAGTCCCAGTGGGTAGGGAGATGGGCAGGTGTCAGGAGGAGCATGGGGTGACACCCCTGGGCCCCTGGGAATCTTATGCCAGTGGTGACTGTGGAGATCACGCTGTGCAGAGAGCTGCTAATGTCATTGCCATCCCTTAACAGCGTTACTGAGATCCACGCTGCCCTTTAAAGTGTACAGTACCCACTTACCTAGTTCCAGAATATTCTGTTACCTGTGGAAAGAAGCCTTGTCCCCATCAGCTGTCACCCCTATCCCCAGCCCTTCGCACCATGAACCCACCCTCGGTGACTGTGCCCCTTCTGGACATTGCACATCAGTGGACTCACGCTGTGGCCTGTGTGTCTGCTTCTCTCCCTGAGCACCACGTGGTAGCGAGTGTCAGCGCTGCCCTCCTTTTCATGGCTGAGTGGCGTTCCCGTGGGCGGACGGACATGTCGTGTGTGTCTTCCCGCTGGCGGAGATCTGGGCTGTTCCTCCTCTCAGCTCGCAAGGCTTGAGCGCCGTGCACGCGTGCACAGGTGTCTGCGTGGACGTCGGTTTTCGAGTCTCTTGGATACATATCTGGGAACAGAATTGCTGGGTTGTGTGGTGACTGGCTTTTCAAGTAACTGTCCAGCTACTTTCCCTGTTTCATGTCCCCACCAGTGGTTTAAGAGCCCCGATTTCTCCCCCACTTGCCAGCGCTGGTTACTGCGGCCCTGGGAGCCCGCCTGCTGGTTACTGGGCGTGAGGAATAGCGCAGGTTGTTTGTTTGTTTGTTTTTTTATACAAGAACCGGGGTACAGCCAGAAGTGCAGGAGGGTGAGAGGATCCACCAGAGACAGAGTGGGGAACAGAACAGGCAGACTGATGAAATACACTGCTGAGGGGAGCAGCGGGCGAGACAGGAGAGGTCTGCTCGCCATGTGGGCTGCTCTGAGGCCGGTGGGGATCGAACCGGTGCTGCAGAGGCTACGGACAGCTTCACAGCGCTGCGCTCAACCACCTGACGTGCAGGTTTTGATTTGCATTTCCCTGTGGACCACTGAGTCTCTTCTTCCCAGGCCTGTTGGCCATTTGTGTATCTTCTTTGGAGAAATGTCTGTGCTGATCCTTTGGCCATTTATTCATTTATTTATTTATTTTTTAAAAGATTTATTTATTTATTTATTTATTTTTTATTTATACGTACATACATACATACATACAAGAACCGGGGTATAGGCCAGATGCGCAGGAGGGTGAGAGGACTCACCAGAGACAGAGCGGGGAACAGAACAGGCAGACTGATGAAATACACTGCTGAGGGGAGCAGCGGGCGAGACAGGAGAGGTCTGCTTTGCCATGTGGGACCCTCGCCTGCCAGCCAGGATTGAACCAGTCCTGCAGAGGCTGCGGACAGCTTCACAGCGCTGCGCTCAACTGCCTGCGCCACCAGGGGAGGCCCTTGGTTGTTTGTTTTTATTGTTGTTACACTCTGAACACAGTCCCTGTGCAGATACCGCCTGCCCACCCTCTCCACTCCGGTGGTGTCGTTGGATCCCTGCCCCTGCGTTTGCTTTTTTAGTGGTGAGGGGAGAGATGGGGTCGGTGGCCACCCTGGTGCCCACACTCTCCTGAGATTGTCCCCATGGAATGGCGCTCAGGGCTAGAGGTTGGCCTTGCTCTGTTGTCTTAACTCTGTGAGTGACCATGTTGTGCAGGGGTGGCCTTGGGGATACCAGCGCAAGCCTGAGCTTACACACCTGATGACATGGGCCCACCTACTGCAGTTATGGGCCTGGGCCTGTTTCAGGGGTTGCAGGCTGAGTGCTGGGGCTATAGAATATTGCAGAAATGCTGCGTGGGGCATCTGTGTTCAGTCCTTCTTGGGGCTACCTTCCTGGGGCTGGCCTGCCCTGAGGCCCACAGTCATGTCCTCTTCAGCTGGCACCTTGTCATTGGAGCCATGTCAGTGGGCCCATTTGCTACAGGCCTTGTCTGAGCCTTTATCAGCTGATGTGGTCAGAGGAGGACCTGACCTCTGTGGCTGTGGGTGCAGAGGCTGATAGACTGGAATGTGGGGGTATGGGGAGTGACTTTGGAGCTGGGGTCTCGCCTGTGAGAGAAGCTGCTTGGCTTACAGGGGTTTGTGCAGTGGGTGCCTGGGCCGCCTGGGCAGTGGGTCCAAGCTAGACCCCAGCAGTTTACAGGATGTTGATGGCTGCCATAGGCTTTGCCTCTCTCCTCTGCTGCTTGTGTGGCCTGTGCGGGGGGCGGGGGGGGGTCCAGCGAGCCCAGGAATGCAGCCCACATGGGGGCCAGGCCCCCCTGGAGATCAGGCTGACTGATTTTCTCCTCCCACAGGATTATATCTGTCCAAGATGTGAGTCCGGTTTTATCGAGGAGCTTCCAGAAGAGACCAGGTAAACACAGCCCCTTGGTCACAGGGGCCTGGGTGCTTGGAGGCGGGGCCTGGGCATCTGGGGTGAGGGCATGACTCCCGTGTCGACCTGACCACACTGTCCTCCCAGGAGCACAGAGAACGGCTCCGCCCCCTCCACAGCCCCTACGGACCAGAGCAGGCAGCCCTTCGAGGTGAGCAGTCCCGGTCCCCCGATACCATGTCCTACAAGCAGTGCCCACCTCGAGAGAGAGGCGGGGGGCTGGGCCCTCCCACCTTTCTCGTAGTCACAGCCCACATCCCACGCGACACCACGGTTTCGCTAGTGTCTCCTGCAGCCTACCAGGAAAGGCAGGGTGGGGACCAGCTGGCAACTTGGAGCTCCTGCCCCCCTCTCTGCAGAGCGTCGACCAGCACCTGTTCACACTGCCACAGGGCTACGGGCAGTTTGCTTTCGGCATCTTTGATGACAGCTTTGAGATCCCCACGTTCCCCCCTGGAGCACAGGCTGATGATGGCAGAGACCCCGAGAGCCGGCGCGAGCGGGAGCAGCACTCCCGGCACCGTTACGGTGCCCGGCAACCCCGTGCCCGCCTCGCTGCGCGGAGGGCCGCTGGCCGGCACGAAGGCGTCCCCACACTGGAAGGGTGAGGGGGCTGGAGTGGGAGAGGTGGGAGGCAAACGGGGACACTTGTGGGGGCTTCTAGCCTGCCCTACTGCTCAGAGCACCTGTCTGCCCTTTCAGAAGGTGCTGTGGCCACGCTGGTTGGGTGCTGCCTCTAGTGCAGGTCTGTGGGGTAGGCGATTTTCCCGTGTGTTCGGGCAGAACCGCCTGAACCCACAATGAGAGATGAGGAACAGGGAGTCTTCACACTCACTGAGTGTCCCCCTTGGTCCTCAGGATCCTCTGCTCAGACGTGGCGGGTTCGCACCCAGTCCCCAGTCAGCAGGCTGCCCCTGAGCAGAGCCTGAGCGCCCTCCTGGCCACAGACCCTCGGTGTGTGGGGCTCGCACTGGAAAAGCTTGTCTTTAACCTGAGCACAGTGCAGAGGAGGAAGGTTAGGCCAGAGGACGACAGAACCGGCGGTGCCCTGCAGGCCGACCCCGCGCCCAGAGGACACTGGCTAGACCTCCCGGGCCTCAGCTACACGGGCATGTGCTGGTGCCCCTTAGTGCAGGTCTGAGCACGCATGGAGCTGCTCTGGCTCAGGGCCACTTCCTTGTACCTCCTGATGTGTTGGGGCTCCCCCCACCCAGCTTATCTCTGGGTTGATGTGGCCTCGACCCACGGCTGGAGTTAAGGCACTTCGCTCCCACGTGTAAGGGGACCCAGAGCCCCGCAGGGGGAGAGTCCCGGGGCCTCTGTGTCACCTGATGGCGTGACCTTAAAAGCTGCAAGTCCAGACGTTGGACGTGCCCTTCCCATGCCATCTCTGCCCGCTTGGCCCGGGAGGGGCTGACTGTCGCCTCCCCCTCTCTGTTCCAGGATCATCCAGCAGCTGGTGAATGGCATCATCACTCCCGCCACCATCCCCAATCTGGGCCTGGGCCCCTGGTGAGTAGGTGGGCGCTCCCCTAACCCCTGCACCCTGCCCAGCCCCTCTGCCACTTGAACCCGGACCTCTCTGCCCAGGGGTGTCCTGCACTCAAACCCGATGGACTACGCCTGGGGGGCCAACGGCCTAGATGCCATCATCACGCAGGTACGGGTGGTCCTCCCCAAGGCAGGCAGTGGGCGTCTTTCCTTCTAAAGGAACAGTCCTTGGACAGGCCCGTGCCCAGACAGGGCTGTGTGCTCCCCGGTCACATCCCTGTACTGACAGGTTGTCCTGGACCTCCACATGCCCACGCAGGGCGCGCCCTCCCGATGGCTCCGCCTCCCTCGGCCTCTCCTGAAAGCACTGCATGTGTGGGCTTTGTCCCTCCGGGTCGCCTCTCCGGGTGTCTTGCCGACAAGCCCTTGGAGTGCTCTGCCACTTGGAGACCCAGTGTCTTGTTTTAGCTGATGTGCAGACTCGGGGAGGACCCCCAGTCTCATGGAGATGTGGGAGACCCCGGGAGGGGTCCGGTGACAGGACAAGTGCAGCTTCTGGACTTTTGCAGGTGACCCGGCCCTGTGCATTTCGGAGCCCTGTGGGCCAGGGCCCTCCCACACACCAGCCTCAGCAGTCCGGCCTCTTGTCTTTCAGCTCCTCAATCAGTTTGAAAACACAGGCCCCCCGCCTGCAGACAAAGAGAAAATCCAGGCCCTCCCCACCATCCCCGTCACTGAGGAACACGTAGGTACGTGCCCCTTGGCCACTCAGCTTCTGGCTGTTTTTCCTTCCGTGACCGTCCACAAAGGAAGGTCTGCGTGAAGGAGGGACTTCCGGCCCCAGCCCCTCCATCCCCTGTGCCGTGGGTGCGAGGTGGCCCCAACAGCAGGCTCCCCAGAGGGCTCGCCCTGGTCGGGGCTGTGGAGAACCCTCCCCCGTCGGGTGCCCGTGGGGCCCGGGGCCGGCCCTTGCATGCCCTCTGCGCAGGGCAGCGTGGCTGGCGCCGCTCTGAGCGCCTGTCCCGTAGGCTCCGGGCTGGAGTGCCCCGTGTGCAAGGACGACTACGGGCTGGGTGAGCACGTGCGGCAGCTGCCCTGCAACCACCTGTTCCACGACGGCTGCATCGTGCCCTGGCTGGAGCAGGTGAGCAGCGGCAGGCTCGGGCGGCCCCCCCTCGCCCCCCCTGTGCTGAACCTCCCTCTCCCCCTCAAGCACGACAGCTGTCCCGTCTGCCGGAAGAGCCTCACGGGACAGAACACGGCCACCAATCCTCCCGGCCTGACCGGCATGAGCTTCCCCTCTTCCTCTTCATCCAGCTCCTCCAGCTCGCCCAGCAGCGAGCACCCGGCCGGCAGCTCCTGAGCCCGCGGCCCCAGCGTGAGCCAGCGCAGCCGGTGCGGCCGGGGCCGGGCACCAGGCCCGCCCTCCCGTGGCTCCCGCGCCACCGCACCATGGACTCCGTGCCCGGCCATGCCATGGCCACAGGCGGAGGCTGAGGACCCGCCGCCTCCAGGTGCAGAGGGGAGCGTGGCCCTCGGCTTCCAGCAGGACGTCCGCGCTGGGCCTGGCATGCGGCCCCTGGGTGCCGCCAGCGCCCGCCGTCCTATTTGTCTCCAACCTCTCCCTCCACGTGTTCAATGGTGGAAAGGTTTTTATAATTTTAAATTATTACTGCTTTGAAATAAATGGACGTTGAGCTCACACGCGGCCGTGCATGGTCTGTGGGTGGATCGGCTCTTTGCGGTGCCCCGGCCGCCCCCGCCCCTCGGGCCCCGCGTGGGCGGCCCGGGACCACAAGGACGACCAGCAGGCCAGGAACAAAATTGCTTGACAGATGTTTTTTAAAGGAAAAAATATGTGTATCTTGAAAGCTATTTAAAAATACACCTACTTAGAAAGAAGCAGGTGGTTGGCGTTTTCCTTCTGCGCCGAGCGTGTCTGGGCGCATGTGGGCATCCCGCCAGCCGCCGCCCCGGGGGCTGTGCCTTCACAGGTGCCTCCAGACCCTATCCCTGCGGCGCGTGGGAGCCCCGGGAAGCAGCTGCGCCGGGCGCCGGCGGGCCTGGGTCCCACCACGCGGCTGGGAGGGCAGCCTGGGGCTGGCGCGGGGCAGCCGGGGTCTCTCAGTTCCCGAGGGTTCCCAGTCGGGTGCCGGCCAGTGCAGACGTGATGGAGAAGCACCTGCTTGCTGATCACGGGCCGCGGAGCCACACCCCAGGGTCACCGGGTGACCTTCTGACCTGGGCCAGCGCCCTCTTCCTGCACGGCGCCCACTCCCACCCGTGAGAACTGAGGCGCTCGGGCGCTCGGAAGGCTGTGTCCCAGGTGCTGCGCGCTTCCTGCGGCTGCCGCACCACGCGGCGAGGTAGACGCCGAAGACACGGCGTTTGTCGTCACGCCCGGGGGGCCGGGTGTCTGACGGTCACAGGGCTAAGCCCCAGCGTGGGCCGGCTGGCTCCCTGAGGCGCCCAGGGGAGCCCAGCTCCCTTTCCCAGCTTGCAGAGGTGCCCCTTCCTGGGCTCGGGGCCCTTCCTTCCTTCCTTCCTTCCTTCCTTCCTTCGCTGCCAGCAGTGTAGCTCTCTTGATGTTGCGCTCCCCTCCTGTGAGAGCCCTGCCCTGGAACCCGGGACCCTCCCCCTTCCCAGAGTCCCAGCTCCACCCCACCTGCAGAGTTCCTTCACCATTTGAGGTGACACTTCCCCAGGTCCTGGGACCAGGATCTGTCACACCCGCTTTGTTCATACCACCTTCACCCTCAGTCCCCGGACCCCCGACCTCTTCAGAGACCCCTTTGCTCCATCCCAGCCTCCCCCACCTCCTGTTGCCTCCAACACTCCAGAAGGTTCCCATCTCCCAGTCGGTGCCTTGGTTGTGCCCCAACCTGGACCATCCTCAGACCTTCCAGTGGCTGCAGAGCCTTGTCCTTTGGTCTCCAGCTGGATGTGCCTCGGTTCAGACCAGTGTCCACACACAGATGGGAGCTCTCCAAGGGCCAGACCATGTCTGGGGGTGTCCTGGGGTGTCCCCAGGGCCCTACACACAGAAGGCACTCAATGCTTGTGAAATGAACCAGAGACCAGAGAGGTGTGTGGCCGTCGCGTGGGCCGCCTCCAGCCTCTAGCCCCTGGCCGCCCGCCTGCTCCCGGCATCTTCCAGAATCTCTATCCAGCCATTCCTTGCAGGCCCTTGGGACCTCAAGAAACCAGTACTGGCAGGAAGTGGGTGGAAAGGTGGTGCTGGTGAGTCCGGCCTCCCCACCGCGGGGTGCCCCGCCTGTCCAGTGCCAGGAACATGGGCCGGCCACGGCGGCGCCAGCGGAGTGAGGCATAGGTGTTGAAGCCATTCTCCTCGATGCGCTCCCGGAACCTGCAGTGCACGGTGTAGACGCGCTGCGGGGGCACGGGCAGGTGAGGCAGCCTCCAGACCTGCCCACCAGCAGTCTGCCCTCTGCTGGACCCGGCCTACCCTCATCCACCCCACTCCACCCGCTGCCCGCGCACCAACCTAGGCCTGCACACGGCCCACCTACGTCCATCCCCATCCACTCACTGCTCACACGCCCACCCATGCCCCACACTTACCGACCCGTAGAGGTGGCCCCGGCGATTCATGGCCACGTAGAAGCCGGTATGTACTGCCTTGAGGGCCACGACACCCACTTGGATGGAGCGAATCTCAATAATACCTGGGGGAGAAGTTAAGTCAGGGCTGTGGCCCACCACCTGTTCACCTGATTGCTCCCCCTCCCCCTCCCAATCCCAAGTACCTGCTGTATACTGGTCCTGCACTGGGTGTGGGGACACACCTGGGGCCACAAAGGCCCCACCTGGAGCTGCCCTGGGGATGTGGGAGGTGATGGGGCTGTGGGAGGGCTCTAGGCTTTCCTTGGGGGACACTGGGGAGCCACAGCAAGCTCTGGGGCAGAAGAGGGCCTGGGTTAAGTCAGGGGCAGGGAAACGAAGCCCTAGGGGGCAGGTCCCTACCTGGGTGAGAGATAAGAGTGTAATAGATGCAGACCACTAGCCCTGGCCATGCTGCCCATGTGCAGCCTCCCCTGGCCTCACTGACATTTTCACATCTGTCTTGTGTGTGGCAAGGAGATGGCACACCAGACAGCAGGCTCAGCCCAAGCAGAGATGGCCTGGAAAGGGCACAGGGCGTTTACAGCCCACTGCCTTCATATTGATGAGAGCCACTAACTGCTGGAGCACAGACTACACCCTGCACCGCACTCTGCCCCGCCACCACCACACAGGCCTGGGCGGAAGGTGCTGACTGTGCTCACTTCCTGGGGGACACCGAGACATGGGAAATGGCAGTGGCAGCTCTGGGTCCCATCCTTTGGTGGGTGACCCTAGGCAAACTCCAGCCTTCTGAGTCGATGTGTCCTGTCCAGAGAAGGATGGCTGGGGATGAGCTGCCACCTACACCCTCAGCCCCACCTGGGCACCAGACCCTCCTCTGGTCTTCTGTTCCAACGTGGTGCCTGAGGCGATGGGGAGCTCACCCCAGGCCCTGTGGGTCTTTGCACCTGCTCTTCTCTTGGCCAAATACCCAGCTACTCCATAGATGAGCCTCGGCTCAAGCTTCCTCCTCAGGGAGGCCCTTGACCCTTCCAGGTAGTGCCAGTCACCTCCCATTTGTTGTCATTTCATTTCCTCTGCACCCCATGTGCCCCCCTCTGAAATTCGCTACTTGTTCACTTGTTTAACACTCACCCTCTGCCGGGAGCCCCACGGATGGGTTGTCTCAAACACTGTCATGTCTCCATGCCCCACACAGGATATAAAAGATGCCCAATTCATAGCCAATGACTTAATAAGGAGAGAAACTCCAAGCCCTACCCACCCAGATCCATCCATCAATTGTCCCCCTCCCTTGCTGCTCAGATAGGGAAGCCAAGGTCCAGAGACATACAGTGACTGTCCCAGGTCACCCAGCAGAGCCAGGCCTCACCCCCTGCCTGAGGCCATCCTGCCTGGCCAGCCGAGCCCACAACCTGTGGACCTGCCTGGCCAGTCACCTGCCATTGTCCTCATGGGGTGAGCCTAATGAGGGCCTTGGGAGCGCCAGATGAAAGCAGCTGGGAAGGCAGGGGTGATTATCTGTCCTAATGGTGGTGATTCAGGCAGTGGCCAGCCATTAGCTTTGGCCTCCCCAGCTCCTCTGGCCCAGACCTCAGAGCTATGGTGAGACTGAGATGGGTCATGATGACCTTGGTCTCCCAGCTGCCACCCAACCTCCTTCTTTTTGTCCCTGCGTCTCTTCTTGCCTCATACATTTAATAAGCGCCTACTGTTTGTTGGGTGGGGCAGCAGGGACAGTGACTCCAGCTCGCGAGGTTCTGGGCATCATGGAGTCATCGCCCCAACCACCCCCTGGCAGTGTGACCCTGGTCAGTTCATGTCCCCTCCTTGTGCTTCCGTTTCCGCATCAACCAAATGGGTGTCTAGGAAGAAAGAGGGCCCCCAACTTAGGCAGGTAGAGTTTGGTTTGTAGTGTGGGACATGCAGAGACCAGGCCCTGGCTCTGCCCCTCCTCAAGGAGGCAGAGCCCCACTAGGGCCCCTCCTGGAGTTGGGGTTTCCCCTGTGAATGTGTCCAGAGATACCCAAGCTCAGGGTTATTCCCCAAGGCCCATTCTCTGCGGCGGCGGAGCCCGGGGGGCTGGTGCCGCCCCTGGCCAAGCCTCCCAGCTGCGGGCGGGGCCCATCCCACGGCGGAGGAAACTGAGGCCCCGTAGGAACTTACTCCTCCGGTGCTGCCGGGGTGGAGACGGCCCGGCTCGGCACTTCACCGTTCCCCCAGCCCCGCCCGCGGCCCCGGCGTACTCACTGTCAGGGCTGTGGCGCCAGCGGGTGCCCTGCACGCGCCCGCTCGGGTCCACGCACAGGAAAAAGTGGGTGGAGGAGAAGAGGCGCCGCCAGCGCACGTCGCCCTCCAGGTGTGGGTAGCTGCGCGGCCTCCGCGGACAGCTGGGGGTCCCCGCGGCGCCGGGCGCCCGTGCCAGCAGCAGCCACGCGAGCCCCAGCCACAGGCGACGGCGCATGGCCCGCGCGTCCCGCTCGCCGCCGGCTCGAGCCTCCCGGCGCGCGGCGGCGGCTCTGCCTCTGCGGGGGGCGGGGCGCCCGAGCGGGGCCGCACCTCGCCGGCCAATAGGGAGCCTCGGGGGCGGGCCCAGCGCAGCGAGAGGCGGGCCAGGGCGCTGGGCGGGGCAGGACCCGAGAATCGACCAATGAGGCGCCGGGAACAGGCCAACGGAGCGGCTCGGGGGCGGAGACAGCGCGGCAGGGGCGGGGCTTCGGGGCATCGGGGCGGGGCCGGGGTGCAGGGAGGGGCCCATTCAGGAAAATACTCTCCGGCCTCCACGCGTGTTTGTTTGTCTTGCGGGGCAGGGTGGGGAGGGCGGTGCCTGTCGGTGAGTCACTGGGTTGGCCTGCAGGGTCTGCGGGGGTGTAAGTGTGAGAGGGGCGGGGACAGAGACTCGGAGGGAGACATTGAGGCAGACAGATACACAGAGAGACAGAGACACAGAGAGACAGAGATAGAAATCAGAGACACAGGGCCTCCCTGGGGGCGCAAGGGGTTAAGTCTCAGCGCTATCAAGCTATCGCCAGCCGCTGCAGCATGAGTTCGATCCCCGGCCAGGGAGCAACCCAGACAGCAGCTCTCTCCTGTCCCCCCACTGCTCCCCTCAGCAGTGTATTTCAGTGGACCCACCTGTTCTGCTCCCCACTTTGTCTCTGGTGAATCCTCTCACCCCCCCCCGACCCCTCTGGCCTACACCCCAGCTCTTGTATGCATACATACATAAAAAGAAATCTTCAAAAAAAAAAAAAGAAATCAGAGACACAGATGAGAGACATAGAGATAGAGATGAGTGAGAGAGAGGCAGACAGAGACAGAGGCAGGCTGAAACTGAATGAGACAGATACAGTGAGACAAGAACAGACAGAAAGGGGGGGTGGGCATCAGAGGTTGAGATGGAAGCTGTGATCCAAGGGTCCATTCCCAAGCCAGCCCCCATGGATTGGGTATTCCCAGGTGAGACTGGTCTGCACTCCAAACTAGAGCGTACTCAGAGGCAGCCCCAGGGGCAGGGTCTTCACTGAGGGGTGCGCTGAGGGAACGTGGAGGTGGTGGGGCAGGAAATGGTTGGGGAGAGCATGAACAGCATTTGGGCAGTTGAGTTCATGGGGTGCGGTAAGTGGAACAGTGGCTCATTCTAGAATGGACATGTGGGCACGTCTGTGGCTAACTGACAGGGACACAGACGATGACCTTGGTTAGCAGGCCATCCTGGGCCTCCACCGCTGCACGTTCATGGCTGCAGGTGTGAGGCATCCCCTTTACGCCCACACCTGCTCATCATTTACAGACACACCAGCGTCCCACGGGGAGCCATGTGAGCTCTGAGAGCACAGTGAATAAACAGGCAAGAGAACTGAGGCCCAAGAGGCCCCTCACAGGACGCATCTCAGGTCTCCTAGCCCCTGCCCCTCTTCTCCCAGCAGTCTGTGGCCTTGGCCCAAAGCCTTGCCACCCCTTGATTTCGGCCCAGTGGTACTGATGCCCGCTTTCTGATACTGAATGTCTGGTCTCCAGAAACGTGAGAACCTGAATTTCTTTTGTTCAAGGCACCGAGTTGTGGTGCTTCATTAGAGCAGCCCCAGGTATTGGGTACCTCCATCTACCTCGCTCCATCCAGAGATCCTGCCTCCGCTTGCCTTTTTCAACGTAAACTTCTGAAATCTCAGAATGTCCCTCAACTCAGCTTCATTTGAACATGACTGGATTTGGACAAGACATTCTGTGTTTTCTGTGTGAAAACCCAACATACGTGAACAGTTTCTGAAACACAGTGTTGCCCAAATTCCAGGCCCTTGATGCCATGGTTCCCATTTAATTACTCGTGTCTTCATCGTTCTTGTGTATTATTAAAATTTTCTTGCTTAAGTTTCACAAAGAAACTTGACACCACCACCAGGAATCAAACCAGTGCCATACTTTGACACACTGACAACAAGTCATAAAAAGAAATACAATGAAAAGAGAACAAGGTGGCAAATTCTCAGGTGAAAAGGATCACAGGAAGCTGAAATAGGAGTTAAATGCAGGCACTGAGTGAGACTTCCTGTGATGTTCAGGAGTTTTGAGTGGGGACTAAAAGAACAGCTGTCCTCATCGCTAAGGTGCAAGAATCCTAGGGTTTAGGTCATATGATGTTACATTGAATAGAAGTGGAAGCTGAGGCATAAAAATTCAGAAGTCTTGACTTACAGCCCAGGTTTCTGGCTTTGCCAGCTGGTTGAGTGTGAAGGTTATCTCTAGGTCTTGGGGGCCAGGCCCAGCTGATTCAGCCCCCAGGTCAGGAAGACAACCCCAGGTGTGAGTCAGGGTGAAGTCACAGGCCCCAGGGAATCGTGGGGTGGGCTGGGGTGGTTTCTCCAGGGTGCTGCACTCTGTTGAAAACATTCCTAGCCAGTGGCATCACAATGCCTGCGTGGGCAGCTGTGTCTGGAATGTGCTGTCAAGAGTCTGACAGGCCCAGGAGTCTTGCCCTTCTAGCACAAAGGTCTGAACTAATGGAGAAACCAAAGTCTGAGCCTCTGAGAATAGATGGCAACTTGAGCCTTGATCCCTGAGACCCTGGAATCTGGCCCTCCAGCACCCCTCCAGTTTTGCCTGTTTCCTCTCCCCAACACCCTCTGCTCAAGTCCTTCCAGCTACCCCTGCCTGTTCCTGTCTCAAGGCCTTTGCACTTGTTATGACCTCTGCCTGAAATTAGGCCAGATATTCTTATTCTTTTTTTTTTTTTTTTAAATTTATTTATTTATTTATACAAGCACTGGGTACAGTCAGAAGCACGGGAGGGTGAGAGAATTCACCAGAGCCAGAGCGGGGAACAGAACAGGCAGACCGACGAAATACACTGCTGAGGGGAGCAGGGGGCGTGGCAGGAGAGGTCTGCGCACCATGTGGGACCCTCACCGGTGGCCAGGGATCGAACCAGCGCTGCAGACTCGATCCGGCGCCGCAGTCTGCAGGCAGCTTCGCAGCCCAGCGTTCAACCACTGCGCCACCAGACATTCTTATTCTTATCCTTCACATGCCAGCTGGACCCAGACCAGGTGCTTGCGTCCCTCTGCCTCAGTTTCCCCAACTATTATTGTAGTGGGCATGTCTTCCTAGTCTGATTCCCACTTACTTTTGAGTGGGAGCACCTTGGAAGCCAGGGCTGGGAACCTCCAGGCTTGAGGGGTTATCTCAATCACTCATCTCAGTTTAGTAGGTTAGTTCCTGCCCTACTCTGCCCCTGACCTTGGGGGCTTGGGCAAAGTGGATAAACTGAAGCCGGAAGAGCATAAGAAAGAAATGTCCTAGGGCCTCCCCGGTGGCGCAGCGGTTGAGCGCTGGGTTGCGAAGCTGCCCCCGGCCTCTGCGGGCCGGTTCGATCCCCGGCTGCTCCCCGGACACCGGAGGAGGGTCCCACATGGCGCGCAGACCTCTCCTGCCGCCCGCTGCTCCCCTCAGCAGTGTACTTCGGTCCTTCTGCCTGCTCTGCTCCCCGCTCTGGCTCTGGTGAATTCTCTCACCCTCCCGCGCTTCTGACTGTACCCAGTGCTGGTATAAATAATAAATAAATTAAAAAAAAAAAAAAAAGAAATGTCCTAAACAGGTCTGTATGGGAGTCAAACACACCTGGGCTTTCATTCCAGTCATATTGTGTGTATTTAGGTAATTTCACTGACCTCTTTGAACTTCAGTAGTCGCTGGATCAATGAAGATCGCGGCAAGAACCTCTAAATAAGTTGAACATGTCCTTAAAAAACCCAAACACCCAGATCTGGGTCTTACCAAAGACGGGCTCAGCTGCGCTCACCTGCATGCCCAGTCACCCCGCCCCTCCTGATGGTTGGGACGCCGGGGCCCCGCAGCCCGCTGGGAGTTGTAGTTCAGGCTGCGCGCTTCCGCTTGCGCTGTCCCTTCGCGGCTGCCGTCAGTCCAGGAACTACAACTCCCAGCAGGCGGCGCGGGCGCGGTGCGGTCGGCGGCGGGTCCGCGTGCGGCATGTCGGCGCTGCGCTGGGGCCGCGGCGCGGCCGGGCTCGGGTGGGCTCTGCGGCCCGCGGGCCGCCCCGGGCTCCCAGCGGAGGAAGGTAACGCGGGCGAGGCCGGGACGGCGCGGCCACGTCCCCTCTCCCCGCCCCCTCACCGCCCGTGCCGGTGCCACCCGCCGGGCCGTGACCTTTGACTCTTCGGCCCCCGGGATCCAGCCGTGCCCGGCCCTTGCCTTTTTGTGTTTCTTGGGGACCCCCTAACTCCACCCCGTTTTCACTTGCCCCTGACGCGCTTGCTCTCCCGACGGGGGTCTGCAGAGTATTTTGACCTTTGATTCTTGGCTTCTTTTGGAAGCTCCTGGCATTTAGGGCTCTTGATCTTTGAACTCTCTGCCCGATCCCACACCCCAATATTCTTACTGTGTGGTGACCGCTCACTTTTGACCTCTTGGTTTCTTCCAATGAGAGCCCCATGACCTTTGACATTTGCTACCGAATCCAGGGCGCCCTTGCCTCTGGATTCAGCGATTTTTGCCGGTGAGAACCGCCCCCTAGCCCTTCCCGTGCCAAGCCCCTGCTGCCTCATCTCTTCCTCAGGGGCCCTCCGCGGTTTCTGTGGCCGAAGAAATAACTCCTCCGCCCACCCTTGTGAGCAAGACCCCAGGAAGGACTGGGGCCATGCAGAGCTCCTGGAGGGTAAGCCTAACTCTCAGGGCGTGGGACCGGAAACCTCTTCCTCACTGCCCCCTCGCACCAGCCACTCTGCTGGGGCTCACTTCCTCGTTCTTCACCACAGAAGGGATGTTAATCTGTAAAATGGGGTAGCTTAATGCCTGTTCCCTGCTTGTGGCGGTCAAGAGGGCCTGCTGAGATGAGGCCAGAAGTGTGTGACCTCTTCTTGGTGGGTGCTGAGCCCCTGCTGCATGATGCAGGCTGCGAGCCCTTGTAACTCCATCCCAGACCCACCATGCTTCCTCAATTTACGTGTAGTTGAGGCCCCAAATTATGGCTGGACACACTTGTCCACGGCCACAGGCAGCTGCACACGCACAGCTTGGATTTGAGCCCTGAGCTGTCCCACGTGCCCCTCCCCCATGGCTCTCTGGGGTTTGAGTGCCTGATGGGGTCCTGGCCTTCCACCTTTGTAAAGGATGGGGTCATCCTGCTGACCTCATGAGCTGGCAGCCTCAGGAGGAGGTAGGGCATCCGTTCTTTCTCTCCTTCCCATCATCCTCTCCTTTCCAGATGAGTTCTCTCTATCTGCGGCAAAGGTGCAGTGGAGAAAATTTCAGAAAATTTCAAAGATACAGAAGTAAAAACATAGGTCCCCTGGTTTCAACTGCAGACTTTCTTTTCTTAGCCATCTAATTGTTTGAAAGCAAAATCCAGGTAGATCATTCAGCCGGAGGAAGGTTCTAGAAATCTAAATCACATCAAGTCACCATAGCTAGAAATCCTCCGGCTCTTGTCTCTGACGCCCCTGCCGAGGGACACAGACCCTGTGGCTTGTTGCTCCAGCAGGAGGAGCTGTGGCCTCACAGGCCTTGGTGACTGCTTGTTTGTAGAGCTGGTGCCTTCCCAGCCACCAGGTCAGCTGAGGCTTCTCGGCTTGGGGAGGCCTGTACCCGCGTCCCTGCTCCCTGTCACGTCTGCTGCACTTCCCTCTGGACGCACTGCAGTCTGGAAGTCCATCCTATATATCGCAGTGTCTCCCAGCGCCGGAGCGCTCAGGCTGGGTTCAGCAGCTCCATACCTGCCCTGTGCTGCCAGCCCTTGGGTGGGCGTGAGGCCAGCCGAGGTCTCTCTTCTCTGCTAGAGGCACAGGCACTGGACAGACAGCCCATTCTCCTTGTTTGTGGGTTCAGTTTTTGAAGCTAAAATTTGTAACCCCAAATAATACTCAAGGCACTTTCAGATCCCCTGCCTGAGGAGCGTATTGCCAGCTGAGGTCAAAGCAGACCTCACTCTCCTTTCGGGGTCTGCTCAGACTGTTGCCAGGTCCCTAGTTGGTGCCGTATGTTTTGTGTTTTTGGGTTTTGTGGGTGACTTCACTGTTTGTAATGGCCCCCAAGTGCAGTGTGCGGTGCTGCCAGCATCCTGGAGTACAGGAAGGCGGTGATGCGCCTTTGGGAGGAAACACCTCCAGGCAGCAGGGGCAGCACATGCCAAGGCCCTGAGGCCATTATGAGCGAGCTGGGTGAGCCAGGCGGAGAGGGAGTGATGAGGTCTGGCGATGGGGCATCTGGACACACTTGAGGGCAGCGCCCTGGGGTGGGAGAGTTGTAGAGGATGGCCAGGGTCTAGTTCAGCACCTGGGAGGACAGAGCTGCTGTGACAGGGGGACATGGAGGAGCAGATTTGGGGGAACACCAGGACTTGCTTGTGATAGGCTTGGGTGGAGAGGTGCTATGTGGGTGGGTGAGTGGGGGACATTAGGGAATTGCCAGCAAATACTGAAGTCAGGTGAGGCTGCCTCCTCCACCTCCTGCTTTTGCACATGGTAGGGTCTGGGGGGATTGGTGTTGAATGGGGTCCGCCTGACAACTTGTCTTTGGTCCCACAGTGCTCGAGGCCCGGGTGCGGCAGCTGCAGGCTGAGTGTGTGTCGGAGATGACTGTGAAGAGGGTGGATGTGGCGGGACTCCAGGAGGGTGGCATCCTCCAGCCCTCCAGGAAGACCCAGATGGGAGCCAGGGATGCTGCCCAGGGACTCAGTGGCCGCTGGGCGCAGAAGCTGGAGAGAGAGAAGCAGAAACAGTTAAAGAACAAGTTTAAGGATCAGGCCTTGATGCTGATTCCCGGGCTGCGCCTGCAGATGAAGCCCCGGCTGCAGGACAAGAGGCTGTCCAACTGCTTGCAACGCTGGGTGAGCGAGACCCCCAGCAGCCCCTGGGAGGAGCAGCTGACACAGCTGCTGCAGGATGCACCACGGAAACTAAGCCAGGAGGCAGAGGAGGACCCAGCGGACATGGCTGTCCTGGCACGGCTGGAGTCACAGCAGCACAGGCTCCAGTCCTTCTTCGAGTGCTGCCTGCTCTCTGACCACCTGCCCCTCGCCCACCACGTGCTGGCTGCGCAGCACAGCAAGGTCCGGCATCCACGGCTGCTGACGCTGGCCATGTATAACACTGTCATGCTGGGCTGGGCACGCAAGGTGAGCAGCCCACACTGCTGGGGAGGGGTGTCCCTCACTGGCCACCTTGCCTGTGGCCTCCCATTGCCAGTCAGTCGCACTTAGATTTGGATCCAGTCTCAGCTTTAAAGTTAAAGTCCTTTGAATTTTACTTTTCAATAATAATTGTAGATTTGTTAAATATAAATTACATGTGGCCCTCAGGAGTATTTTAAAAACACCCCAAAACAGAGGAAAAGACTCAGCTAATGTTTTAGTGCATTTCCTCTCATTTTAGTTGGCCAGGACTTTAAACGTGTCTGATCAAGGGGCATGTCTGGCACGCGGGACAGCGCAGGGACCCCCTCAGCATAGGGGCAAAGATGCTTTTGGTGTAGTTTTGTTCTCGTTTCTGAAGGTGGAAGGTTGGGCATTGGTTTGAAATCCTTTTATGTTGAACATGGGGACACAGAGCTATGACTTTCCCTCTGTGCACTGCTCTAGCTGCGTCTAGAATGTTTTCTTCCATCTCAGTATTTTCTGATTGCTCCAGCAAGTCCTTCTTAGTACCGTGGTGGTTTAGGAGAGTGTTAATTGCATGCCCTTATGAGGAAAAATTTTCTCCAACATTCTCCCCACGAGAATGCAGAGCAACGTGGGAGGCTGTCTGCCACTTAGGTAGTGAAGGAAACAGCCATGTAGCAGTTTGCAGACTGGGATGTTGAGAGAAGCTGTGGCAGAGAATCTGACATGCTGTGCTAATGGCAGGAGACAGCAGGCCGCAGTGCAGGGCACGGTGGAGACGCCTGAGTCTTTGTGAACAAGGTTGGGGGCTTCCGCCTGCCTGTGCTCATCTCTGCAGGAGGGAGACTGAATTCCACGATGAGAGGGCGAAAGATTTGTGCTCCCAGTCAACGCCCCGGCCTCCCAGTGCCCCGTGAGGAGCCCCTGTTGGACAGGACATTTCTTTTCTTCTTTTTTTTTTTTAAATTTTAAGTTTGTTTCTTTTTTTACATCTTTGTTAATTTTTGGACAGTGTTTGATTTCTCTCCTCCGTGTAGCTCCTGCGGTTCTCCGACCACCACGACACCCGAGAACTATCTCCACAGTCCCTTGTGCTCTTCCCACCCCTGCTTTGACCCTCTCCCAGCCCCTCCCTTGCTGCCTGCCTCAGGGCTATGGTCAGTTTGCAAGTTTTGTCTTTTTTTCCTGGACAGGACATTTCTGTGGTCAGCTGTTGTATGAGTCTCCTGGGGCTCTCATGGCTACTATACGCCTGGCAACTTAGAACAACAGATTTATTTTCTCTCAGGCCCAGAGACCGCACCTCTAGCAGCGGGTGTGGCACGGCCAGGCTCCTGGGGAGGGTCCCTTCTGCCTCTCCCAGGCCCGAGGGGCAGTAGCAGTGTCTGCGGCGGCCACGCTTTGCTCATCTCTGCCTTGGTCCTCACGTGGTTGTCTTGTAGGACCCCTTGTTTTAACTAAACACCCTGCAAAGACCCTATTTTCAAGGAAGGCCATGTTCTGAAGTTCTGGTGGGCTGAATTCTGGGAGATGCTCGTCAGCCCGCCACCACCCTACACTGTCTTCTGCATCCTGAGCGTGAACTTCACGAGTGTTGTTGGCTTCTTAAGTTTTTAGGCAGCTCTGACGTGTGTGGAGCAGCTGGGCCGTCTCCCAGCTCTGAGTCCACCCCTTCTGTGGCCCACATCACGCTTCTCTGAGCCTCATGTCCCATCTGTAAAGTGGGGAAATCTGCAGGCTCCTGGGAGGAGCCTAATTTTAGGCCTTAAACTCCACGGATGTGTTTAAGGAAGAGAAAGAATAAGTGAATCTTAAAGTGCTTGTTTTCACAGTGGTGAGATTACTAAAATAGCCTTTTAAAGGTGGGGCAGACATGCTTGTTTTAGCGAAGAGCATTTCTAGTATCCCGAACATTCGGCTGTACCAGCTACCGAACACTTGAAACTTGGCTGCTGCAACTGAAGAGCTGGGTGTTTCATTTAAATATAAATGTGACTAGTGACCTTCAAATTGGGTGACACAGTCACCCCAAACCCACAGTGCTGGCCCTGTGTCCCCGAGGCGAGAGCACATCTGGCAGCACAGCAGGAGCCGAGTGGGAGGCGTGGGTCTCTCCCTCTGGAAGGCTCCGTGACGGCGCTTTCAGACCGGGGAAACTCGCCGTGCCCAGGTGGGTGGGCACAGGCTCCACACCAGGGCATGTGCATGGGGAGCCACTGAGAGCAGGAGGGTTGCCCACGGCACCCGGTGGGCACAGGAGACACCGCTGCCCTGGAGGAGACTAGGGAGAGAAGCTTGTTGACCCTGAGCAGGACTGGAGGTGGAGACGGAGGGCTGGAGATGAACTGGAGACTAGAGTCGGGGGGCCAGCACGCCCCAGAGGGCAGACTCGAACTCTCCAGAACTGAGGGATCGCTCAGGCCGACTTTGAAGAGGGTCATGCATGCTCCTTTGCATAAAACAGAGCAATACTCACGCGCTTCCTCCTGGGAACCTGACCTACCGGCGTGGCCACGCTCCAGGGCTTCTCCCACATGCACAGACATCAGTGTCCACTGAGCTCCCCACTCCCAGCTGGTGACCCTCCTGCCTCGTGATGGCTGCAGGTGGAGGGTCTCGAGAGGCAGGATGGGAATCAGGTAGGGCCCTTCCTCACCCCCTCCCCTGGCTTGTCTCCACAGGGCTCCTTCAAGGAGCTGGTCTTCGTGTTCTACATGATGAAAGACGCCGGCCTCACCCCGGACCTGCTGTCCTATGCGGCCGCGCTGCAGTGCATGGGGCGGCTGGACAAGGATGCCCGCACTATCAAAAGGTGGGTGTCTGCATTCCTCCCAGGCACACAGCCACGTGGACTCCGAGGCTACTCGGTGCTGGGCCTGGGGATGCGGGTGTGTCCCATCTCCCGGGTGGGGCTGCTGCCCTCGCATATCCCCCTGCAGGTGTCTGACGCAGATGGCCCAGGATGGACTGCAGTTGGGGGAGCTCTTCACCATGCCGCTGTGCCCTGACGAGAGAGCAGCCCTCCTCAAGGCTGTGCTCAAAGTCCAGCCCTCCTTCCAGCCCCCGCCTCTGACCCCACCCCCGCCCCAGGTCAACAGTTCCCCACTGCTTTCGGAAGTCTATGCCCAGGTGAGCCCAGGCTCAGCCTGGGGTTGCATCACAATGTCGGGAGGAGTGTCCACAGGGCCTTCATCCTAGAGGTTGAAACCGTAAAGTGCCAGAGGGAGGAAAGGCTCTGGGTGCTGGGGCCAGCTGTGGGCCACATTTCCCTTTTGGAGATTCTGCTATTGGCAGGGCTATGTGAGTCCCCTGAACTGGACAGGCCAGGAGCAGATGGACCGGGCAAGAAGGCAAGATCCCAACACCCACTGCCCCAAGGACAGGAGGCTGAGGGGTGGGTAGGGCCATTCAGGAGCATTGGTGGTTTTTTGGTTTGTTTTGGGGGGCATAATTTAAGGTATAATTTAGTGTTTTTTAGTATAGTCACCTTTATCTGATTCCAGAATATTCCATTGCCCCAAAAAAGAAGCCCTTTTCCCATTAGTAGTCACCAACTGGGTGCTGCACTCTCCCCAGCCCCTGGTACCACTAACCCACTCTCTGTGGCTGGGCCTGTCCTGGATGTTTCTCATCAGTGGCCTCTCACCGCGTGGCCTCGTGTGTCTGCTTCTCTCTGAGTGTCATGTGTTCAGGGTCCCCTCCCGCCCCTCCGTGGTAGCAAGTGTCAGAGCCGCTCCCCTTTGTGTGACCAAGTGACGGTCCCATGTGGGGGGACGTGTGTGTACCCCTTTATCTGATGGATGTTTGGCACTCCTGCTGCCATGGACATGTGTGTGCAGGTTTTAGTGCAGATGTGTTTTTGATTCTCTGTGTTTGGGGTTTTAGTGGCTATTTTTAATTTATAATTGTCTATTTTTAGATAGGTCACATGTTCACACAATTCCAAGTTTAAAATGAAACCAGTGGCATCCAGGGACTCCAAGCGCCCTCCTGGCTGGCCTGGTCCTGAGCTGCTGCCGCCCCGCCCCAGCCTGGCTGGGCCCACGCGGTGTTAACTGGCAAAACTCTTTTATAGGCTGTTCCGCGTCTGCTTTCCCGCTAGCGTCCAGACATTTTCAGGAGATGCGGGGAGACAGACGCGCCCCTGCCAGGGCTGGTGGGGTGGCGGTCCTGGGAAGGGACCTGGAGGGTGGGTGGGCAGCTGCTCTTCTTACCAAGGGTCAACTGGGCGGCCCACGCGACACCGGTGCACCTGACTCAGGGCCTGCCTGTACCTGCTGCAGGACCTTTCCGCATCGTACCCCAAGCTGCACCTGCCCCTGAAGACGCTGCAGGACCTCTTCCAGGAGCAGCTGTGTGTCGAGCTGGCCACTGTCGTCCATGTGCAGTCCGTGGACAAGGCCCCGGAGGAGACCAGGGAGGTCCTGCGTGCGGTGAGCGGCTCAGCTTTGGTGGACTGTGGAGGGTCTAGGCATAGTTGCTGTCCTCCCCCTCCAGGAAGGGGCTTCGTGGTGTACCCACGCTGTGGGGGTGGGGTCCCTGCAGCTGCCTGCAGTGCATTCGCAAACCCTGCCTCAGGGATGTGTCCCTCCTGCGGCCCCTGGGAAGTCTCTGCCAGGGGTCGTCACCCTTGTTCTTCCTTCCTCCTTTGCAGCGGAAGATCCTGGGAGAGCTGCGTGCACAGTGGGAGGGGACGCTGGCCCAGGCACTGCAGGCGGCCAAGGTCAAAGAGGCCCGTGCCGCCCACGAAGGTTTCCCCTCAGTCTTCCCTTACCTGTGCCTGCTCAGTGAGCAGGACATGGTGCAGCTGTTGCTGCAGGTGGGCGTGGGTCATGTGGGGGTAGGTGGGTGTGAGCAGGGGTGGGTGGTAGACTTACAGCACTGCCCCCCCAGACCCTGCGGAACCTGTCCCCTCATGGAGAGTCCTTGCTGTCGGTGGCACAAGAGCTGGGTATGCGGGTCTTCAACCGCTATACGGTGCAGAGGAAGCAGCTCAACAATCAGGTCAAAGTGCTGGAGCAGCGCTACTACAAGTACTTGCACCTGCTGGCGTCTGACACCCAGGTGTGCCCTGCAGCCTAGGTCGAGGAGTGACCTGGGATCTGGGGATCCCTTAGGATTGAGGCACGCGGAGGGGAATATCGAAGCCTCAAGGAGGTCTTCTCCCCACTGCCCTCCCTCCCAGGGGCATCTGGATTTACCCCTGGCCCTGCCGCTTCCCCTCTGCCCCCAGCCTCAGTTTCCTCTTCCTTCGCAACAGATGATAGTCATCCTTCCTGTGGGTGTGGCAGGGGCACCCAGCTCTGCATGGTCCCCCAACACCTGACCTAGCCTGCTGCCCACAGGTGGCGACACCCCGCCTGCCACGGCAGTACTGGGAGGAGCTGGGCTTGCCCGACGCCCCCCATGAGCAGCCCTGGCCCCTGCCTGTGCTGGTGCAGCTGGGCAAGCAACTGGCGGAGGTGCTGGTGAAGGCCATACAGATGCCCAAACACCTGGCCACGCCGAAGGGCGACCAGAGGAACATCCCGGTGCTCTACCACGCCTATTCGTTCCGCAGCTACCGCCAGGTGGGTGCACGAGAGACCACCCCACACACACACACACCCACCCCCCACCTCACTCCCCTGCGCAGGGGCCGAGGTGAGGCCATAGGCCCCAGGGGGCGAGTGGGGACACCTGGGCCACAAAGGAGTCCTGTCAGAACGCGGCAGGGTGTGTGACGGGGTTCTCTGCCTGCTGTCTGCTGGGCTCATCTCCCCCTTGACCCCATCACCCTGCCCCCTCTAGATTGGGATCCTGAAGCCGCACCCGGCCTTCATGCAGCTGGTGGAGGATGCTGCCGAGCGCGAGCTGACCTTTGAGGCCAGTGAGATGCCCATGCTATGCCCGCCACTGCCCTGGATGTCGCCACATTCGGGCGCCTTCCTGCTGAGCCCCACCAAGCTCATGCGCTCGATGGAGGGCACCACCCAGCACCAGCGCCTGCTGGATAGCTGCCCCCCCGCCGACCTGCACGGCGCCCTGGACACCCTCACCCAGCTGGGCAACTGTGCCTGGCAGGTCAATGGAACAGTGCTGGACCTGGTGCTGCAGCTCTTTACCGACAAGGGTTGCCCTCGCCTGGGGGTGCCGGCCCCTACCTCCGAGGCGCCCCAGCCGCCCTCCACCCGCCTGCCGCCTGACACCCCACCGGCCCGCAAGGCCGAGGTGCGCCGGGAGCTGGCCCGCTGCCTGAAGGTGACCCGGGAGATGCACAGCCTGTGGGCGGACGCACGGTACCGCCTCTCGCTGGCCCAGCACCTGCGGAACCACATCTTCTGGCTGCCCCACAACATGGACTTCAGGGGCCGCACCTACCCCTGCCCACCGCACTTCAACCACCTGGGCAGTGACCTGGCACGCGCCCTGCTAGAATTTGCTGAGGGCCGCCCGCTCGGCCCCCACGGCCTTGACTGGCTCAAGATCCACCTGGTGAACCTCACCGGGCTCAAGAAGCACGAGTCGCTGCAGGGGCGCCTGGCCTTCGCCAACGAGAAGATGGAAGACGTCCTGGACTCTGCCGACCAGCCCATGACGGTAGGGGCCGCGCTGGGCCTGTGGTCTCTGGACCCTTCCCCAGGCTGGGCCAGCCACCTCAGCACCCCTTGGACACCCCTCCCCCCGCTCACCCAGCACTGTCCTCCCTGGGCGGACTGCTGGCAGCGTCGCTGGCCGTGCCTCTGCCTGGTCCGTCCGCTCTGCCACCTCCGCTGGGCGGCACCCCTTCCTGGACGCGCCCCGTCCTGCACGGTCAGGGTGCTCCACGGCTTCCCTGCCCTTTCATCCCTGTCCTTCCCACCGTCCCAGCCTCTTGCCCACCGGGCCCAGCCAGCACCTGCGCTCCTCTCTGTAGGGCCGGAAGTGGTGGATGGAGGCGGATGAGCCCTGGCAAGCCCTGGCCTGCTGCATGGAGATTGCACGGGCCGTGCGTGCCCCTGACCCCGCTGCCTACGTCTCCCACTTCCCTATTCACCAGGTGAGCGGTGGGCGCCTTGCTGCCGGGGGTGCCCAGCCTCTGGGGGCTGTACTGCAGGTTTCTCAGCTCGGAGGTTCCAAGGTACAGTGTGTGTCCAGCTCCTGCAAGTCCTGGTCTGCGCTGACGGGTCACTGTGCGGGGGCCCGCTCCAGGGGTCTGTGTCTCCCTGCTCCTCTGCTCCTGAACCCCCGACTGGCCCTTTGCAGTGGGGTAGCAGCGCCTGCCTCAGCGGTGGGGTCCGGCAGGGGGCTGGGGGAGCACGACCTATGGCTCGTTGCCTGGAGCTGTCTTCCCTGCTCCCCCAGCCCCACGCTGATGACTCCCCGTCCACCTCATCCCCAGGATGGCTCCTGTAATGGCCTGCAGCACTATGCCGCCCTGGGCCGAGACAGTATGGGGGCTGCAGCCGTCAACCTGATGCCCTCAGACCTGCCGCAGGACGTATACAGTGGGGTGGCTGATCAGGTGGGCACCACAGCCCCCTTCTCCTCAAAGCCAAGCAGGGTCTCTGCCCTGGGCATCGATGGCCAGGACCTCTGATGTAATGAGGCAGTCAGGGTGGGATTCTAGGGGAGGGGGAGGGAGGGTCCCCATGCCCGGCGCCCTGACTCTCAGGCCTGCCCAGGTGGAGGTGTTCCGCAGACAAGACGCCGAGCAGGGCGTGCAGGTGGCCCAGACGCTGGAGGGCTTCATCAGCCGGAAGGTCGTCAAGCAGACGGTGATGACCGTGGTGTATGGAGTCACCCGCTACGGGGGCCGCCTGCAGATCGAGAAGCGCCTGCGGGAGCTGGACAGCTTCCCCCAGGTACAGCCCCGCAAGCCGGCGGGCTCCGGGACGCTTTCCCTCCCGAACCCCTGATCCAGCCGGTGGCCTCCCCCCAGTAATTGGCCATGGCTGGGGCCCGGGCTTGTGGGACTCGGGTCTCATTTTGTCCATTTGAAAAATGGGTGGAGATCAGAATTCCCGGGCAGGCTGGTTGGGTCACTCCCCGCGGGCCCCTTGGGGGCAGCCATGCAGCGAGCGGGCCCCACCCGAACCCGCGCGCCGCCTTGTGCCCCTTGAACACGGTCGTCCCCCGCCCCAAGGAGTGCGTGTGGGAGGCCTCGCACTACCTCGTGCGCCAGGTGTTCAACAGCCTCCAAGAGATGTTCTCGGGCTCGCGGGCCATCCAGGTACGTGACCGTCGTCCTGCAGGTGGAGGGTCTCCTGGGCGCCCCTGGGCCGGAGCGCCCTGACCCCGGTGCCCTCCCCGCAGCACTGGCTCACCGAGGCTGCCCGGCTCATCGCGCAGTCGGGCTCGGCAGTGGAGTGGGTCACCCCGCTGGGCATCCCCGTCGTCCAGCCCTACCACCTCGACTGCAAGGTCTTGGTGAGTGCAGACCCCGCCCGCCCTGCCCCTCGCCCGGCCCCTCGTCCCGCCGGGACTCACCGCCGCTCGTCCCCTGCACCCTGCAGGTCAACGGCGGGATGCAGACGCTCACCCTCAGCAGCAGCGGGGACACCAGCCAGTGAGTGTGGGGCTGAGGGAGCGGCCGGCCGGGGGCACCTGGGTCAGCCCCGAGGGGCCGCCTCAGTGTCACTGTCCCCCCAGAAGGCCCAACACGCTGAAGCAGAAGAACGGCTTCCCGCCCAACTTCATCCACTCGCTGGACTCCTCGCACATGATGCTCACCGCCCTGCACTGCTACAGGTGGGCCCGCCCGCCCCGGCGCACTCCGGGAGTCGGGCCACCAGGCCCCCCCAGCGGGGGACGCGGGTCAGGGAGATTGGTGCTGCGTGAGGGTTGGGGTGAGGGGCCAGGCAGCGGCCCTCAGCAAGGGAGGCCCTGCGTGCAGGCCTGGTGCCCAGAGCCTGTGTGGCCAGGCTGTCGGGGAGGGGGGCAGCCAGGACGCCGTGCCCGCTCCGAGGTGGCGCTGGCCCTGTCCATGTGAGTGTGGGCCAGGCCGGTGTGGCACCGCGGAGGGTGGCCAGCTCTGGGGAGTTTGGACGTCATCCTGATGGACACGTGGACCTCGGGATGGGGGCGGCAGAGGCCTGGGGCCTTCTGTCCTGAGCCCCTCAGAGGCAGCTGAGCAGGGGGTGATGGGGTAGGTGTGTGGACAGTTCACATTAATGGAGTCGGGGGCGCGGTGGCTTGGGTGAACTGGGGTTCATAGGAAAGTTCTGTGCTTTCTGCATACCCCTTCGGGACTGAGCCTGGTGGAGAGGGTCAGCACTAGCCGTCCCTTCTGGAAGTTGAGAAGCCATGAGGTGGCAGGTGGGGCCTGGTGAAGGGGTGCGGGGCAGAGACTTCTTCCCGGGGTGAGAACTCCAGTACCTACCTGCTGAGGGTCGGGGTGTGCATCACTGGACTCGGCCCCCTGTGGAGTGGGGGCAGCTTGACCCCACGGGGGAGGGGCTGAGAGCAGGGTGGGGCTGAAGGGCAGGACTACCGGGGTGGTGGATTGGTTGGGGTGTCTCCTGGGCGGGACTGCCCCGCTCACAGGAGCCTCTCCCCCCTGCTGTAGGAAAGGCCTGACCTTCGTCTCTGTGCACGACTGCTTCTGGACCCACGCTGCCGACGTGCCCGTCATGAACCAGGTGCTGCCCCATCCAGATTAGAAGCAGCACCCTCACCTCACACCCCTGCCTCAGTCCCGCCATCGGTGCTGGCACCCAGCTCTGAGAGGGGGGTGGTGACGCCCTCCCTGGGCCTCCCTTCTGACGCCCCCCTCCCTAGGTGTGCCGGGAGCAGTTCTTCCGCCTGCACAGCCACCCCATCCTGCAGGACCTGTCCGCCTTCCTGCTGAAGCGCTTCTGCTCCTGCTCCAGGTGAGCCCCCCACCCCTACCCCGCCATGGCCACGCGGCTCCTGCTGCCCCCTGACCCCGCCGCCTCTGCCGCAGCTCCTCCAAGGACGGCCAGCGGCTCAGGCTGCAGAATACGCTGCTGTCGGTGCCCGAGAGAGGTAGGCGCGGGAGGTGGGGACGGGGAGGGCACGGCCGCGGGGTGGGGGGACCTCTCCACAGCCGGGCTCTCTCCTCCCAAGGGTCCCTGGACCTGGAGCAGGTGAAGCACTCCACCTACTTCTTCAGCTGAAGATCCGCCCGCGCTTCTGTCCCCGGGGGCGCTCGCCTGCCCTGCCCTGCCCTGTACCATAGTGTAAATAAAGCCGTTGCCACCCGTGGGAGCCTCTGCCTTCTAGGGAGTCCTGCCCGCCCCGCTGTGCGCAGGGCGCCTGACCTCCTGGGACTGTGCCAAGAATCAGAGGTGGGCAGGTTGGGCGCCAATGCTGTTGTTTATTGCGCGGAATGGGGATGTCGGGGTTACTGGGGCGTGGAGGGCATGGTGGGGGGCTGCTGCCTCGGCTCGTCAGTACATTCATCTCAACGGCGGGACCCCTTGCCTCGCCCCCACACCCCTGGGTGCCAGTGCTGAAGGGAGCTGGGTGTGCCCGCTCCGGGAAGGTCACCGCGGGATGCGTGTGGACAGGGGCCGGGCCAGTTATTGCGTGAGCGCAGTGGGGCAGCGGAAGCTGCGGGCCAAGTATTGCACTTAAAAACCATAATTGGTCAGCGGGCCCCCCACGAGGGTGGGGCGGGCAGGACTCCACAGCCACTCTTCTCGGCTGGCCAGTCCCCGTTTTACAGTTGGGGGAACTCAGGCACCGAGGTGATGGGAGCCCCCTCGCGTGTGCAAGGCCGCCGCAGGGGCCGGGGTGATGTGGACGGGCACAGGGCAATGAGGGGGGATGGCCAGGGCTCAGAGGGGGCTGCCTCTCCACCCAGGCCCGCCCGTCTGACTACAACTACCTACGTCTCCTCTATGGCTTCTGGGCGGGCAGTGGGCGGCTGAGGGCAGCGCGCAATGGCATGGCTTTGGTCTGAATGATGGCCTCCACCCTGACCCGCCCGGCCCACAGGGCGGCGCAGCGAGGGTCACAAGTTGGATGAGAGGCGTGAGCGCGCAGAGTCCAGTGGGTCGAGGCCACCGGCAGCGCCAGGGGAGGCCGAGTCCCTACGGTCCGGGCTGGGTGCGGTGGCCCGGGTGGCAGGCGTGGGCCCCAGGCGGGGTGTGGAGCTGCTGGCCGGGCGCACGGAGGCTGTGGGACCTGGACCGGGCGCGCCGTGGGGCAGCGAGGGCTGCGAGGCCGACAGTGGGCGCGACGCACGGCTCAGACGGCGCGCAGGTAGTGCTGGCCCGGCGCGGGGCCCGGCGGGAGAGCTGGGCCTGCCGCCATAGGGCGAGGTCCGCGGCACCCGGGGGCTGGCAGGTGCGCCCGGGGGGCTGGCAGCCGGCATGGTCCCCGGTGAAGGGGCAGCGGGCGTGGGCCCGGGGGGCGGGCGGCGCACAAGGCGTGGTGAGCCCAGTGCCAGAGGCCCCACAAGCGGACGTGCCACCTGTGGGCAGAAGCTCATGGCCACGGCCTGCTGCAGCGTGGCAATGGCCGAGGTGACCTGTGGCGGCGGTGGTGGTGGGAAGAGGCCAACGCGCTGGCCAAGCTCTGCCTGCTGCACCATCTCCCGGTCGTACTTGACAATCTCCTGGATGATGGCATTCTCCTGGTTGTTAAACACACCTGAGTTGAGGTCATGCTGCACCTTGTGCAGCAGGATCGAGTTCTTCTTGCCTGGCGGGGAGGGAGAAGGTCAGTGCTGCAGGCGGCACCATCTGCTTGCACCCCAAGAGCACGGAGCATGCGGAGGGCCTCCCTGTGCCACGAGCGGGTCCAGCCTACTGTGCACACCCAGGCCACATGCTACCGCCTGTGTGGACGCCTGATGAGGACAGCAAGCGGGATCTGGGTACTGCTCTTGAGCCAGGACACACGCTTGCGTGTATTGAGTGCCTCCTGCATACAGAAAGCAGGTGACATCCCCCCGCATGTAGCAAGCTGCTGGATATAACAAGTGTGAGTGGAACACCTTGCGTGCAGCAGGAAGCATCTACCTGCTCTGCACAGCAAATGGACTGAGCACCTACTCTAGCAGGCAGCTATTGGACAGCTACTCTACAGCCAGCATGGACGGAACGCCTGCACACGGATACTGAGCAGATACTGAGCGCCTGTGGTGTACGCAGAACTTGAGCACTACTGTATTCAGCAAGTAGATACCGCACACCTGCTGTATACAGCAAGCATGCATTGGGTGCACGGTGCCAACCCCCGCACCGCCCAGTCAGGGTGGCTGTGCGCCTACTACACGGAGCAAAACATCCCAGCGCCTGCCACTCCCAGGTATTCGAGCACCCGGTGGACAGTGAATTCGGTGCCGTGAACACGCTGAGCACTTCCTGTATACGTGACGTCTCCCTTTAACACCCGTCCTCACCCAGAGCTGCTTTTCCAGTTGTTTCATTCCCACATGTCGCACCAAGGGCCACCTTCTCCCCGACCCTGACATTTAGTCAGCTGGGAGCCTGCCTCTCCCTACGTCACCACCTCCCAGGCCAGGCCACCACCTCCTTCCCTACCACCTGCCACGTGTAGCATTCGAATCCGATGTTACCCTCCCGAGCCTGGAATCATGCATGACTCACTGCTGCTCCTGATTTGTAGTCTGCTCCTCCCCCACAGCCCCCTCGGCCCATGTACCTGCTTCCCACCTGCCTCCCTCCCAGCTGTGCCGGCTTTCAACTCCAGTTCCTCCTAGCTCAGGGGCTCTGTGCACGCTGCACGCACTTCTGGAACATGCCTTCCTCATCCTTTCTGCCGCCAACACCTCCTGTCTGGTCTCCATTCAGCATCCCCTCCTCAGTGGAGCCCACCGCCCCCACACCCCTGCTATGACGCGAGCTTCCTGAGGGTGCCCCGGGGCCTGCCTCTGCCCACGCCACACCCGGGCTCACTGTGCTCAACAGCACTCGCCAAGTGAGCCCAAGTTCTGCACAACTGGAAACGCCTCGCACTCTTCTTGGGAGCCAGCGCCGCGTTTGGCCACGAGGAAGTCAGACAATCTGGCGGGGGGCGGGGGGCATGCCAGGCCCTCTCGCCACATAACCTCCAAGACCTGACAGCTGGGCCACTCACCAATGCGGTCCAGGCGGTCGATGGCGACTGTCTCGAAGGCCCGTCGCATCATGGGGTACTCCTCCAGCACCTCGTTGAAGTTGTCCACGCTCAGCGAGTAGAGGCGGCAGTAGGTGTCGGCCCGCACGCTGGCCGTGCGCCGGCCTCGCGTCAGCAGGCAAATCTCTGCAGGGGGAGTGCCCTTAGCTGCTGGACGGCACCTGCGCCCCATGCATCCTCGGGGCCCCCCAGTGGCCCTGACTGAGGTCGGGCCTCCTCACCCCTGCTAGGGTGACCCTTTCACCCGGAGACCCTCCCTGGTGTCCATGACAGCCGCGCCCGCGCCTCTGGACGCCACACGTGGGTTGCGGGGGTGGGGAGGCCGGGTTCCCGCTCCCCCTTCCTCCCGGGCGGAGTGCCGCTGTCCCAGGCCCCCCTCTCGCCCCATCCCCAAGATGCTCACCCCCAAAGTAGGAGCCATCCGACAACTTCATCTCCTTGTTGCCCTTGGTGAGCACGCTGACCACGCCGTGCTGGATGAAGTACATCTTCTTGCCAACGGTGCCCTCGCGGATGATGTAGTCGCCCGGCTGGAAGACCTCGAACTTGAGTTTGGTCAGCATGGCCGTGACAAAGTTGGGGTCGGCGTTGGCGAACAGTGGCATCGAGGCCACCAGCTTCCGGCAGTTGAAGTTGACGATCTCCTGTGGGGCAGGAGACAAGCGTCGGGGTCGGGGCTGGCTGGCCTCCACCTCGTCCTACTTTGGGCTGTGGAAGGCACAAAGGATGAAAAGGCCCCACCCGCAGCAGCACACGGAGCTCAGCGGCGGCTTGGCACGGATTTAGCGAGAAATGCCCAAACCTAAAGCAAGCTCAGAAACGCTCCTGCGAGGCACAGAGGAGCCGTGCGCGCTTCGTGTTCTTAGCAAGGGCCTCACAGGCGCCTGTGCTCCCTGTGTGCTTACACACTTAACACGATCCCAGAGAAGATCCCACCGGCCCTGCTTTCTCCATAACGGGCTAGCCAAGCTCATCGCGATAAATGACCAAAAGCAGGAGGACGCCTGTGCAAGAGAAGGTCCGCTGAGTTCTCTAAGCACCCCTGGAAGCCCCTGGGGTCGGAACAGAGCGGCCTGGGCCCCCAAAGCAGACAAGCCTGCGGGGCAGATTTCAAGTCCGGCAAGACAACGAGACACATGGAGCTGTAGGGTCAAGACGGTCTTGGGCAGAGCTGGACGGACGCCTCATCCCTGCAGCAGAAGGGGTACCTGAACCCCCCCCGCCCCACCACTTTCCAAGATAAACTGTGAGGGGCTGCGGGATGGATCTATGCGTGAAAGCCAGAAACTGTGCAAGCACCAGGAGCCAGCGGGGCCCGTCCTCTAACACTCAGGCGTGTGCAAGAGCATGCTGCGCCCCTGCTGTGGACAGCACCTTGGGCAGCAAGTACTGAGCGCCTATTATGCAGAGAAACGTGTTGAACACCTACTGTGGACAGAAGGAAGATACTGGAGACCTAGTCTCGTGGGTGGGAGCAAGCGTGCATGGCCCAGAGAGGTGGGCACCTACTGTGCGCAGGAAGCATACACGCAGACTGTCTGCTCTGTACAGTAAGTGCTGTATGGAAAGCGTAGATCTGCAGCACCTACTGTGTGTAGCGGGCACACACAGCATCTGCTGTACACAGCATGAAGTCCCCCATAAAAAAACAAAAACAGGGCCTCCCCGGTGGCGCAGCGGTTGAGTGCTGGGTTGCGAAGCTGCCCGCAGCCTCTGCGGCGCCAGTTCAATCCCCGGATGCCCCCCGGCCACCGGAGGAGGGTCCCGCATGGCGCGCAGACCTCTCCTGCCGCCCGCTGCTCCCCTCAGCAGTGTACTTCGGTCCTTCTGCCTGCTCTGCTCCCTGCTCTGGCTCTGGTGAATTCTCTCACCCTCCCGCGCTTCTGACTGTACCCAGTGCTTGGATAAATAAATAAATCTTAAAAAAAAAAAAAAAAAAAAACAACCAAAAACAGCGAAGAGATATCAGAAGACAATTGGCCATTGGGACAGGAATTTGTGTCACAAAAGGTTCAAGTCCTCCACATATAAAGAGCTACAGCAAACAAAGAAAGCAAGTTATGAACAGTTGATGGGAAAAGAAACGCAAATAAGACAGCCTCTGATCACACAAAGATGCTCACCCCCTCCGAGTAAGACACCAGCAGACGGGGGGCGGGGAGGAATGGCACCATTCCCCAGTGGGAACTGCGCCCCCCAGGAAGCCTTCAGAGGGCACGTGGACCTGGGGGCCTGCCCCTGCCCATTGACGCTGCACCCCAAGTTCATGTACAGACTGAGGATGCCTGGAGCTCAGCAAAGGGGCACCTGGCGCCGCTGCCTGTGCCTGAGCAATGTGGGGGGTGGGGCAAGCGAGGGGGTGCCCCAGACTCCAGCCCGCCCCTTCTCCTGATTCAATGAAAAGAGGCTACGGTGGGAGGGAGCTGGCCAGAGGGGCCGGAGCGGGTGCATCTTCTGCGCTCAATCGTGATCATCTACAGATCGCCAGGGGCTGGGGAAGGGGGATGGGGCGTGACGGCTGGAGGGCAAGGGTGCCCCCCCCCCGTAGGGTGACAGGGATGAGATCAGGCAGAGGCAGCGGCTGCACGACCCCCACCACACTGAAGCCCCCCGCGTTACGCATCTGCGGTCGTGAGGGCTCTCTCCAAAGGTGAAAGGACCTGAGTGAAAGCAGTTGTCAAGCAGGACCAAACATCCTCAGTGTAGCGCCCGCGGCGCCCACCGCCCCAAGCACAGGCGCTGTTCCCACATTGGCCTGGGGCACCTGCAGGCTCCCCCACCGCCCATGCGCGCGTCCCCCCCAGGGCGCCCCGTTCACGGAGCATGACCCACCACCTCTCGAGGGCGGGGCAGGGCTCACAGCTGGGGCGCAGTTACTGCTTGGTGGATGCTGTGGGCTGAGGCACCCCCAAAAGATGTGTTCAAGTGCTGACCCCCGTAGTGGCCCAGGAGCTCATTTGGGAAGGGGGCCTGGATGCAGTGACCGAGGTCTCCGCAGAAGCAGGGACTCGACAGGCCCCAGGGAGAGGCCCCGCGAGGGGGTGGGGGGCGGGGGCGACGGTCCACAGGCCCCGGGACTGCTGGCCACAGCGGCAGCTGGGCGAGGCAGGGAGGGCCTCCCCGGGGCCTTCAGAAGAAGCGCCGCCCTGGGACGCCTCGACCTTGGACTTCTGGCCCAGAGAGTGAAAAGAAGACATGGTTGCTGCTTGAAGCCATCCAGGCTGTGGGAACTTATCACAGCGGCCCCGGGACGCCGCCAGCAGCACCGGGCTGTGAGGAGCCTCCTGGGCCTGCAGCGGCAGCCGGACAGCGGAGCCTCCCGCCCCCCACGCCCAGCACAGACCCCAAACAGTGCCAGAAGCCAGGGTGCTGGGGCCTCCCCAGGACTCCTGGAGAGGGGGTGTCTGCAGCTTCCTCAGGTTCGGGAGAGGCTGGCTCAGGGGAGGTCAGGGTCTATGTGGGGGTGCAGCTCAGCCCTTCGTGCCGCACCGCAATGGGGAGCCCCCGCCGCCTACCTCCCGCAGGGGCCCGTTGAGCTCGCCCAGGATGCTGTCCTCATCGAACATCTTGCCCTGGTAGCGATGCTCGTAGTAGTCGTGGATCTTCTGGCGGAAGTCGGCGGGCAGCTTGTGGAAGGACATGTACTGCTCCACCTGCTTGTACTGCGGGGGGCGAGGTGCGAGGGGCAGTCAGCAGCCGCCCCCAGAGCCCCCTGCCAAAGGGCCGCCAGCTGCAGCCACGACAATCTAGGACGCGCGGTTGGAGCTGCCCTCGGGCCCCCTGTGTGCAGCCCCCGCCCCGTGTGGTACTGGGGACATGCTTTTTAGTGAAAACAGCCTCGTGTTCTCTATAGCAGCTGGGCCCTGGGAAACGGTGGGCACCTTGACCCAGGCCCTTGCTGGGCTGGACTCGGCCGCCCAGGCCCCCCCACCCTCGAGGCCCCCAGTCTCCGGGAGGCCTGAATCCCCTCAACAATAATACTCCTAGACACCACCCACTCAGCCCTTCCTGAGCAGGGCAGGGGTGCCAGGGCTTTCTGTCCCCAGGGCGGCACCCTCAGGAGTGCCCGGCACGATTTCCCCCCAGCCCCTCCTGGCCACATCTGCCCTGAGCTCAGTGGAACCCGTGATGGCAGGCGGGTGGTGGCACCAGCTCATGTTTGGGTGTGACACCCGGGGCTTCCGGACAGCCGGGTGTCTGGCACCCATCCCGCTGCCCCAGCCAACTCGCTTGGCACTGCTGGGGGGCTTGCAGCTGCCCTGCCAGGGCCAGCCACAGGGCCACAGTGCAGGACAGATGGGGCCACAGCTGGGGAGCTGAGCACACCCTTGGCCACAGGAGGGGAAGCTGAGGCAGGGTGGGGAGTGGGGCTGAATTCCAGAAAGGACTGACTTGTGGAGCCAACACCTGAGCTCCCTCGGCTCCCACTGGCTCCCCGGGTAGGACGAGGCCAGAAAGCCTTGTCCTCCAGAGGCCTTCCTGTGGGCGGCCGCGGCACCCAGGCCTCCTGGACTCTGCCAGGTGCCTTCCCCACCCCAGCCCGTCCTCACCGGCTCGGATGCCCTCGCCCTTGCCTGCTTCCCCGAGAGGCCCTCCAACACCCCCACCCCAGGGACCTCCCTGACACCCTGTGGACTAGGCCTGCCATGGTTGACCTCCCTGTCCTGTCCCCCCGCTGTGTCTCCTCAACCTCTCCCACCGCATCCCCCTCCAGGCTCCAGATTCCCTTCCTCCCGAGCTTTCTCACCATCTTTCCACACCTGCAGGACCTTCGCTCCGCGTGACCCGGTCTCGGACTCCCCCGGCACCCCCACAGCCCACCCGCATGCGCCCCCCTGGCCCGTGCGGGACACACAGGGCTGGGGCAGCCAGGTGCGCCCTCCCAGTCCCCGGGGGGGCCTTCCCCAGCAGACCTTCTCCTGGTACTGGCGCCGGGAGGAGTCCAGGGACTGGATGAGGGCGGTGGCGTGGCCAATGAACATGGCATAGCAGGTGGCGCCCACGATCATGCTCAGCATCGTCAGCCAGATGTCGGTCATGCTCTCGGGCGCCTGCCGCCCGTACCCGATGCACAGCATGTGGCTCATGGCCTTGAAGAGCGCGAAGGAGTACAGCTCGCTCCACGAGTGGTTCTGCAGGGATGCGGCGGGGTGGGCAGGCGCTCTCGGCCCCGAGGCCCCCACCTGCCGCCCGTCCTAGCGCCGGAGTCAGCGCGCTCCCCACGCTCAGGGGGAACCCAGAGACGCGACCTCAGGCCGGCGACGTGATGCGCAGGTGTCATGGCGTGTCTGTGGCGGGGGCGGGCCTGGCCTTTCCTTCCTATTTCACTTCTGGGGAAACAGAAGCTCAGAGGGACCAGAGTGCGCCCTGGGGGTCCAGGAACTCCCACCCGCTACAGACCCTGATCAGGTCTGTGAGGCCCGAGTACCTGACGGTTTCAGGGGCCCTGGGGACAATGTGCTGGAGACACTGAGTCCAACCAGAGGGCCAGGGGGGTGGCAGCATCGGGCAGGGCCGGCGGGCCCCTCCCCCTCCCCGTCCTCAGCTGACCCAGCTGGGGAGGGGCAGCAGCCGGTCAGGAAGCAGGACAGCGTGCTCCGTGTCCGGCCGCACAATGGGCCGCCTCAGCCGGGCAGCTGTGCCAGGCGCCGGGAGGGGCCCGGGGCTTTCCCTTTGAGCTCCTGGTCCATCCTCGCCCAGCTGCTCGGTGCCCAAGTCGAGTGGCCCAGCCCACATGTGCCACAGTGGTGCCAAGCCGCCTGCAACTCCCACTGGCACCGAGACACCCTGGTTACCAGCCGGCACCTCAGCCAGGAAGTCATAGGTCTCGGGCCCCCGGTGACTTGGACCCTTGCGGCTCAAGACAACATTCCCCGAGTCAGGGACGGGAAACAGGGCCTTTTACATAAATACATCAATAAATATGTGAATAAAAACATGGACTCAACAGGGACTAGAACACTAAGGTGGTGTCTCCGGGTGACAAAAGCTGTGCAGTGCCCCCGGCATGACGAGGAGCCGCCTCTCGGTGGTGGGGCACGCGCCAGGCCCAGAGGGTCGCTCATGGGGAAATGCAGGCACCCGCGCAGGGAGCGGGGTTACCCCTGGGAGCCCTCTAGCTTCAGTCCTCGCCCCCGACAGTGGCTGGGGCACCTGGAGCCTCAATTTCCCTCTGCACGGTGGGTGGGGCTCAGGGTGCAGCCTCAGTGCGGCACCTACGCGGGGGTCCTGCCTGCACCGCAGGGGGCGGGGGCGGGGGCGCGGGCGCCGGGCGGGAGCTCACCACCATGCCGTTGATGGACACCCAGCAGTTGCGCGGGAAGTCCTGCAGCATGGGCACCAGGAACTGCAGGCAGCCGTCCCAGTGGCACAGCAGCAGCATCATGCTGATGAGGTTGCAGATGCGCATCACCGCGCTCGCCAGGTCGTAGGTCATGTGGAAGATCTGGGGGGCGAGGCGGGGCGTAGCGCTGAGGGTTGGAGCCGACAATAGCCCCCCCCCACCCGGGCAGTGGAAGAATCACCCCCCCAGCTTCGAGGGGCGGCCCCCCCACTCCCGGAAGGTCCTCAGTTGCATTTCGTGTTAACTGATGAACTGTCCCACCCAGCCTGCTGCCCTCCAGAGCGCCCGAATCCTTCTAGAACCACCGTCCCGCCCGCTTCCCCTCGGGGACCCCAGCTGCCGCCTTGGGAGCAGGAGTGGGGAGCTGGATATCGCTGGACACCAGCGGTTCTGAGCCTTCCAGGTGACCACGGGTGGAGGGGGGTTGGCGGGAGGCCACACAGTCCAGACGAGAGAGCTGCGATTTTGCTTTCCCGAGCCTCAGTTTCCCCATTGCCAAAGGCATCCCCTTGCGCGGCGGAGTGAAGGGATGGGGCGCGGATGTGTCAAAGTCCACTCTGTGCTCCCCACTCTACCCAAGCTCCGTCCCTTGCCCCCCGCCAGGGCTCTGCCCCAGTGGCCCCTCAAGGTGCTGTCCTGTCCATTCTGCAGGGCGCCGGCCCCCCCCGCCCCGCCCCGCCCCTGCCTGCGCCAGGGATGCCCCGCGTGCCCCGCACCTCCTCCCACTGGTGGATGTAGCGGATGAGGCGCGACAGGCGCAGCAGGCGCAGCAGGCTGAGGATCTTGGTGAAGCGCACGATGCGCAGGGCGCGCGCCGTCTTGTACACCTCGGAGTCGATGCCCTTCTCCACGATGAGGAAGATGTAATCCACGGGGATGGAGGACACGAAGTCCACCACAAACCACGTGCGCAGGTACTTCTTCTTGATCTTCTCGGGGTCCAGGATGATCTCCGTGTTGTCCTCGATGACGATGCCCGTGCGGAAGTTCAGCACCAGGTCCATGAGGAAGAAGGTGTCCGAGACCACGTTGAACACGATCCACGGGGCTGTGGTCTCATCCTTGAAGAAGGTGATGCCCACGGGGATGATGATGAGGTTTCCCACCATGAAGAGCAGCATGGTGAAGTCCCAGTAGAACCTGGGGAGGCACAGCCTGTCAGTCTCCCCACCACGACCCCGCGGCCTCTGCAGGGGCCCGGGAGCCCTCCAGGCCCAGCCCAGATCGCACCTCACGTGGCAAAGAGGAGACTCTGGCCCTGGCGTGGCCCACGCAGCCCACCCTTGGGGAGCCCCACCCCCCAGCACACGGCTCACCGGGCAGCCCCAGCCCCAGGGCACCCGCTGGCCCAGCCGGCTCTGACCCTCCGTCCTTGGCGGAGCACGAGACCTCAAAGAGTCCAAGAGGCCTCTCAAAAATAGATGAAATGTTTCCCATGACCAGCCACGGGCCAAAGTGCCGGCACGAGGTTGGAGTCCAAAAAGCATCAGGCCACAAGGAGAGGAGAGCCGAGCAGGGAGCCAGGGTGTGGCGGGCGCGGAGCGGGGGGGTGCGGGGACTGGGCACAGCGCGAGAGGCACGGCTGGGCGTGGGGGCTGCAGGGCACCAGCTGGGAGCCGCGGGGCCCAGCGCCACTCCAGCAGCTGAAAGGCTGAGAGGAGGGGACACTGTCTGCGTCTCTATTTTAGGAAGCACCTTGAGGGGGGGCATGGCCAGCCTGGGGGGCCAAGAAGGTGCAGGGATCGGACGGACTTGGCTGCCGCTGGGACATTTAATGTGATAAATGTGACTGGAGAAAATGACACTGGCTCTTGCGCTCCCAAACACACCCAGAAAGCACAGGCCTCCCGAGGTCAGCTCTGACGGTCTACCCGGGAAGCACGGGCAGCAAAAGGCCCGTCTGTCCAGGCAACAGATATTGATGCTGCCGTGGTGCTCTGGACCAAGCGTCCACCCCCGAGGACATCAGATGCAGCAAAAGGCCACGTGGACAACTGCCCGGCCCCAAGGAAATCAAGAAAATGCGATTCCAAACTGCTCTGAGGGAAAACTGGGGTTTCCTCAAGAAGTTAAGCAGAAGGACCACATGACCAGCAGCTCCTTTCCTAGCCGTCTACCCGGAAAATGGAACTCGGAGACCTCCAGGGGCAAGGCCACAGCCACAAGATCCACAACAGCCACAAGATCCACAACAGCCACAAGATCCGCAACAGCCACAAGATCCACAACAGCCACAAGGTGGACACGACTCGGGTGGTTAGCGGATGAAATAATAAACACGGCTTGTTCCCCCTCCAGCCCCGGGAACACCACTGGCCATGGAAAGGGGCAGCTCTGACAGTCGCCATCACGGGAGGGACATTGAACACGGGACGCTCAGGGAGAGAAGCAGACACATGAGGCCACGCGGTGTGAGGCCACAGACGGGAAACATCCAGGACAGGCCCAGCCACAGAGATAGTTCATGGTGTCAGGGCCAGGGGGAAGGGGTGCGGGTGACTTCTGATGGGGAGGGGGACTTCTTTTTGGTGTGATGGAAGGTTCTGGAATTAGAGGTGACGGTTGACATTGTGATTGCACTTAACACCATTCAATATACACTTTTAAATGGTTAAACACTAAATTTTAATATGTATGTTATACATAAATTGCACGCTCACGCGCTTGCACACACACACACACACACACACACACACACGAAACTCCAAAGACCTGAGTCTCGGTGATAAGCAAATGCCCGGGCTTGGAGGTCCGAGCCCACACACACTGTGCAGATTCTAGCAAAGGAGGGTCTCAGATTTTGAGGCGTCATTAGCCCCCCAAGCAAGTTCATGCAGGGCTACTCTGTAGGCCCAGGCCCCCTCCCTGGTCAAGGACAGAGTCCCCAGGTCTGGGGGAACCGGTCTAAATGTGCACGAGCCAGGCCCACAAGCCCAGTGTGGGCTTGGCTGCAGCGAGCTTGTCCGCGGAGCGCTGGAAGTTGGCTCCTGCCTGGGCGGCCTGCAGACAACAGCTATTAACACCACGCGGCCCTGCCACCGGCCTCCGGGTCACCCGGCCTTCCATTTCGGGGAATTGATCCCAAGGAAATTGTCCAAAAGGAAGAGAAAAAAATTAAAAAGCAATTTGTAGCAAGATGTGCCCAGCAGCTCCGTCTGCGAGAGCCAAAGCCTGGAAGGGCCCCAGCATCTAAAGCCCTGGCGGCAGCAGGCCGGCTGCCCGGTGCGGGGCTCCTACCTGCAGGCGAGGCGTGGCCTTAGGTGAGCTCTAATCCCTCGAAACCTGTCTCCATCTGTCCAGGAGGCTCTCGGGGAGCCAGTCCTGTGTGGTCCTGGGACACAGCCAGGCCTGTGCTGAGTGCCAAGGACACACCTCTGACCTTCCTGACCACGTGTGGTCATGAGGACCTGGGCCGTGATGAAGAGGGCTGGGCCCGCAGGAGAGCCCTGCACAAACCTTCTGGGGAAGGGGACTCAGACCCCGGGCATGGGGCCTCTGCTCATCCTCACCCCCAGCACCCCACACCCACTGGGACCCAGAAGCCTCATCTGCCTGCCACCCCCAGTTCCCTCCTCCAACTCCAGAGTATCCACCCTGAGGTTCCTAATCCTGCCTCTCCCTCTCCATACTCAGGCCTGGCCCCCCACACTCGGGGCACACTTCCCGGGACACAGCAAGCAGGAAGGAGTACAGTCATTCACCCCTTCACGAGCTCTGAGAAATGTGTCACGAGGCAGCTTGGCCCTGGGACGTCAGCGCGCAGTCACAAGTGTCTGGACGGGAGAGTTGCCTCCACACCTGGCCTAGAAGCTTCAGCCTATTGCACTGCTGGGGTCTGCTGCTGACCTGAGACGACTGTAACTGACAAAGTGAGAGGCCGGGGGCCTAGAAACCCCTGGGGCACAATGGGGGGCCTAGAAACCACCGGGGCAGGGCCTAAAAACAATAGGGGCCTAGAAACCACTAGTGCTCCTGGATGCAGTCTAAGTGGCCACGGCCTATGAGGGCATCCCTGATGGTGACTCTTCAAGACATTCTCTCCTTTTATTCTTGGGGTGGGGGTAGAGGTGCATGCCCCCCACACTCATTAACAGGACAGAGAGGTAATCCAGCCCGGGAGCAGGGGGAAGGATTGAGACCCAGGAAGGCTGCCTCGGGGCCTGTCCTTTCTCCACTGCGCACCTCTGGGAACTCCTCTGCAGGCCTTGAGCTGTGTTCCACAGCCCCGGGTTTCTGGGAGTGACCTTACTCAGCACCCCTGCCCCCATTCTTCACAAGGTGTGGGAGCAGACGGCAGGGATATGGGGGAGGGCTTAAAGGGCAAATCAGCTGGCAATATCCCCCTGGTGTCCAACCCACCCCTACTGGATACCCACAAACAGCCCCGCCCTCCACCGTGGTCCCCCTGGAAGGAAGCAGGAAGAGGAAGGGGAAACTTGAGGCCTGGGGCAGAGGATCCAGGGAGGGGACAGAGGAATCCAGGGTCCTGCTCCAGACCCCTCCCCCCCTTTTTCCCTCCCCTTAGCTGTGCAGCCTTGGGCTGGTCACACTCCTTCTCTGAGTTCCAGTGCCTCGTCTGCATGAGGGGGGTTGCCGCTCTTTTGAGGCTGCCCCAGGCGCCACCAGGATGTCAGCAAGCGCCAGCAGGGGCCTGGCACACAGTCAGCCCTCGGTGATCCAAGGCCTCGCTCGTCAGACCCCAGCGTTAGTCAGGGACCAGCTGCTCAGTCGTCACGGGGCATTTCTCACCGAGAACACCAACAGCCATAATTACATGCCGTGTTTTAAAACCTTCCCGAACAAATGTCAAGTTTCTGATGGGCCTCCAGCTGAAGACAGAAACAGCCGTGAGATCCGAGGATGAGGCTGGGCTCTCCCACAGGGTGGAGACCCACATGACGCCCGGGGCTCTCGGCTCCGGCTCCCAGTAGGCGGGAAAGCCTGAAACATCTCTCCGGTGCCCCCTCACTCGCACTTGGGTCGTGATATCAGCTGGGACCGCCCCTCCCCTGACCAGCCACCCTCTCTGCCCAGGTAGGGGTCCAGGGGCGCACAGATCCAGGCAGCTGCACTTCCAGCCGCAGTTTGGGACACTGCACCACCCGCCTGCTCCCGACTCGGGCCCGTCCCCTCACGGTGCCTGCAGCAGGCGAGTAGCCAGGACACGTGCCCTGGGTCTCTGCCCCCCACCCCCAGGTGGGGTGTCTGGGGACTTGACTGAGGTCCCACAGCCACTGGTCAGGGACACAGGGAACAGGCAGGCAGCTCCTTCACTACAGGACCCAGACCAAGACCTGGGAAGAGGCCGCCCAGGAACTGGGGCAAACCCATTAGAACCGGAAGTTAGTGATAAATGGCGAGGGGGGGCTGTGGATTAGGGGCGCAAGCCCTGGAAGGTGGAGTTGCAGATCAGAGCTCAGAGTTGGGATGGGAAAGGGAGACTCTGCAGGGGCGATGGCCAGACCTGGTGACCCTGGGCATACGGAGGCTGCTGTGTGCCAGACCCCAGGACGCGCGTGGCGTGACCAGACGGGCCAGGGCTCCCCGGGGCAAGCCACACAGACGACTTCAGAGGGAGCCAGGAGAGGACCCAGCGACGCAGGGGTGGGCCATGGAGAAGGAACTACTCGGTGGATACAGGGTCTTGACCCTTAGGCAGAGGGAAAGCGAGCCAAAGGCCCTGTAGCTGCTGGGGCTTCCTCTCGAGGCCAGCCAGAGGTCTGGGGCTGGAGCCGAGGGAGTGAGGGGCAGTGGAAGACAATGGGGGGGCTGTGGCTGCAGGAAGTTATCGTGAGAGGGAAAGATGGATAAATGTGCATCTTGGGGAGCCCTCGCTGGCAGCCAGGGGCCGGGCAGGGGGCAGAGGCAGAAGATGGGGTGGCCTGTACTGCTTGGCTCTGGGACAGGCGGGTTGAGTGAGGACTCCCAAGCCTCCCTCAACCCCCACGGGCACGGCCAGGCCCTGGAATGTTGACGCAGGGTATTGGACTTTTTAAAGCAGGGAATTCAGGGACTGGAGAGTCCCAATTTGGGCAGGGAACTCCTAGAGAGAGGGGGGAGGTCTGGCTCCCCAGCCCCTGCCTCCCTCACTGGACCATGCAGGCCCCTCCTCCTGGCGGGGTGGGCCCTGGACACCTGCTCCCGCCCCACCCCGCCTGCCTTCCAGCCAGGTTCAGAGCCAGGGAAACCCTTGCTTGCTCCTCGGCCCCTGCACTCTGGATAATTCCGGTTAATTCCCATGAGCTAATGTGAGGATTTGCAGCAAGCCTGCCCACCCCATCCTGATCACCCAAGGGTCCGATGGTCCACGCGGGGAGGGAAGTCACGGCCTTCCAGGGCTGCAAGGTTCTTCAAATCAGCCCCTCCGGCCCCACCACCAGGGCCCCTGGGGACCCCGGAGGACATGATGCAGACACGGGCCAGCGGCCGCTGGTCCTGGCTGTGCCTAAACTCCTGTGAGGGCCAGGAATGGGGCGACTCATCCCTTGCCCCTCATGCCAGACCCCCCAACAGGAGATAATTCAGGGGCATTGAGTGAAAAAGTGGCAGCCTCAGGAGACACTCAAGTCAGACCTCGCCGGCACTTAGAGACGTAGAGACCAAGAACAATAAAAAAAGAACTAAAACTCCGGGACAGATGGAAGGCAGCAAGGAAGCCACTCTCCCGACGTCTCTCTCGGGGCGCCCCCCTCAAGGCCAGAACTCAAGGAAGCAGTGAAAGCCATGACGGCACAGATGCGAATCACATGGCATCCTACAGGGCTGACGTGCAGGGGCGGGGGCAGCGCATGAACGGGAGGTGAAAGGTCGGAACTGGGTGAGGGCAGGCATGGTGGGGGGACAGCGTGTACAAAGGCTTGGCGCTCTGCAGGAAGGCGGGGGAGGATATAAAGTCAGGGGCACGGTTGTGAAAGTCAGAGAACCACCTTTCCCTCACACTACCAGCGCCGCACATTTGGAGAAACCGAGGCAGAAAGGCCCAGAGAGGACTCCAGACCAGTTACAGGTGGTAAAGGGGCGAGAACTAAAGCCTGAGTCCCACCCAGGACTCAGACTCCTAAGCCAGCTGTAAATGGGCACAGAGCCCCCGCTCACTATTGCTGCTCTGCAACAACCCCCCATGACTCAGCCCGGCCCCCAACATTTCACGCTCCTACCCCTGGCTTTGCCCCAGCTGTCCTGCACACATGCCACTGGTCAAGAGCCTCCCTCAGGGCCTCTGCAAACACCCCTCTGCTGGAAGCGCCGCTGTGGATGGACGGGGAGGTTCCAGGCCCCCAAACCCTGGCTACCCCGCGGTGGCAGCAGCTGCGCGGCAGGTCCACATGCACGGGACGGGCTCCCCCGGCAAGCACAGTGTCGCAGCGCGTGGAAGAGAGGACAGCAGGGCTGGGGTGCCTGGGGGTTGGGGTGTGAGTCTCACCTCATCATCCCCGTCCCCTTTTAAATCATGTATGGAGTGAGGATACGGGTACCAGCTGGGCTGTGAAGATAAACGAAGGCAAGTGTGGAAAAGCAAACCCAGAAAAGCTCCTCCCCGTGTTCCATAAGCGGTTTGTAAAAGCTCACACACACATACAAACAGGGGTGATGCATGCCTACCCCCGCGAGCCTGAGATCTTGGACAGCCCCCAGAATTGCTTCTTGATCTGGATGGGACATGGACAGTGGCTGGACTGTCTGGCGGTCAAGAACGTGGACATGGGGACTAGCCTATCTGCCCCTGACAAGCTGTGTGTCTTCGAGTGGGTGACTCTACCTCTCTGTGCCTCCCTCACAACTGTGCAGGTTGTCACAAAATGCTCCACATACCTGACCATGACGAGGCTCAGGAAGGGTTGTTCCCTTGTGCTTAGAGACTGTCTCTGTACTAAATCAGAAAGGCCTTGAGGGGGCACAATTCCTAAACATAGGGGTGCTGGGGCCCCACTTTACCCCAGCAGTATCTTAGCTTTTTTGAATTTGACTGTGACTCCCCAAGTTCCAAACACAGGTCACATTCCACACCCTCCCCTGCAAAGCACCCCCACTTAGCAATGGATCTGCATAGCCTGGACTATGTGACCTGCCCAACTCCTCCCTCCCACAGCCCCTCACCCCAACGTACCCACTACCCCCTTCTGTAGCTGAGAGGAAGCCCAGAGCCACCCACCGCCCAGAGGAGGCACTGGCTCCACGGGCCACATCCTGCCAGTCCCTGATGCTGACCTGTGTCCCCCACTTGTTGGCTGGTATCGTGGACGTGTGGTGAACGCTGCAGGCATGCAGCGGGGACAGGGAGGAATAGCTACTTTCTGCAGCCATCTCCCTCTGCCCACCACGTGCCCGACGTCCTCCCGGGTCAGCGGCACCAGTCCCCCTTGACAGTGGGGCCAGCCAGGTCAGGGACCCCTGGAAATCAAGTCCATCCCCATTTCACAGACAAAAACATGAGCCAAGATGCGGACCACAGCCCGCCCAGACTGGACCAGCCCGTGGAGGGATGCTGAGTCCCCACGCAGGTCAGGACCATTCAGAGGCACCCTTCTGGACCCCTCTGTCCTCTCCCCAAGCCCAGGTGCGGGTCAGGCCTGCATTCACCTCTCAGGAGAGGCCTGAGGCTGCAAAGTGGGAGTCTCAAAGTTCCTTGCAGTCCCCACCCCCGAGTTGTGCACTTGGGACCTCAGTTTTCCCAGGTCAAGCACTGGGGCTGCCGAAGGGCCGAGGAAAGGGAGAGTCCCACAGCCTCCCGCGCCCAGGCCAGGGGTGGAGGGTGGGGTGACACCCAGGATCTATATCCCGCCGCCACACAGCCCCACCTGGCCCCGAGGAGAGCCCCAGAGCGCTGCTGTCCGTGGTGCTGAAACCGCTCGCGCCCGCCGGCCGAGGCTTGGCGGCCGGCGCAGGTCCCGGCAGACCCTTTGCACCCCAACTCACACATGCCACTCACGGGCAAATAACGACACACACACCCTGCACACAGCTCAAATCTTACTCCCACCGCTGCACACCCGCCCTGGTCACCAAACACGCACCTCTTCCCAACACGCCCCACGGCAGGCCCCCCGCAGACACACCCCTGGGACACGCCCCCCGCCCCCCTCGGCCCAGGCCCCAGGCCCCCCGCCCCTGCAGTCACATGCCTGTGATTACACACACGCCTGCAGTGACACGCAGTGCTCCACACACTCCCAGGCCACAGCACAGACCCAGGAGCCGAACCGAACCGTAAACGTACAGGGCTGTGACCCCGCCGCGCGGCCTTGCGCCAAGCCCGTCCGCGCACGACGCGGTCTGGCCGGGCCAGCGGCCGCACAGCCCCGACACACACACGGCGCAGCACCGCGGCCGGGCGGGCGGCTCGGGGAAGACGCCGCCGGGGAACCCCGGCGCTCAGCGGCCCCTCCCCGCGCAGCCAGCCGGGCGCAGGGGCCCGGGACGCGCCGCCCGGCGGCTCCGGCTCCTCCGGCTCCTCCGGCGCAGGTGGACACCGTGGGAGCGGCCGTGCCCGCGTAACCCCTTCCCTGCCGGCCCGCGCGTCCTTCCCGGCGCCCTCCCGCCCTCGGGCGTCTCCCCAGCCCACGTTCCCCTCTATTTGTCCTCTCGTCCCCCGCGCTCACGCCCTGATCCGGTGACCCGTGACGCGCCCCCCCGGGCTGGGGCTGTCGGGCGCGTGGGAGGGGGCGCGCCAGGGTCGCGGCGGGGGCTGCGTGCGTCTCCGCGCGCCCCTGCAGGGGCGGAGCGCGGCGTCCCCAGGTCCATCGCGGGCGGGTCCCCGCGCGCCCGAGGTCACCGGGGGACCCGGAGGTCACCCGCGGGGCGCCGCCCGCCCCCCAGCGCTCCCGGGACGGCCCCGCGCGCGGTCGCGGCTGCGCCCCCTCCGCGCCGGCCGCCCCTGGGGGCTGTACCTGAAGTCGCTGTACGGGTGGATGATCCAGGCCCCCGCCGACTTGACGCGCTCCTGCTCGCGCTCCACAGCCTTCTGGCTGCCGAACATCCGCAGCGAGAACTTGTTGACGCCCGGCTGCAGGAGCGCGCCGAGCTGGCGCTGCAGGAAGCTGGCCTGGCTGCCGCGCGGCTCCCCCGCCGGGCCCGCCTCCTCGCTGCCCGCCTCGTCCGCCGGCCCCGGCCCCGCGCCCGGGCTCGGCGCGGGCCCCGCAGCGGCGCCGCGGCACGAGAAGGACACCTTGGGGCCCCGCGCCGGGCCCCCGGGCCCCGCGGGGCTGCACTGCGGCTCGCCGCGCCCGCACTCGCCGTTCGGGCTGCCCTTGGCCGCGCTCGCCGCGCCCGGGGTGCCCGGGCGGCCGCACGAGCTGTCGCGACTGCGGAGCCGGGCCCGCGGGCCGCCCTCGTCCGCCGCCTCTGGGGGCCCCGCCTCGGCCCGCGGCGGCTGCTGGGGGGGCGCGGGCCCGGGGCCCGGGGGGGGCGCGGGCGGCGGCGGCGGCTGCTGCTGGGGGGGCGCGGGCGGCGGCGGCCCCGGCGCGGTGGTCGCGCCCGGGCTCTCCCCCGGCCGCCCGCCGCCCCCGCGCGCGTCCATGGCGAGGCGGCGCCGGGCAGTGCGGAGCGGAGCCGCCGCGGCCGCCGCCGGCCCGAGCCCAAGGGAGGTGGGGGGAGGCGGGGGGAGGCGGGGGGCGGAGCGTCGGCCGCGGGGGAGGGGCGGGAGTGGGAGCCCCGCCTCTGTCCGCACCCCCTCGCGACGCGCCCCGCCCCGGCCCCACGCTCGGGAAACTGAGGCCGCGGCCCAAGGTCACGAGGTCCGAGCCGGAGAAGACCGGCTCAGACCTAGTCCCAGCAGGGGAAACCGAGGCACAAGCAGCGGAAGGGCACGCCCAAGGTCACCGAGCCCAGCCGCAGGACAGGGGCTTCCGCGCGCGTCCTTGGAGAGGGGCCTCCTGACCTTTGGGAGGCGCCCAGCTTCGCCGCCGCCCGGAGGGCACAGCCCGGCTGGTATGAACAGCGGAGCTGCGCCGGTGCCAGCCTCTCCTTTGCATAGGTTTGAGAATTTACAAGAAAAAGGGGTGTTTTAAAAGGCGATAGGAACCTTGCCACTCGAGGACCCTGGACAATGTCCTAGTCTTTGTGATGTTTGGAGAGAGGCAGGCGGGTCCTGCTCACCATTTGCATATGAGGAAACTGAGGCAGAATTGGGCAAGAGGAGGCCGATCAGGAGAGACTTCCAAGGTTGCTGGCAGCCTCCGCCCTTGAGCCCAGCGAGGGCCTGGGAGCTACTGTAAGGCTGTGGGCTTTAAAACGGGGAGGTGCCCCAGGGCTACAGGGGGACACCATCCCTTCCCACCCGATGCTCACTTGGGAGCCCCAACAGCTGCCCCATCTCTTCTGCCCCTTGAGCTCAGGACCGAGGTGGTCCTGGCCTCCAGTGTCCAGCTCTGGGAATACACCTGAGGTTCTGCTTCTGGGGTTTGCGGAAGGTGGGAGGGTTTTTTTTGGTACTAGGTGACAGGGGGCATGGGTTCAGGACTCTCTCCCTAGCCTCCGGTACTGTTCCTCCCCCCCACCCCCACCCCAGCTCAGCCAAAGGGCAGGCTGGGGTAGGTGTTGGGAGAGATGGGGAACAGAGAGACAGAGGGGGGCAGGACTGTGTGTTGCACACCGGTCTGGAAGCCAGGGCCTGGGTCCACAGCCTTCACAGCACCTTCTGCCTGACATACAGGGCACCATTCACCCGCGGGGTGTTAGGGCCCAGAGGGCAGAGATGGGGCTTATTCCTACACACAGTAGGGATCGAGGGCCTGTTGGATAATAGGAGAGCTGAGCTGGGCCATCTCCCACCCTTGCCAGGCTGCCCCCAGGCTGGGGTACCCTGCACCCCTTCCTCATCACCTATGGCCTGGGTCAGCCCAAGGCAGCTTCAGCCTCCTAGGGGGCCACCTTTGCTGTGCCCTTGGCCAGCCCAGCGGCCAGATGGGCAGGCGGGCAGGCAGTAAGGGAGAGGCTGGGCAGGCAGCTGAGTTGGCAGTGCCAGGCTTTAGTCCGCCCTGGGCAGATGTGTGTTCCGGCTGAAGGGGGATCTTTTATGCTCACCCTGGGAAGATGTCAGTCTGGGCAGGCAGCCAGAGCCCTGGGGCTCATAGTGGAGAGTGGGAGGAGGCAGACCTGCAGCCCAGCCTGAGAACCCACCATGCCTAGTAGCAGGAGACCAGAAAAGCAACTCGACCCCCAAGAGCCTGCCTGACCTTTGCGTCACAGAGGACTGTGAAACCTTGCTGAGTCTCAGGAGTCGTCCCCAGTTCCTGATGACTCCTCCGCCAACTACAAGGGCTCACCCTGAGCCAGATCACAGGCCTCCCCTGCATCCCCACTCAGCAGCCCAGCAAACCCGAGCACAGGAGCAGAGGCCGGAGACACAGAGGAACCTACGGGGTCCCCCCTACACTGGTGGCATTCGATAGATGTTACATGACCCACTGGGAGGTGGCAAGGGCTATGGAAGAGCCAGAATGGAGGTGGGGAAGGTGCTGGGCCACGTGGCGGGGCTGTCTGAGCAAAGGCCCCGCAGCGCCGCACCTGTGGGGAAGAAGGGGTGCAAAGGCTGTTTAAGTGTGCAGGCACCCAGACGTGGCGGGGGGACTGGACGGCAAAGACAGGTGCACACTCGTCACACTACTGCCCAGGACTGCTCGAGTCCCACTGCCTTTGGCAGGAAACCACAGCCCCTCCCACCGTCCAGGCAGCCCCCCGACTCCTCACCACCGCCCCTGAGCTCTGCGCGCACAGACCTCCTCGAAAGCGAGCCTTCAACAAGCCAAACTCCTTCAGGTCCTCTGCCCAGCCTCGCCTCTCCGCCCGACACCCCCCGGAGCCCACGTGAGCCTGGGTCCTCAAGCTCTTGCAGTCCGCGTTTCCCGCTGCTGGCAGGGCCAAGTGGGGCCCTGATGCCCACACCTTTGGGAACTCTCCGGAGTGAAAAATAATTTCATATCGGGAAGACAAAAGCAGGCAGGGCCCTGGCAGGTGCGGACCAATCTCAAGGAGTGTCTGAACATTCACATGGCGAGGCTGGCCTTCCCCCCCCGCCCCCCGCCCGTTACCACTGGCCTAGGGAACAGGGGTGTCACGGCCCAGGTCTGAGCAGCAAGTACAAACTCCCTCGGGGTAGAGCCCCAGGGTAAATGTGAGTGGGAGTGACCAGAGCAGGGCCCACCCCACGCCCACCCCCAGGCCTCGGCCTCAGCTTCGCTGACCCAAGATTCCCGGGGTTCCTTTCCCAGCAGAGCGCTTGCTCCCGTGGCCTGGACACCCTGGTGCGAGCAGGGAGGTCAGAGTCTGACGCTGCATCTCTGGCCCATTTCCTCAGAGCTCCACGCTCTGGGGATCCCAAGTTCTCTGGGACATTGGGAATCCCCCACTGAGAAGTGGGGGTACTTGTAGTAATAGTCATGACACCTGAGGTGAGGGGATGAGGCTGCACCCTGAGGTCTCCACCGCAGTCCATGTCCTCGTGGGGCATCAGGGCAGGGGGTGGTGTGCCAGGGAAGGGATGCCCTGAGAACAGGTAGGATTTTCCCCAAACACCCAGGAAGGTCTCCTCGTCTCTTCCTTGGAGCCACAGCCTCTCCCCTTGCGAGGTGGGACTGGAGACGCGGACCCTCCGAGCGTTCACCAGAGGCCCCATTTAGCCTTGGGACTCGATGGCTAGGACTTCCCCCTCCCCCGGGGAAATGCCAGTCTCCCACAGGCTGAGCCCAAGGACACCCTGGAGTGGCACAAGCTGCACCTGTGCCGGGACGATGGCGCTGTGCTAGAGGAATGCCAACAAAGCTGCCCCCTGGGGGCTGTTTCTGCCCATCAGGTTTACATTCCTGCATGTTGAGACCGTATGTGCAGGTATGTGTGGTGCACTCCGGGGAGAGCACGGGTATCTCACCTGTTCACACATCACTGTCTCCATCTACTCCAGGAAACCCGGCGACCCCCGGGAGCTGCCTGAGCCGCCTGCTGTCTGGACAGAGGGAGGCAGTCGGCTGATGCCCTGAGCCTCACTGTTCCCTCCAGAACCTGGGGATGCATCAGGAAGCAGGATGGGCACACACACACCAAATGCCCACATGTACCCTGTCAGCAGCGGGACCCTGTGGCCAGGAGGGGGACAAGCCCTGTGCCAGGGACACCCCGACACTCTCCCCAGTGAGGCAGCAGGCTCATCACCGCCCTGGATCCCTTTCCTGCTGGACCTACAGTCCCAGGGCTCAGGGAGGTTGATGTTCCAGTAGATGTGGCCCCGGGAGACACTTCTGCCCCTTCGTAAAGGGGCGCCACAGACCTGCCTCCCTGCCATCCATGGTGTGTTCACGGCACCCTCTGGTGGCAGCCAGGGGGAAGGGCTGGGCCCAACTGTTGTCTTGCGAACCTGATTGGTTCTCAGAAAAACCCAGCAGCGGTGGGTGGGTGGCCAGTGCCTTGCTGGGGCAGGGGTAGGGCTGCAAAAAGGCTGCTCAGACCCCCTCTGAAAATGCTGCAAACAGGCTCCAAAGGAAACCAGCAGCGGCGATCCACCAGGGATCAGCCCTGCCGGAGGGGCCCAGTCCTCCGGGGCATCTCAGCCCCCACCACTGAGGTGTTTTATCACCCCCTCTCTTTACCCTTTTTGCTGGGAACAGAGCTCCCAGCTTGGCTGTTCAGCCCACCCCACTCCAGGCCTCAGCAGATCCTGGCACTCACACCCCCTAACCTAGACATCACAGCCAAAGGAGCACTCGCCCACCAACTGTACCCTAAAAACTAAAGCTCTCTGGGTACTTAAGACCCAGGCCAAGCAGAGACAGGAGTGGAGACAGGAATGGAGAAAGAGGTGGGTCATTCTTTATTGGGGGCACGGGGGACGGGTGCTGTAGAGGAGGAGCAGCCAGGCAGCAGGCCTCACTGGGAAGGGGGTTTCTGCAGTTGCCCGGACCTCCAGGTGTGTGGTCAGCAGGGGCGACGAGGGGGGCGCCCTGCGGGTGGCCCTCTGTAGTGTGCCTCAAGTTGCAACACAGACCTGATGTTACTCAAGAGCACTGGCTCCAGAAAGGCAGGACATGCTTGGCCTGTGACTGGCAAAGGGCGGGGGCGGCCGGGCAAAGGCCAGTCTGCCCGCTGTCAGACACACCGATGGACAGGAACAAATGGACTTGGAGGCTGAATGCCAGGGGCAGTGAGGTGGGGAGACTGAGGTGACAGGGGCAGTTGGGAAAACTGGGGCTGGGCAGGCGCAGTGTGTGTGGAGACTGGAAGCCCAGGGAACCCTCCCCTAGAGCGCTCATGAAATGTTTAAAAACACAGCCCCTAAGGAACAGATTTCCTGGATGTAGAAAACCCTAGTTTGGCTTTTGAGAGAGGACAGAAAACATGTGATTTGAATCCACAACACGGTTTGCTTTCTCTGGGTGGATATCCTTTATGAGGAGAGGGCTGGGAACTGTGCAGATGGGGAAACACTGGGCTCCTGGGGCGCAGACTCCTCCTGCCACACCTGCAGGGGAGGAGGGGCGCTCTCAGACCCCAGCCCCACCCACAGTAGGACCCCCCATCCCCTCCCCCTCCCCGCTCGTTCACCAACACTTAACCTTGCTCAGGTGGCATTCCTCTGGCGAACATTCTGGTCTTTGTCGTTCACATGGGGCCCAGTGCTCTTCCTGGGGACACGGGGGGTGGGGGGAAGACTCAGGGGACTCATTTGGGGAGCAGGGGAAAACAACAGCTTCCTCCCTCCCCGCCTGCCCAGGCTGAGCTTCGTGCCCACCACCACCGTGAAGGAGGACACCCGCGTGCACTGAGGCTCACGGCGGCATTAGACTCATGCACTCTCGCCAGAGCCCAGAAGCTGCCAAGCCCTCCCAGGGCCTCCCACCCGCCCAGGCCGCCGGCCAGGCTGAGACTCACAGTGGTGCAGAACCCGGGTCGTCGTCTGTCAGCCACGCAGTCACATGTAAGAGAGGAGAAGCGGTCACTGCCTGCGGCCCCTGGAGGCCGCCCCTCACCAGGCAGCCTCTCTCCTGCCGTTCCCAACTGTAATGTGGGGCAGCCCCACCTCTAGGATGAGTTATGGGTCACAGCCCTCGGGGCATCTGGCAATCCTACGTGTGCCTCCTTGCTCCCACCTGCAGCAGGCAGGCACCCCAGCCCCGGCAGCTCAGGCTAAGCAAGTTGGTCATGCACAAAGTCAAGGGCAGGCAGACAGCCTGGCATAAAAGGGGCCACTTACCCTGCAGGATACCTGCTTGCAGCCAAATGAGGAAGGAGAGAAGGGAGGTGAGGCTTGTGGGGATGCGCCCCCATTGTGGAAGGCAGCGGATGCCCAGTCAGGACTCAGACCCTACCCCCCCATAGCTCTCCCTATTCCCCACTCCCGGCCAGTGGGTGGCGCGGGTCCTTGGGGACCCCCTCAAACAGAAGGCAGAGGGCACATGGGGTTGGCTCACCGTCCAGGACCTCATCAGGCTTCCGCCGCTTCTCATAGATGAAGATGATGGTGACCAGCACGAGCACCTCGGCCACAATGCCCAGGAAGGGCCAGAGGGCAGCCAGGTGTCTGCGCACGCGCAGGGTGACGACGGCCTTGCCCTCGCCCTCCCCGTTGCTGGCGCTGCAGGAGTACTTGCCGGCGTCCTCGTCCACGTCCAGGTTCAGGATTTGCAGCTTCGTCTCCTTGTCAGAGGAGACCACAATGTACTTGTCGCTCCGCGAGGTGTTGGTGATGACCTGGGGAGGAGGGGCGTTTAGGGGGAGTGGGCTGAGGCACGCTCCACCCTGCCCACTGCCGCGGCTGGCATGGCTTCACCTGGTCTCCCGACTCGTTCATCTTGTGCCACGTCCAGGTGAGGATCGGGGGTTGGGCGTCCGACGAGCAGACCAGCACCACCTTATCCCCCTCGTCGGCATTCTCGGATGACTTCTTAGCCTTGACTATGGGGGGTCCTGAGGGGAAATGGAGCAAGCCTGAGCCCCAGAGCCCCTCCCTCTGCGGTGGGCATCTCCACCACACCGCCCCCACACACACCCCCCATGAACCCCGGGGCCCTGCGCACTCACCTCGCACCTGGATGCTGGCCCTGCCCGCATGCTCTGGGAGGAAGATGCAGGAGTACTCGCCCGAGCGCTCGGCCGCATCCACCCTGCAAGCACAAGGCCAGAGCAAGGCTGGGTGGTGGTCAGCAGGTTGTCAGGGCGAAGGGCACAGACTCCCTGCTCTCCGGCCCCACCTCACTGAATTGGCACCCACATTAATGAACCTCTGTGTCCTGCTACCCTCAAAGCCTGAACAATGGGACACTGTGCTCCCAGCAGCTCGGCCTCAGTTAAGACAAGGCTTCAGAGCGGGGCCAAGTACCCGGAACTTTTATGAGCCAGGGCACAGCGACTCCAGGCCGGGCTCTCCCCAGATGCCCCGCAGGGAGGATGAAAAGATCTTGGAAGCCGCCCTGACACCTGGCAGCCGCCCCAACACTCCCCCCGGTTTCTCACGGCCGAGGGGCTGGGCAGAGGTGCGCTGTCCGCAGTAAGTCATGACGACCTACCTTTCTTCTTACTGACCAAAGACCACAGCACCTCAGAGCAAGCTGGGGGCCTAGGAGCCATCCAGCCAATTGAGACTCCTGCCAGGACCAGCGCAAAGTCTCAGGGGGCCCTGGGTGGTGGTGCAAGGAGTGGGACCCCCCCTCCCCGGCACTCACTCATAGTTCGTCCTCAGGTCTGGCAGCCCGTCCTCTCTCAGCACCTTGCCCCCCTTCATCCAGCGGTGGCCGGTGATGTCCACAGCGCTGTCATTCATGCCGCAGGTGAGGCGTATTTTGGCACCAGCATCATCTATAGACGTCCAGATCCTGCTCTCTGAAGGCCAAACACGCCATTAGGCAAGGGGCCATGGAAGGGGAGCCAACCCGAGACCCCAAGCCACCTGCCCACTGTCTCCACAGCAAACCCGGTGGGGCCAGGGCCTCCACACCCTAGTCCGGGGTCTCCTGGAGAAGACCCGAGTCCCATGTCAGGGCCAGCATGGCAGCCACTCTTTGGAAGGAGACCTGGCAGTGAGGGGGGCCTGGGCCTCACGAGCCAACACTGCACAACTAGTGCTCAATGCAGGCTTGATCAGGGAAGCTCTCAGCGGGCTGCATCGCAAGTGCCGGCACAAGGGTCCAGACACATAGATAGACCAGGCCCGGCAGACCCGAAGTTCCTTTAAGAACCGAGCCGACCGCTGCTGAAGCCATGCCCTCACTGAGGCCATGCAGTCTCTCCTCTGCTAGCGCCGCCTCCAGGCAGGGTAGGCAAGGGTGGGCTGGGACTCCCAGCCACCGTACAGATGGCACACAGAGGGCGACTGCCACTGAGCTGGCACAGTCGGCCTTTTTTTTTTTTTTAAAGATTTTATTTATTTATTTATACAAGCACTGGGTACAGTCAGAAGCAGGGGAGGGCGAGAGAATTCACCAGAGCCAGAGCGGGGAGCAGAGCAGGCAGACGGATGAAATACACTGCTGAGGGAAGCAGCGGGCGCAACAGGAGAGGTCTGCGTGCCATGTGGGACCCTTGGCGGGGGCGGGGGTCGAACCAGCGCTGCAGAGGCTGCGGGCAGCTTCGCAGCCCAATGCTCAACCGCTGCGCCACCAGGGGAGGCCCAATCGGCTTCTTTGCAGTTTCCAACTAGAACAAGCCTCTCCACTAGTGTATAACATTCCCTTTGGTAACTGAAACGGGAAAATCACTGAGAACCAGGTGAGCAGCTTACTCAAGGCTGGCGAGAGTGGAGAGAAGGGCTGAGCTAGAGGGCTTCTCTCCAGGGACCAAGGTAATAAACCCCAGGCCCCCTGGGCATTTGGGGAGCTGACACATGGCAGACAAAATTCAAGAGCCCCTGGCCAGCCACACCAGGGGCTGACTCACCCCTGTGCACCCTTGTGCACATGAGTCCTGTTCCAAGGCTGGGAACAGTATTGTGGAACACTTCCACCACACCACCTGGGTCCTGGGGCTCCCCGGAGCTGCCCGCAGGGATGCCCCCAGCACCCTGGGGAGTGTGGTGGTCTAAGCAGGCCAGTTCTTGGCCAGAGATTGCTGGTCTGCTGGGTTACTAAGTCCCTGCCCCAGAAGAATCCCTTCTAGGCCAGGCCACAGGATTTAGGCAAAGAAAACAAGTCCAGAAATGTTGACATGAGGTTCTTTCCTTTTAGATTTCAATGAAAAGCCTACAATATAAAATGAGGTGGAAAGCAGAACAAGGGCTGTGTTTGAATAATTTCAGCCAAGTAAAGAAGTTACCACACCAGAAGGGGAGCACAGAAAGGCTGGCAGCTAGGAAGCAAATTTCTTTTTTTTTCTTTTAAAGATTTATTTATTTATACAAGAACCAGGGTACAGGGCAGATGCACGGGAGGGTGAGAGGACGCACCAGAGACAGAGCGGGGAGCAGAACAGGCAGGCTGACCAAAATACGCTGCTGAGGGGAGCAGCGGGCGAGACAGGAGAGCTCGGCCGCACCCTGTGGGTTGCTCCGCAGCCAGCGGGGATCGAACTGGCACTGCAGAGGCTGCGGACAGCTTCACAGCACTGTGCTCAACCGCCTGCACCACCAGGGAGGCCCAGGAAGCAAATTTCTGATGCCCACGCTGCCCAGACCCCTGCCTCCTCACCGGGTGATACAGTGACTTTGACAGCAAACTGACAACACGTAGTCAAACACGGGAAAGTGGGTGGAATGACCGAGGTGGCGGTCCCACCTGCAGCTCAGCCCCAGTGTAAATGGGTTCCATGGGCGGCGAAGTGACCAGCGCAGAAGAACCCCCAAGGACACAGGAAGTACCACCAAGCCCGTAAGATGCACAGTTCAGCGCGCACAGTGAGCAGGGCCCCCAGGCTCCCACGGGCCACCAGGGGAGGCAACGAGTCGATACGATAATTAATCTTCAAAACCCAAAGGGCAGCAGGTCATCTTCATCGGAAAAGTAACAGCAAGGCCTTCTCCAGAGTGACTGGCACATAGTCTCAGAGTCAGTGGCTGGGCCCCTGCCCACTACCTGTCCACCACCGACAGCACAGGCCAGGCTCCCCCTGCTGCCTTCTCTGTGCGGAGACAGGACTCTTGACCAGTCTCACCCCTGGCCACCTGCTGGCTCTGGCTTTGAGGATACAATGTCTGAGAAACTCCAGGCAAACAGCATGCCAGACAGAAAGCACAAGGCAGTCCTCTGTGCTGCTCTGACACTAGCTAGCCTCCAGGTGTGTGCTCACGTGTGGCATTACACACACACACACACACACGCAGACACAAGGTGCACACACAGCTTACGTGCACATGGCTCAGAAGCTGAAGACTAGGCTGCAGAGCCCAGGCCTGGGATCCTTTAGGCCGTCTGCTCTGCGGCCAGGCAGTCTGTGGCACAGGACCCCTGGGCTTGTGGCCTGGAGGCAATCACAGGACAAGGCCAGGCAGGGGTGAGGCTAAAAGCTCAGGTGCTGGGCTGAAACCTTTTGTGGCAGAGTCATTTTTAGGGAGGACTGCCTTCATAAGCCATTATTTCCCAAGAGTCAATAATGTCCAACATGCTATAACCAGTAGCTACATGCAGAGTTGGGTGCAGTGGTGCCAGGTTGCTGAAGAACACAGAAGTGGGGAGACACTGATGGCTCAGTCTCAGAGGGACCAAAGCAGGCAGTCTGCCCTCATGAAGAGGCCAGTGACCCGAATGAGGGCCCAATGCAGTTGGGGACAAGCTGGGCCACCCGGGCCACCGGTCAGTCTATTCCCAGGCTTCCAGACACCAGGGACCCTTATGTGACCTGACACCACGATGCGGCACGTGCGACATTCTCCCAGTGGCGGGGATGTGTGTCTTAGATCCTACAATGGTTGTGGCCCTCTCTAGTGTTACAGCAAAGACCTGATGCTATCAAGGATGTATTGAGTGTGAACTACAAACGTCTCAGGGATAGGGCGATTAAGAAAAATGTCCCAGAAGTCTCCTTAGGGGACAATGATAGAAAAGGTTGAAAAGCACTGCCCTCTGGCAACCCCTGACCAAATCAGTGCCCAGGAGATTCAAGTTGAAGCACACTGGGAGCACAGTGCTCAGCTGCGACACCTCAGAAAGTGGAAACCCTAACCATGTAAAGTCACCTTTATCTAAAAACAGCCACCCTCCTCCCATGCCCACTCAGCAGCTAGGGCACAGGGCCAGGCAGGAGCTCTCAGGATGAGTCCGTAGGCACCCTGCCCTCTGGGGTTCAGAGAGGAGAGCTCACCAGGACACCAGCTGCTGTGGGTACTACCTTTCCACGCTCCCTCCATCTCACCAGGAGGTGGCTCTGGCTCCTGCCACCTGAGGCACAAAGAGCCCAACTCATCAGTCCACTTGCCCCAGCTGGCCAACCTGTGTCCGACAGTGCACGCCCTCTCCAGGTCCCCCAGGGCATGAGGCCTTGCCAGGGAAACCCACTCTGACAGAGTCCCCTGAAGCAAGTTCTGGGAGTTGACACAGCCAGGAGAGTCTAACAGTCACTAATCCTCTCCTCCCAAGCAGAGAAAGGAGAGTGACCCAGACTTTGACATCCCTCCAAGGTCCACCAGTGGAAGGTGGAGCTGTAAAAAGTGGAAAAGGAGATCGGCGCACACACACTACAGGGCAGGCAGGCCGAGTGAGCAAAGCCTGCTGGAGGAGTCAGTGTGCAAGCACAGCCTCCCAGGCCAGGCTTCCAACTAGAGCTGTGATGAAACGGGGTGGAGGGGGCAGGGTTGGGGGCGAGCAGCAGCATATCATCTGCATTCACCTTGCCCGTGGGCTCCTATCTGAGCCTTTGCAGAGACCTGTGCGGGCAGGCGGGCGGCAGTCAACAGCTCAGGCTGTTTTGATTATAATGAGGAGAGGACAGACTGACTAAGGTCTTCAAGTGGGTTAGGAGTAACAGGGGCCCTACAGGACAACCATCTGCTTCCTGCTTAGAAATGCACTCTCGCCTTCCCAGAAGAGACCCCAGCTCTTCTGCTCTGCACTTTGTCCCCCATATGCTGATCACTATAAATCTTTAACCCAGAAATGTCCCTTTAGCAGGCAAAAAAGACCCAAAACCCAAACAACAAACACAGCTATGCTGCTTTCTCTTAGAATAACACACCTTAATCCATGAGTATTCTCTAAACCGCTGTATTGAGAGAACTCTCTAAACTCCAAGCTGCGGGCCTCCCCGGTGGCGCAGCGGTTGAGCGCTGGGTTGCGAAGCTGCCCGCGGCCTCTGCGGCGCCGGTTCGATCCCCGGCTGCTCCCCGGCCACCGGAGGAGGGTCCCACATGGCGCGCAGACCTCTCCTGCCGCCCGCTGCTCCCCTCAGCAGTGTACTTCGGTCCTTCTGCCTGCTCTGCTCCCCGCTCTGGCTCTGGTGAGTCCTCTCACCCTCCCGCGCTTCTGACTGTACCCAGTGCATGTATAAACCAAAAACAAACAAATAAATAAATAAATAAAACATGCCTCTATTAAAAAAAAAAATAATAAAAAAAAAATAAACCCCAAGCTGCAGTCCACTTCCATAAAGAGCTCTGAACATGGGAGGCTATTTGAATTGTACAACCCACCTTTCTCATACTCCCCCCAGTTCCTGCTCTGAACTGGTAAGAGGGCCTCGGATCACCCCCCTGCCCCAGGCCTCAGTTTCCACCTCGGTAAAATGAGGCGGGTAGAATATACCATTTCATTCTATGCCCTGATGTCCGCGACAGCAAAACTGAGGGAATATGCTGAGCTCCTACACGGCCTTAAGTGTTTGGGGAACACCAAAAGGGAGGTGCATAACCAGACTGCAGACCCAAATCCAAGGAAGAATGGCAATCAATCCCCTTCAGGTCCTGAGGTCACTCACGTGCACTTGGGGCAGTGCCCCACTTTCACAATGAGCGCCCAGGGCAGGGACGTCAGGCAGGATGGTGGGGAGTCCGTGAGTCTGGGATCTCTCACTGCACCCCTTGCCCTACAAGGCGGGGGAGGGCAGGGAGGGGAGGAAAAACCCTGCCACCAAATCCAAAGGGTGTCCTAGAGTAGCGCCGTCTGGAAAATCAGCTCAGGCCCCTGGGACCAAAAGGGACCAAAGGCCAAAAGGGACCGACAGACACGAGACCAGCCTCCCTTCCCCTGGAGGGGGGGGAGGGGGCTTCCTTCAACCATCAGACCAGCCGACCCAGGTTCCCAAAACTCAGGGCTTCATGTCCAGTACCGCCCTGGCCAGAACCCGCCGACCGCCCCCACCGCCCCGGCCCCCCAGGGTCGCGCTGCGCTCGCACGCACCACCGCGGGGGCCGCGCGGGGGCCGCGCGGGTCGTCCGCGGCCTCAGGCGCCGCCGGCCCAGCATTCCGGGTGCCCTCTCACCCCAGACACCGTCCCTGCCGCGGGCCCCCGGCGCCCCTCACCCCACACACCACCTCGCCCCCACCCCGTCTCCTCCAAGTCGCCCCTTCGCCCCCACCCGCTCGTCCTCCCCGGGCGCCCAAGGTCCCCGCACACACCACCTCGTCTCCCTCCCCCGCGTTCCGGGGCCCCCTCAGCCCCCCACACTCGACACCCGCCGCCGCGCCCCGCTCCTTACCCGCCCCGGAGCCGCCCCGCGCGCCCAGCAGCGCCAGCCCCGCCAGGAACACCGCCGCGGCCGCCATGTCTCCGACCTCGCCGCCCGCTGCCGCGGCACTGGAGCCAGGCCCGGCGGGGAGCGCGCACGGCGACGTTGCGGGGGCGCGCGGAAGCGACGCTCGCGCGGACGCCCCTGCACATGCGCACGCCCGGCGGGACCGCGCGGAGGAAACGCGGCGGCACCACGTGACCGCCGGGGTGGGGCGGCTCGGCGTTGCTAAGAGACGGGCAAGAAGTGGGCGGGGCGTCGCCTGCCGGCTGTCAGAAAGTGCTGACACTGCCCCCTCCGCGGCTATGAAATGAAATGTGAGTTTTGCCACAATACAAAAGAGAAAAAAGGCATTAAGGGAGGCGATGGGGTTCGTCTCTACACAGGGAGAATGTGTTCCCCGGCGGGTCTGCCCGATTTAGCAAATAAAAATTCCTGGGTGCTAGTTAAATTTTAATTTCATACAGAAAACAAGTAAGTTCTTGGTATAGCTAGTCCGTGCACTATTCGGCTGTTGTTATGCCAGGAAATCATTTGCTTTTTACCCGAACTGCAAATTCAGCTGGTTGTCCTGTATTCAGATTGGGATACCTCCCTCAGTGTCCCCATGTTTTACAGCAAATATTTTTTAAAATGATTAACTTCAATCACAATCAGGATCATGTGACATTACTGACCGTGGATCAGACAATGATTTCTTTTACATGAAACCAAAATCACAAGCAACAAAAGAAAAATAGATAAAAGACTTCATCAAAATTAAAAACTTCAATTATTTTAATTCTGGGTGTTATATTTTTCTTGCACCACAAGTCCACATGTTTCAGTCACTCTCTACCAGACTGTCACCGGCCTCTCCACTGTGACTGGGTTTGACGGCCTTGGTGGCTGGGTATGAGGGCCAGCCCATGGCACTGCCCGCCAGCTCAGAAATACCTCAGCATAGTCCTGGGCTGCACCATGTCACCCCCCAGGCCGGCATGGCAGCTCCAACAGCAGTGGCACCGGAGACCCACTGCTCCTTGTTCTTCACTGAGGGCAACTCCAGCTGAGGGTCCCCTGAGCCTGTGGCCTTAGTGAGCCTGCCCACTTCTGCCACTATTTCATGTTTCACAGCTGTGTAATATTCCATTGAGTATATATATATTCCATAATTGTTTAAAAAGATTTATTTATGCATACAAGAGCTGGGGTGTAGGCCAGAGGCCCTTTACCTCCTATGTTACATTAACTCCCAGGTATTTCATTCTTTTTGGTGTGATAGCAAATGGGATCGTATTCCTTATTTTCCTTTCTTCTGACACATTGTTTTCCTATAGAAGTGCAACTGATTTTTGTATATCGGCTTTGTATCCTGCCACTTTACTGTATTCATCTATGATTTTTTGTAGTTTTTGGACTGGTTAAGCTGTCTATTTCATCTTGATTCAGTCTTGGGATGTTGTATGGGTCTAAAAATTTGTCTATTTCTTCTGGGTTGTCCAGTTTGTTTGCATAGAGACTTTTGTAATAGGGTCTTATGGTGGTATGTATCTCTGCAATATCTGTTGTGATGATTTCACCACTTCATTTCTGATTCTATTGATTTGGTTTTCTTCTCTTCTTTGCTTCATAAGCCTAGTTAATGGTTTGTCAATTTTGTTTATTTTTTTACAAAGAACTAACTCGTGATTTCACTGATCCTTTGGACTGTCATTCTGTTTTCTATTCCATTTATTTTTGTTCAAAATTTTACTATTTATTTCCTTCTATTGGTTTTTGGATGCTTTTGTTTTTCATTTTCTAGTTTCTTCAGCTGCAGAGTTTGATTGTTTCATATTTTTCTTATTTTCTTTTTTTAATGTGGGCCTGTATTCCTATAAACTTTTCATGTAGAATTGTTTTCAGAGCCTCCCATAGGATCTAGTAGCTTGTCTTTCCGTTTTCATTAGTCTCTGGATATTTCTTTTAAAAGATTTATTTATTTATGCATACAAGAGCTGGGGTACAGGCCAGAGATGGGGGGGGTAATGAGAGGATTCACCAGAGACAGAGTGGGGAACAGAACAGGCAGACTGACTGAAATACACTGCTGAGAGGAGCAGCGGGGAGACAGGAGAGGTCTGCTGCACCATGTGGGTTGCTCCCTGGCCGGGGATCGAACTCGTGCTGTGGAGGCTGTGGAGGCTTAACCCCTTGCACCACCAGGGAGGCCTCTGGATATTTTTTTGATCTCTTCTTTGACCAAGGAGTTGTTCAGAAGCATTTTGTTTAGTCTCCACTGTCTTGGTTTATCCCAGGATTCTTTTTGTGTTTGATTTCTAACTTTATAGCATTGTGGTCTGTGAAGATGCTTGATATAATTTCTATTTTTGTATATTTCCTGAGACATGTTTTATGTCCTAGTATATGAACTATTCTTGAGAATCTCCATGTGCACTGGAGAAGGAAGTATATTCACTTCTTTAGGGATGGAAAGCTCTATAAATGTCCAATAAATCCATCTGTTCTAACACTTCACTTAAGGTCTTTAACTTGAATTTGTTTCAAAAGTCACTCAGAAAGTAAGTAATGCCTTACAGATTTATTGGAAGCTACATGCTGCCTGGAGGCCACAATTTTCAGGACAAACGGAAAATGAATCACATCCTAAAGAAAACCATTGGTGAAACTATGCCAAGAATGCCATCTGCACTGGGATCAGGTCTTGTCCATCACCCTCCTTCAGGTAAGAGTGGCCCCTAAATCAAATACTATCCAAATTATTAAAAAAATAAAGCTTTTGTGCTACTTATATCCTAAAACAAACAAACAAAAAAAAACCCAACAACAAAAAGGGGTTCCCTTGAAATTGTTTTTGAAGACCATTCCAAACTTGAGTTGAACACCACGCCACAGAACAAGAGCACAGGATCAAACAGCATGTAAAACACACCCAGGAAATACTAGCTGTAACTCATAATTTTGCTCTCTTTAGGGCCTCTATGCTCCAGATGAATCATTGCATACCTTCCCACGTGGTGACCAGGTCCTCTTCAAGACCTGAAGGATGCATGCCCAGGCCCCACTGCCAAAGAAATGACCTGGTCACTATGAAATATGCTGACCCGCACACTTCTCGAGAAAACCTACAGACACAAAAGTCTGGGTGCATTTCTCCAGAGTGAAGAAAGTCTCAGAAGGCAATGACCCACAGACCAAAATCCCATGATCTTGTGAACCTGTCAAAGACATGAGATATTTGTTTAAAAGACAAAAACTTAAATGTTATCCTTTTCTTTCAGCTACTATTGCAAGATGCGATTGGACTGATTTCCTAATGAACACTGGAACCTGAGGTCATAAGCTGCACAAGACCACAAGGAAAGGGTGAGAACTATGTGCCTGTGGAATGAGGAAGGAAGATGGCAGCTGCCTTCAAAGCTCCTCTGTCCCGGGCGGAATTCCTGCCCCACTGAACTGAATCAGGAAACCTTTGTCTTTGTACAAAACACAGCTGCTGGTGCCTCCCTGGTGGTGCGGGGTTAAGTCTCTGCACTATGAAGCTATCCACAGCCAACGCAGCATGAGTCCGATCCTCGGCCAGGGAGCTACCCACATGGCACAGCAGACCTCTCCTGTCTCCCCTCTGCTCCCCTCAGCAGTGGATTTCAGTAGATCCACCTGTTCTGCTCCTGACTCTGTCTCTGGTGAATCCTCTCACCCCCTGCACCTCTGGCCTACACCCCAGCTCTTGTATGCATAAATAAATTTAAAAAAACAGAAATCTTTTAAAAACAAAATACAGGTGCTGTGACTCCTCCAAGGCCCTGTTTTTTGGTGCCATCTCTGCTCTTCTCACCCTGTGCCAGGAGGGTCCCTTGCTGTCCCCTTCCACTTCCCAGGAGATGCCACTCAGGACCCCTTATCAGCCAGGTTCAGCAAATGAAAATACAGTACTCCAAGTTAAAGTTTAATTTCAGATTTGAAAAAAAATCAGTCATGTTTTTAGTGTTAACTCTCTCATGTAGTAGCTGGGATAAATTTGTACTGAAACATCTCTGCTGTAATTCTGGAATTCACATTTAGCTGGGTGTCCTGTGTTCCATCTGGCCAGGCTCACCCTCTTTGTATCGCCCTCATCTGGGTCACTCTCTGTCCTGTATCCACTCCATATTCCTGACTGCTATATGCTGCCTGGGCATGATAACAGGGATAGCCCGGCCCTGCGCACCTGGCAGGTGTGAGCCTGTGACCAAGAACAGGGAGACTTGTTCAGGATCTCACTTGCTCTTCCACCCTGTCCCCGAGGCCTAGCAGGCCCCTTTGAGAGGGGTCAAGATTTCAAATGTGGGTGTCTTCCTCACACCACCAGCCAAGGAAAGCGGCACCCTTCCTGCGCCTGTCTCCAGTTTTGCTCTGCACGGCGGCCACACCCCTGGTGCTGGAGCCAGCAACACAGAGGAGTGGCTGCTTTTCACTTTCATTCTTTTGCAGTAAAAGACAACCCCTCCCAGCAGACCTCAGGTCCAGTTGGTACCTTGGACCTCAGCACCCTCATCTCCTCCACACCTGAGGCCCAACCTCACTGGCGCACTTTCCTGGCTCCAGTCTTTGCCTGGACCATGCTGCAGGCAGCTGTCCCTGCCCAGGGCGCTGTCTGGCTGTTTCCCTACATCCTGAAGCTTTTCCTGCAGAGACCTCTCCTGGCCATCCTGTCTCGACACCTCACCGTCCCATCACAGTTTCTGTGCTTTGATTTATGCTTTTTTTTTAAATACAATTTTTCAGACTCACAGACAAGCGGAAAGAAAATGACATAGGATAATGGATGTTTTCATTCCTTGTCACAACCATCCATCTCTAAATGTTCCAGTTTAATTCTTTATGTGCATTTTCTGAGGATGAAGCTTTGAAATCCAATATATCTCCAGGTCATGACAGAGAGGAAAGAGTAGATTTTATTCTCAGGATGTGAGGGAGCAAGGAAGGATTTGAGCAAGGAAAGGGCTATCTTGGGGCACGTGTAGAAACATCTCGGTTCCTGAGGGGTGCAGGACCTGGGAGGTAGGGAGTGGACCCAGATAGCAGGAGGGGTGGTGCAGTGGGTTGAATGGTGGCCTCAGAACCTGTGAATGGGAACTTATTTGGGAAAAGTAACTTTGAGATTTAATCAAGTTAAGGTCTTGAGATAAATTCATCCTGGCCTCCAAGTGACTCTGAATTCAATGACAGGTAGCCTTACAAAAGACAGAAAAGGAGACACAGGTACACAGGAGAGGCCATATGGACACAGGGCTGGAGACTGGGTAGGCTAGGAGCCCTGAGAAGCTGAAGGAGGCAGGATGAACTGTCTGGAGCCTCAAGAGGGAGCATGGCCCTGGACAACTTGACCTTGGCTTCTGATCCTCCGTGGGGATGACATTCCTATAGCTCTGAGCCTCCTGGTTGGTTCGTTACAGCAGCTCCTGGAGTCACCACTTATGAAACTAGAAAACCTCAATGGAAGATAGAAAACAACAAAAGAGTAAAGATAAAGAAAATATAATTAGAAACGAGAGCTAAGAAACACTATAGCTGATTTAACAAATACAACTGAGGGCCTCTCAGCAGACAAACAGAAGATGTGGAGAGAATGAATGGGCTCAAAAACTGAGTTGGAGAACAATGTAGAGGGGAAAAAGGAATAAATAATGAAAATAGTGTGAGAGCCCTTTGGGACGACTTAAAGAGAAACAACATCTATATCATGAAGTCCCAGAAGGAGAAGAGAAAGACAAAGGCACAGAAAATTTATTGAAAGAAATAATTGCTGAAAAGCATCTCAATCTGGGGAACGAACCAAACATTGCAATCTGAAAGCCCCAGAGAGTTCCAAACAAAATAATACCAGAAGACACACCCCAGACACCTGATAATAAAGCATGACACTAAAGATGGAGCTTCCATATGACCCAGCAATTCCACTCCTAGGTATTTACCCAAAGGACACAGAATCATTAATTCAAAAGGGCAACTGCACCCCTATGCTGATAGCAGCACTATTTACAATAGCTAAGCTTTGGAAACAACCCAAATGCCCAAAAATAGATGACTGGATCAAGAAGATGTGGTACATATACACCATGGAATATTACTCAGCATTCAAAAAAGATAAACACATGCAATTTGCAGCAACATGGATGGCGCTGGAAGGGATCATGCTCAGCGAAATAAGCCAGAAAGAAAGAGAAAAATGCCGGATGGTCTCACTCATAGCAGGAATCTAGAAAACCTAAATATGGACCAGGAAAAAGACTAATTATAATAAAGTTAAAATCAAAATCAACAAGCAACTATAAGCCAGAGACACACTATGGGGCGCGGGGTGGGGGGGTGGAGGGATTAGGGTCAAAATAAGGGGGGTGGGAATTGTATGGGGACTATAACCAAGATGAAAATGCAGACATTGTACAAAAATGAAAAATGATGTAAAAAATATATAAAACAAATAAATAAAGCATGTCAAGGACAAAATATTAAACACGTCAAGAGAAAAAGGGGTGACCAATAACGAACGCCAGTCAGTGTCACTGACTTCAGGGAAAACATCACCAGCGTGAAGGCACTGGCAGCAGGTATTTAAAGGACTTAGAGAAAACAAACGCTCCAACTAGAATGCCTAATCCTGCGAGATTAACGCTAAGATAGAAGGATGAGTAAGGAGCTTTACTGAAAAGCAAAAGCGAAAAGAATTTATCAACACCAAACTGTACATGAAAGAAATTCTAAATGGATTATTATAAAGCAACAGAATAATAAATATCGTAGCAACAGACAGCTACGTCACTTGGCATGAGAAGAGGAGGAGCCACAGAAGGGGTCAGAGTTCAAGTCATTTGATGGGTCTCTACTAACCTCAGCACAGTCCTAAGGCAGTAATTAATTGAAATAACAGCTGAGACAATGGAAATGCAAACGTGGACGCCCTCAAAATAAAAGACCTAAGCCTGGGCCTCCCTTGTGGCCTAGAGGTTGAGTCTCAGCACTGTTATAGCAGCGGCCTGAGTTCAATTGCCGGCCAGGGAGCTACCCACATGGTGCAGCAGACCTCTCCTGCCTCCCCGCTGCTCCCCTCAGCAGTGGATTTCAGTGGATTCGCCTGTTCTGCTCCCCACTCTATCCCTGGTGAATCCTCTCACCCCTGCACCTCTAGACTACATCCCAGTTCTTCTACATAAAAAATAAAAATCGTACAATAAAGGAATAATTCTTTAAAAATAAATAAACACCATGAGCACTCTGAGGTTGCGGGGGTGGGGCGCATAGGAAAGGACAAAGGGATAAATAAAAAATGAAGGGAGATGCTCTAATGGTCTGTATTTCGAAAAGGCTGTCTTGTTTTTTCTCTTTCTTCTCTTCCCGTGGGCAATATGCTGCTGTCTCCCAGAGTTGTACAGTCCAGAGAGTGGTTAGATTTGCAACTTCAAGGCACAAAGTGCGCCTTTCTTAGGGGTTTCAGGCGTGTGTTTCTAGTATTTCCTCATTCCTAGGGATTTCACTCCGAGCGTCCTGATCAGGTTTTGTCATAGGGCGTGAACCTTAGTCCACAGATTGTCTTTTCCCACCCTTGCAAAAACAGTATGCCAGGGCCTTCCATTTTTTAACTCTTCTTTAAGCTTCCTAACTCAAGCTTTCAACTCAAGCTGAGCATCTGGGCTCGGCAGGTGGCCCACAGGAGAGGCAGCCCGTTGAGGAAGCCATTTGTTTTCCCTCCTGGCCACAGAGAAACTCATTTATGAGGCTTTATCTTGGGCAGCTGCAGGATGAGTTGTTCTCCTGATCCTAATGTTTTCGGGGGGACTTGTTCTATTCAGTCATGTATGCAGCCCAGATAGTCAAAATGACATACATATCACAATTTACTTTTCTCAAGGTTCCATCCTAAGCACTTCTGAGAACACACTTTTGGGGAGGGGAAGAAAAATTCAGATTTTCTGAGTAATTTAGGTCAAATGTTCCTCCGCTCATCTTCCCCACATTCTGTCTCTCCCGACCTACTTTGTCTGTGATATGTACTGAGGGGTCAGCGAGAGGTTTACTATAGTTTACTATAGCGGTTTACTATAGACAGGGACGGCTGGTTTGGCAATGAACTGGCAGTGCTGGATGCAGATACCAAAAACCAGACAAGCACAGGCAATAGCTAAGACATGTCCCCCAAACCAGTGCAAGTTTTCTATTAAGAGCCTCATGATTCAGGGCCTCCCTGGTGGTGCAGGGGTAAAGTCTCAGCACTGTGAAGTTATTGGTAGCCACTGCAGCAGGAGTTCAATCTACGGCCAGGGAGATACCCACATGGAGCAGCAGACCTCTCCTCTCTCCCCACTGCTCCCTTCAGAGGGTATTTCAGTCAATCCGCCTATTCTGCTCCCTACTCTGTCTCTGGTGAATC